ATATATATATATATATATATATATATATATATATATATATATATATATATATATATATAATTGGTTCAAATATCCAGGAGTGGGTGTATTATACTACAGGTAGTCCTCGACTTACGACCATAATTGAGCTCAAAAATTTGGTTGCTAAATGAGACAGTTAAGTGAGTTTTGTCCAGTGGTGAAATCCAAATTTTTTTACTACCGGTTCTGTGGGCGTGTCTTGGTGGGTGTGGTGTGGCATGGTAGGGGAAGGATATTGCAAAATCTCCATTCCACCCCACTCTGGGGCCAGCCAAAGGTGGTATTTGCCGGTTCTCCAAACTACTCAAAATTTCCACTACCGGTTCTCCGAACTACTCAAAATTTCCGCTACCGGTTCTCCAGAACCTGTCAGAACCTGCTGGATTTCAACCCTGGTCATGAACCTTCTTGTCAGTGTTAATTAACAAAAACTTTTGATTTTTTTTTTACTCCAATTCATTAACAGGAACACACAGATTTTACCCATATCTCTTTTGATGTTACAAAACATCTACTGTCTTCTAAACACGAAGAGCTCAAAACAATCCAGACAAGGAATCAGAAATTAAAATCCATGTAATTCCACACAAAACATACTTTAGTCAGGTCAAAATAAATACCCACTACTTACTCAATTTCTTTAAATTGTGTTTTCTTCGATGGGTGACCATTTTAGGTTCCGGTGGTGAGAAGCAGATTTTTAGCGTTATGGTGCACTGAAAGCATAAAATCATAAGAAACTTGTTTTAATTTGTCCGCAGATAACAGTAAAATCTGGCTGTGTTTTTCTTATTAAAGTGTGATATTTATCCACGGTTCCGAATAGATTTATATATGATGAGTAAAACCAACCTTTTTTGGGGGGAGCAATCTCCCTTTTCATGCAAATGTGAAGACAACCTCTGCTTTAATATTTTGGAAGTGAAAACAGAGGCAGTGAATAGATGGTTTCACAGTTGATTAAAAGTTTCCTGCTTCTATTAATATTGACAGGGAAAATAATTTTTAGCAGCACTGAAGAGAGGCTGAATTCCACTGATAAAAGGCAGAAAATTCAACCTGAAGCACTGAAGGAAATACTTCAATATCTTTATTCTGAGATTAAAGGTAATGTTGTCATCGCAGAAGACTGGATGTCTTCTGCGATGAAGACATCCAGCCTTCATCGCAGTTCACAGCGAAGCCCTTCAAGTTTAAAACATTGTTTTTATTTCCTTCTTGACTTACTCCCGTTGGCTGCAGACTGTTATTTTGCAGTCTTTGATTCTTCTTTATAATCATAACGTTTGGTTTTTCAGCTGCTCCTCCTAAGTCGACATCCGCACTGCCAAAATCCCTAAAGTTAGCAGAGAAGTGGAAAAGTCAAGAAGGAACTTCAAAGACAGACAGTACTAGTAGCAACCACAGGGTTTAATTGGATTAGGAGGAAGAATGATGTGACATCTTAGGCAGTGGTAGGTTGCCCCCGGTTCGGATCGGTTCACAAGAACCGGTAGTAAAACCGGCAGGAGGCTCCGCCCACTGACCCGGAGGTCATCATAGGTGATCTGCGCATGTGCACAAGTGAGTGAAGTTAGCACGCGCAGGCGCAATGCGAACCTGTAGTAAAGGTAAGTAGAACCCACCCCTGATTTTAGGAGGAAGAAGGAACTTGAGAAACTTCCTCATTGTGGTAATAATTACTCAATAATTACACTCTTTGGGCTCCACAACACTCTTTGGGCTGAAACAGAGAGGAAAATGGATGGGGCTGAGCAGCAGATTTGTCCCCATGTCAGACAACCTACTTATACAGATCCTTCTTTCCATCATTCACCTGTTTTGGATTTTTGTGCCCCATTCAAGGAGTTTAACGACGGCAACAGAACTGTTGTCCAGAAGCTCCTCATCCAGATACCACATCAAAGTCTGCAGGACAAACACAAAGAATAATCAACAACGCAACCTTTGAAGATCAGTCATTTGCTCTTGTTTTGGACAAATTCACAACAAGCAAGAACACCAAGCTGTCAGCCCTGAAGCCATTTTGGGAGCATCTTTATGGCTGCCACAGTGAGGCCGGGTGGGGCTGTGGGAACGTGAGGGGGGAGGTAGCTGGGAGGGAATGTGTAGCCAAAATAGCATTCTTTTCTGTGGGAGCTAAGGACGTTCTACCAGGTGTTTGGAAGGATGTGGACCAAAGCCAGCTGGAGTTGGGACTGCGACCTGATTGGACCATGTGATGGACATGTGTGACCTGGGGGAAGGAACTTTGGGGTATGATTTGGGTGGGGGAAAACCCCTGGGTCTTTCAGAGTCAGGTTTTCACCAGCTGTGCCAATATGACGTCCCAAATAAAATTATGCTTTGAGGAAACTCTAGGCCTCAGAGTTTTGATTGCTTTGGGGTTTAACAGATTAACAGAGTTGGAAGGGGTCATTGAGTCCAAGCCCTTGCCCAAGCAGGAGACTCAACATCTACCTCTACCTAGGATTGAATTCATAACCTCCATATTGTGAGGCAAGAGCTGACACAACCCTGACACAAGCATTCTTTCTGCTGTCTATCCATATCTACAAGTAGTATTTATCTGCTACTTGAAGTTGAATTTGATGCATGATATTTCCTGGTCATTGGCAACATCTGGAATTTTGTGTCATGAAGGGAGTGACATCTTGATGAAGTTACCATAGTTGTCCACTTCCCTTCTGGCCCTCTTCTCACAGCCTTCCCATTCTCAGTTCTGACTTTATCAACTCAGTTTATTGTGTATTGTACATTTTATACATTTATTTAAATATGGAATTTTTTTGCCATCGTGCCACCATTGTTTTCAGATCCTTCAAGAATTTATACCTTCATATTCAAGGCTATGCAGTCCCTTTTCTTATCTTATTCCTCCTTCTGTATAAAGTTCTTGCTCTCTTGATATCTCTGTATGCTACTGTTTGCAAATCCAGAAGAACTGTTTATTGTGAATGACTACGATGACTGGTAAGAAGACTTTGTTATTGGATTATCCCTGGACTGTAGTTTTGCTATCTCCTGCTTTATATGTGTATGACCTGGACTGTTTATTGGACTGTGCCTTACTATTTCCTGAAAGTAAACACAACTCAGTGTATCTGTGTGTTGACTGTGTTTATTCGTACCTACTCTCAATCACTTTCATGTACACACCCTTGCAATTCAAGGATTACTCTGCGAATTCCTTAACAGTTTCATCACCAAAGGAGATTCTGGAGCGTTGCACTATATTTTGTAATATATCTCTTTCCCCTTTCTAAGTTCTTATTAAGGGACTTTTTTTTTAAAAAAATGAAGAAATTCAGAAGGAACTAACTCTAAAACTGAGACTGTTACCAGGATTAAGGATTTTGGGAAAAATATAGACTTTATTGATCCAAGTTCCAGTTCTGGTGATTTTATGGTATTTCCAGACAACCTTTTAAACAATTTTTTTTTTTAAATGGTTTGCTGGGATCCTTTTTCCAGAACATTTCTCAACTTTCTTGTCTAGCTTACCTCATTCCAAATTGGATTCTGGTCCTTCTGCATGACTCTTGTACTCCTTTCAATGCCTAGGGGGAAAAAAAATTCCTCTGAGTTAATTCCACCTGTTTCCTGATGCTTTGCTTCTCTCAAGCATAGCCCTGACATAAGAGAAAACTATTTTAATATGTAAAAAGCAAAGGGGATTTGGATACGGCTTTACCTCTGAAGGTACCAACCACAAATGTGTTGGGCTGAATTGCATGTTCAGGAGGCACATGAGCTGACAGAATAACAATATGCAGCATTTTTGGTTCTACTCGGCTGTTTTTCTCTCCAAAATATATTACTGAGCAATTTTTGACGACACGCCTTCCTTCTTGGAGCCCAGTGGCTTGTGACTATTGAAGACTTGGCATCAGCTCTACGTCTTCATTCCAAGATCCACCTGAAATCTTTTTCAGAAGGTCCAGTGCAAACGATTCTGGAAGTGGAACTAAGGAAAAATCCGATGTCACAAAGGGGCTATGACATAAAGCAAGGCAAGAAGTTATGACAAATTTAGGAAGTGAAGAGATAGCTCAAGGGCTTCCTACTGGATAATCAATGGGGTTGTAAAATATGATTTAGAACTTAGGATCATGGGGTTGGGTGGGGTTGGGTGGGGGCTTGGAGGTCCTCTAGTCCAGAGGCTCCTTCAAGTGAAGAGAGTGAAGTGGAGAAGCCTCTTCTCAATGCTCGAGCACGCAGGGCTGCCAAAAGGCAGGAGTGGCTACTCAGGAGGAGGTCTCCTCGAGAGTAAATCTTGGGATTAATTGACCATTCCCTTAGCCTATTAAAGTTCACACACAGATAGCAAATGTTGCTGGAAACAACGTTTGGTCCTACGCAGAGCATTTTGAGAGTGAGTTTTTTGTTACAACTTGGATTCTGGGCTGATTGCCAACCCTTGTCGGACTTTGTTTAATCTCTGTAATTCATACCAGGCTGATAAGGACATTGGTGGTTAAAGCCTGCATTTTGAAAGGGGTCTGTTCGTATTAAACGGAGTTTTTGGAGCTGTGTATGTGTGTGCTACACTTCTTGGGACCCGTAGTTGGGGCAGAACACACTGACACACCAATGCACAAGCATTGATACACTGCCATGGCAAACTGATGCAGACCGAACTCTCCCGTACTGCATGGCTGACATTTTTTTAAAAAATTGATTTACATGCCGCCCTTCTCCGGAGATTCAGGGCGGCTTACAATGCGTTAAGCAATAGCCTTCATACTTTTGTATATTTATACAAAGTCAGCTTATTGCCCCCACAAACTGGGTCCTCAATTTACCTACCTTAGAAAGGAGGGAAGGCTGAGTCAACCTTGAGCCTGGTGAGATTCGAATTTACAGTAATTGCAGACAGCTGATGTTAATCACAATGCTTTAGTCTGCTGAGCCACCAGGTCCATAATTATGACATGAGCTTCATGTTATTTAATAAAAAGAAAAGGCAAGAAAAACGGTTTTAGATGCTGATTTGAGAGATTTATTCAGGTTCATTTACACATGAGAGATTTATTCTAGTTCGTCCACGCGAAGAGATCAGACATCACAGCGCTGCGTTGGGTCATCAAGTCTATAGAATTCATGTTCACATGTCACGTGATTTGCCACTGTTTTGCACCCTTCAACAACGCTAACAACCAACAAATCTTCGAAGGAGGAAAAAAAGGGAGGAGGAGAAAGAAGGAGATGTGATGGTCAGTCAAAGTTTCAGATGGCATTTCTGTCTTTATTGTATCTAAATAATCTACAGAGTATTTCTCCCATTATTTCTCCCATTGTTGTAACCACAGCTATGACTCTCGGTTCGAGACTGTCCCAAAGGGGCCACCACATTCCTCCAACCATTCCAGTCAAAATTGAGCAAACCCTCCCCCGGCCATGGCTGCCACAAGTTCCTTCAGCAGGAGCTGTGAGTTTAAGAAGACCCTCCCCAAAATTGTGTAGCAGTTCAATCTGGGGGAGTGCCATCCAGTATCAAGTCAAAGGTGATATATGACCTGGTCCTTTGGGCAGAGGGCAAAACCCACATCCATTCTACGTTGCCCATGGTTGAGTCAAAACTGCTTCCTCCTCATCCTTTAAGGGCCTCCAGGTACTTGACCAGAATCACCACAGCTTCTTGTATCTGAGTAGGGCTAGGTCATTAATTGGGTATCATCAGCATGTTGGTTCTGCATCCAATAGTGATGGGATGACTTTCCCAAAACTCCATGAAGAGGTTGAAAAGGAGAGGTAGGAGTCTTGATCCCTGAGGGGTCCACGTTGCAGAGGACTTGATCTCTCCTTCTCCACCAACACCAACTGGAACTGGCCATGGTGGAAAGAAGAGAACTACTGAAAAATAATGTCTATGCAAAAACTGGTCCAGGAGGGGACCATGGTTGATGGCATTGAAAGTCACTGAGAAGTCCAGAAAAGCCAGAATGGTTGCATCACTCCATCCCAGGTTCTCCAAAGAACATCAAAAAGTGTCACCGATGACATTTCAATTCTGTGTCCCACTCTGAAACCAGACTGAATTTGCTTCAACTTGGTCCCTTTGTACACTCTCAACAATCTTCCTCAAAAAGGGAAGATTGGAGACTGGATGAAAGTTGTCTGTTGGGTCTAAGGATGGCCTCTTAAGACAGCAGGTGGTTTCACCCTCTCTAGCTCTCTCTCTCTCTCCCTCCCTCAATCTGTCCCTCCTTCCTTCCTTCCTTCCTTCCTTCCTTCCTTCCTTCCTTCCTTCCTTCCTTCCTTCCTTCCTTCCTTCCTTCCTTCCTTCCTCCCTCCCTCCCCCCCCTCCCTCCCTCCCTCCCTCCTTCCTTCCTTCCTTCCTTCCTTCCTTCCTTCCTTCCTTTCTTAATATGTGCTACCTGAATAAGTGCTTGTGACTTAATCTAGGAGAAAATGTGCAAATTAATATATCTGATGGTAGCCTGGAATCTCTTCCTACCTTTGGCAGCAACCCAATCCATATTTGCTGCAGCTGCATCTCAAACAATTAGCTGTGTTCCAAGTGGACCCAATGAGATGCTTTCTCCCATCAAGTCTATCAAGGCATGTGTTTGGCCGCACTGGTTTACCTACGAAAAAAAGGATGGAAGAGTTGAAAATTGAACCTTCAAACAAGCCTAAATTGCCATGCGGCATTGAGAAACCTGCTAGAGTTGGAGGCTACTTTTACAAATCTCCTCTTGGACAAATGTGATTAGTATACAAATTCTGCACATTTGCTGAATATCATTCTATTTTAAGGATTGTTTAGATTTGCAAGGATCCCTAATGATCAAACGTCTTCTGCATTAATACAGTCGATGTTTCCTGGCCCACTTTAATGAAAACCTGGATTGTAAAAATTAAGCCCACAACATTTCTCCTGGGATTCCTAAACCTTGGCAAGCAGTACAGCGGTGATTTGCTCAAATGTATAAAGAGTTTGGTTACCATTTTCAAATTCAGCTTGAAAGGGAATTCTCAAGCACGCTCCTTGACATGTAGCCAACATGAGAGAGAAGATGATCAAGCTGAAGAAGACTTTCTGAGAAAGTTAAAGAAAAAAGAAAGAATAAGCCATGAGAGACCTTACTAATTCTTTGACAAACTGACTATTCATAGTTTAACAAAAGTCCCGTTTGATAATACGATGAAGTTCATGAACTTTACAAAAAGCTCTCTGGGTTAAGTTTACAATCTTGTGCAAATGTGCAGTTTGGACTCTCTTGCACAAGAGGGACAACCTGGAACATCTCTCTCCCTTCTTTATGTCAGCTGCACACAATCCAGGATACCCGAATATCTCAACCATTTGTTCATCCACCTAGTAGTACTCAGGATGGAATAATTTTCAGTCCTCCCCCCACTCCGGAGGGAAAACATCTCAGTCCTCAGTCCTCAAGAAGTCCTCAGTGTGAAATATTTTTCCATCCTACCCCCCTCCAGAGACAAAACTCCCCATTGGTATCATTGGGATTGACCCCACCACCACAGATGTGCCTCAGCCCCACATCAGTTTCCTTCCCTTCACATACCTTTTTCCACCTGGGATGCTTTGTGGGAAGAAATGATAATCCTGACTCTCTATTTCTGACTTGATATGTCCTCCGTACAAATAGTGCATTTCTGCATTTGTGTATTTATCTGTAATACTCTTGAATAACTAGAAAATAAACTCTGCCTTTTTTAAAATAAACTCTGCTTTTGAGTCCTTGTGCAAAAATTAGACCAGCAACATCTGGATTTTAAACTTATCTCACACACCCCAAAATTTAATTCCTTGGTTTTGCAAATAGTTCTTTTTGTCCTATCTCTATTTTGGAGTTCTGAAGAGGCATCTGATGATGTTTGATCTTCATTTCTTTCTTCCTTTATTGTATCTAAATAATATACAGAGTATTTCTTGCACTATTATAACCACAGTTACAACTCTCAGTTCTGCTGCGAGAGCGTGACTATCCCAAAGGGGCCACTTCATTCCTCCAGCCATTCTTTTCTCACGTCCAAGTCAGTTCAAGCTCCTCTTGCAAATGAAGATTAAACCATTTTACTTACCATCCTGGCTTTGGGGGAGACCCAGGAAACTCTTGGTAGGGAGGAAGGAGAAGGAGCAGCACCTCTCTCTGAGGCCAGCAAGGAATCTGCTCCTCCAATTTAAATTAAAAACCTAGACTGCCCCTTGTGCAAATTTTTTTTTAAAAAAATATTCTGAGTGAAAGTTGTATAAAAATATCTACTTCCAGAGGGAAAACATTTGCTTTACAAATAGTTTTGTGTTTGTTTTGCAGATGCGATAAAGGGAAAGCATTTCGTCAGCTTCAGATCCACCTGGCTAGAAAAAGACCAGATTATGATGAGATTGAAAGCCTCCGGCAGAATGTGAGAAATTGAAAAGGCCAGATCTACAGCTTCCTCCCCACCTTCTCCCAGGATGAGCCCTACCCATATTGAGGATTGTAACCCACAGTAATTGGTTGTCCTACTCTTGGGAGTGGGGCTTACTCTCAAACGCAAGATCTCTGACCTTCGAGTTTTCCGCTGTGCTCTTAAGACTCTGCTTTTCTGACAGGCAGGACTAGCTTCATAATTGAGTTTTAAATTTGGTGTTCTTAATTTTTTGGGGGGTTTTTAAGCTAATTTTGGCCTTAAATGTAATACTTTTAAGAATTTTTAAATGTCAGCATTCCAAATTATGATCTCTTTCAGCGCTGACATGAAATGAATGAAAGAGGGAGAAGCCTCTTCAGTAGATAGCGTTACCTGGGTAACAGAGGGAGGGGGGAAATTCCTGTGAAAAGAAAGTGCTTGGGACGAAGAGATGGATCTGCATGATGGCCAATGAGACATTGGGGTTGAAGAACGGAAAGGGAGGCGTTTGGAAGGAGGTGCCAATCTTGGCTGCACCAGAGTTCAGGCATGTTATTTTTACCTTTTATTTGGCCCCGCCCCCAATCTATTTGCTGCCTCCCGAGTCCCAGCTGATCGGCTAGAAGGAAAAAAACTGTTTAAACTCTTGCCGCGGGGCTTCAAAGGGCCGCCCTACAGCTGATCAGTGTTAAAAGGCAGTGTGGTGGTAGACCAGTGCCTCCAAAAACAAATGAATAGACCGGTGCCTCAAAAAACAAATAGGTAGACCGGGACGCTCCAAGAACAAATGGGTAGACCAGTGCACTCGAAAAACAAATGGGTAGACCGGTACAACTGTGCAAGCAGTTAAAAGCCTGGTAGACCAGTACCTCTGCTAAATCCTAAAGAATTGTCACCTGATCATCAAACCACACCCACAAAATAAGCCACGCCCACAGTAAAAAATTTTAGAACCCACCCCTGCCCGGGGCGTGACACAAAGGCAACACAGCCAGAGAACTGAAATGAGTCCCTTTATTATCACCAACTGTGCCCCAAATATCCCTTTCAGCTCTCCGGCCTGGAGAGAGTTCTTCCACCTGTAATAGACTTTGGCTGGCAATACTTCAGTCCCAAACGTTGTAAACAACTAAAAATCCCACAGGTAATTAATCTGGCAGGGCAAGCAAAATAGGGAATTCCGGAAGTGAAGTAGCACGGCAGTAAATCAAACCAGTTGGGAGGATGCCAGGAATTCAGATAAGCACCAGATGAACTCAGTGTTTGTTCCAGACAACCAGCCCTCCCATTTGCCTCTCCTTTAAACTCCATCCCCAGGTGTGCCTTGTGAAGGGAATCGGGGCCCTTTCCTCCCTCATAAGCCAGGCAACCCATGTTGCTCTCTTCTCCGTTCCTCCCTGTGCTGCCTAGGAAGAGGAGGGGGTAGGCCTTGGTCTTCAATTGAATCCCTTCTCCCTTGTTCTAACTCTCCCCTGCTCTGCCCAGCCTGACTTTGCCCTTCCCCAGTTTCTTCCACAGCCAACGGATCCCCTCTCTCACTCTTCCCCTTCGGATTCAGACTCCGACAGGGCATGACAAAGGCCAACCTGCAACTATAAACGTATTTGAGACCAAGATCGTGTGCAGTTATTAATGTCATACAGCTGGGACCTTCTCTTAAATTTGCACCACCAGATTTGTTTAATCCCAATTCCTAATCTTCTCAAATTTCCACCGGTATCTCCCAACTCAAGCCAATTGTAATAGGCCAGAATGGTGAGAACGAAGAGCAGATTATGCCAAGGGACATGAGATTCCTGGCTAAGACCCAAACTAAAACTTCTTTAGGTTTAGCCTGCTTAGCATCAGAGGATGGACTTTGAAGCGAGTGATTGACAGTCAATTCTCACTTCTAATGATTTCAATTCTTTCTTGGTCTCTGTTGGCTTTTCAACAAGTGACACGAACGAGCTATGGTGGTGCAGTGGTTAGAGTGCATTACTGCAAGCTACTTCTGCTGACTGCTGGCTGCCTGCAATTTGGCAGTTCGGGTCTCATCGGCTCAAGGTTGACTCAGTCTTCCATCCTTCCAAGGTCAGTAAAATGAGGACCCGGTTTGTTGGGAGCAAGAGGCTGACTCTGTAGACCACTTAGAGAGGCCTGGAAAGCACAAATCAAAAAGAGAGCTGTGAAAATATTTATAGACCCCTCGCATCCTGGATATAAACTGTCTCAACTCCTACCCTCAAAATGACGCTATAGAGCACTGTACACCAGAACAACTAGACACAAGGACAGTTTTTTCCCTAACGCCATCACTCTGCTAAACAACTAATTCCCTCAACACTGTCACACTATTTACTAAGTCTGCACTACTATTAATCTTCTCATCGTTCCTATCACCCATCTCCTTCCACTTATGACTAAAACCATGTTGCTTGTATCTTTACAATTTATATTGACTGTTTCCTAATATGATTTGATTGCTTAATGACTATCATTATGTGATGTACCTTATGATTCTTGAGGAACGTATCTTTTCTTTTAAGTACTCCGAGAGCGTATGCACCAAGACAAATTCCTTGTGTGTCCAATCACACTTGGCCAATAAAGAATTCTGTTCTGTTCTGTTCTGCTCTGCTCTGCTCTATTCTATTCTATTCTATTCTATTCTATTCTATTCTATTCTATTCTATTCTATTCTATTCTATTCTATTCTATTCTATTCTATTCTATTCTTTTCTATTCTACTCTACTCTACTCTACTCTACTCTACTCTACTCTACTCTATTCTACTCTACTCTATTGTATTCTCTCTTCTCTTCTAGTCTCTCCTCTCCTCTCCATTATTCTATTCTATTCTATTCTATTCTATTCTATTCTATTCTATTCTATTCTATTCTATTCTATTCTATTCTATTCTATTCTATTCTATTCTATTCTATTCTACTCTACTCTACTCTACTCTACTCTACTCTTTTATGTACACTGAGAGCATATGCACCAAGACAAATTCCTTGTGTGTCCAATCACACTTGGCCAATAAAGAATTCTGTTCTGTTCTGTTCTGTTCTGTTCTGTTCTAGTCTAATCTAGTCTAGTCTAGTCTAGTCTAGTCTAGTCTAGTCTAGTCTAGTCTAGTCTAGTCTAGTCTAGTCTAGCCTAGTCTAGTCTAGTCTAAGTTCTATTGCTATTAAGCGGTGATTGTTTGACATAGAGTGCTGTACTAACACAGTCAGGATCCTTCTGTTTTGCGGGATTGACATCATGACACTAGCTTCATGTTTTACGTAATTCTTATTTAATAAAAAAGACAAGGCAAGAAAAAAGATTTAAGATGCTGGTGCAAGAGATTTATTCCGGTTCATTTGCACATAGGAGATTTATTCCGGTTCATTTGCACATAGGAGATTTATTCCGGTTCGTCCATGTGTGGAGATCAGACACCACAGCGCTGCGATGGGTCATCTAGTCGATAGTGCTCATGTTCACATGTTTCTGGATTTATCACCGTTGTGCACCCTTCAACACTTGCAAGACCACCATATCTTTGAAGGGGAGGGGGGAAAGGAGGTGGAAGAAGAGGAAGAAGGAAGGGTAATGGTCAGTCAACGTTGATTTTAATTGGCAAATAACGCTACGATTATCTGCCACTTTAGAAGTTGGAGAGAACTATTGAACTATTTCTGGGAGAAAGGTTGATTTGGCCAAAGTAGATGTGAGATTTCACCAATCTCACATCTACTAAGACCATGTCCAGTTCCTCAAGAGCAACTGGCCAAAATTTTCCTAGATAACAAGGATCAGCCAGGATCTGCCCAGTTAGGAACCAACTCTGAGGAAAGCTGAGCTCTATCTGAGAGATGGAATATTTTTTGCACAGCCCCCCTGGAAAACATCCCCCACCTCCCGTGTACCAAGGAGGGACCTGATCACCCAAAATAGGGCTGCTGGTCAGTTATCCATCAATGCAAAAAGGGTGGAGAAGTCATTACACTTTCCTGTCCGTTCCTCTTTCATCTGAAGGTAAGTCCTAAGGTAGGTTCTTACTTGCCCTCTTTGGCCTTACTCTTTGTCTGCCTCCAGCATCACTCTGGGCATCCCTAATGCAGAAGATTTATGTAGAAGTTCTGCCCTTTTCTTTCTTTCTTTCTTTCTTTCTTTCTTTCTTTCTTTCTTTCTTTCTTTCTTTCTTTCTTTCTTTCTTTCTTTCTTTTTCTTTCTGTCTGTCTGTCTGTCTTTCTTTCTTCTTCTTTCTTTCTGTCTTTTTTTCTGTCTATGTTTCTTTGTCTTTTCTTTCTTTCTTTTTCTTTCTTTCTGTCTTTTTTTCTGTCTATGTTTCTTTGTCTTTTCTTTCTTTCTTTCTTTCTGTCTGTCTTTTTTTCTGTCTTTTTTTCTTTCTTTTCTTTCTGTCTTTCTTTCTTTCTGTCTTTCTTTCTTTCTTTTTTTTTTGTCTTTTTTCTGTCTTTCTGTCTTTCTGGCTGTGTTTTTTCTTTTCTTTCTTTCTTTCTGTCTGTGTTTTTTCTTTTCTTTCTTTCTGTCTTTTTTCTGTCTTTCTTTCTTTCTTTTCTTTCTGTCTTTCCGTCTTTTTTTCTGTCTGTGTTTTTTTTCTTTTCTTTCTTTCTGTCTGTCTTTTTTTCTTTCTTTTCTTTCTGTCTTTCTTTCTGTCTGTGTTCTTTCTTTCTTTCTTTCTTTCTTTCTTTCTTTCTTTCTTTCTTTCTTTCTCTTTCGGAATACATGCTATCTCAATAAATGCCTGTGGCTTATAGAATTGGCGAGTTTCTAATATTATGAAAAAGTAAAAAGTTGAGGGTAGATCTTAACGTCTTATTTTACTGCATCAAAGGAGTCGGACGTCAATGCCTCCCCCCCCACATTTTCTCTTCCTTTCCCCCACTATCCACTTCCCTTTTTCCAACTTGACCTAAGATTTGCTTTTCTATTCTTTTTGTAAGTCATATTATAAATTAATGGAACTATGAATATAAAAAAAATAAATGCTTGTGGCTTAACCTAAGAGAAAACATGCAAATTATTATCTCTGATGGTGGCCTAGAAGCTCTTCCTACCTGTGGCAGCAATCCATTCCATCTTTATCGCACCCGCATCTTAAACAATTAGCTGTGTTCCAAGTGGACCCAATGAGATGCTTTGTCCCATCATGTCTATCAAGACATGTGCTTGGCTTCACTACTTTACCTAACAAAAAAAGGATGGAAGAGTTGAAAGTTGAACCATCAACATAACCCACAATCCCCAAGCTGTACTGAGAAACCTACTTCTTTTAGAAATCTACCATTGGACAAATGTGACTAGTATACAAATTATCCGCACTCGATGCAAAGCAGTTTATTTTATTGATTGATCAGTTTTGGAAGGACCCCTGATGATCAAATGACTTCTGCATTAATGCAAAAGGTGTTTCGTGGCCCAGTTAAGAGACCTTTAATGAAAGCTTGGGGTGTAAAAATTAAGCCCGCAACATTTCTCCTGGCATTTGCTAAACCTTTGCAAGCAGTACAGTGATGATTTGCTCAAATGAATAAAGAGTTTGGTTACCATCTATAAACTCAACCTTAAAGGGACCTACAAAGCACGCTCCTTGACATGTAGTCAGCAAGAGAGAGAAGATGATCAGGCTGAAGAAGACTTTCTGAGAAAGGGAAAGAAAAAAAGAAAGAATAAACCATGAGAGATATTACTACTTGTTTGAGCAACTGACTGTTCAAAGTTTTATAAAAGTCCTGTTTGATAATGCGATGTTGTCCATGAACTTTAGGAAAAGCCCTTTGGGTTAAGTTTACAATCTTGTGCAAGCATGGAGTTTAATCCCTGTTGCACAAGAGGATCAACCTGGAACATCTCCCTCCCCTTTTTGTGTCAGTTGCACACAATCCAGAATACCTCAATATCTCAATCATTTGTTCATCCACCCAGTAGTCCTCAGTGTGAAATATTTTTCCATCCTACAGAATATTTTGTCTCCTCCAGAGACAAAACTCCCCATTGGTATCATTGGGATTGACTCCCACACCACAGATGTGCCTTAGCCCCACACCAGTTTCCTCCCCTTTTCATACCTTCTTCCACCTGGGATGCTTTGTGGAAGGAAAGTGACAATCCTGACTCTCCATTCCTGACTTGATATTCCCTTCATACCAAATAGTGCATTCCTGCATTTGTGTATCTCTCTAAAATACTGTTAAATAACTAGAATATAAACTCTGCTTTTGAGTCCTTGCCCAAAAATTAGACCAGCAACATCTGGATTCTAAACTCATCTCACCCAACCCAAAATGTAATTCCTTGGTTTTGCAAAGAGTTCAGTTTGTCCTATCTCTATTTTGGAGTTCTAAAGAAGCATCTGATGACTTCTGGTCTTCATTTCTTTCTTCTTTTATTGTATCTAAATAGTGTACAGAGTATTTCTTCCACTATTATAACCACAGTTACAACTCTCAGTTCTGCTGCGAGAGCGTGACTATCCCAAAGGGGCCACTTCATTCCTCCAGCCATTCTTTTCTCACGTCCAAGTCAGTTCAAGCTCCTCTTGCAAATGAAGATTAAACCGTTTTACTTACCATCCTGGCTTTGGGGAAGACCCAGGAAACTCTTGGTAGGGAGGAAGGAGAAGGAGCAGCACCTCTCTCTGAGGCCAGCAAGGAATCTGCTCCTCCAATTTATACAAAAACGAAGACCGCCCCTTGTGCAATTTTTTTTTTAAAAAAGTGCTGAGTGAAAGTTTTGTCAGAATAGCCACTGCCAGAAGGAAAACATTTGCTCTAGGACTAATTTGTGTTTATTTTGGAGATATGATAAAGGGAAAGTATTTCGTCAACTTTAGGACAACATGGCTAGAAAAAGACCAGATTACGGTGAGATTGAAAGCCTCTAGCAAAATATGAGAAGTTGAAACAGCCAGATGTGCAGCTTCCTCACCACCTTCTCCCAAGATGAACCCTACCCATTTTGAGGATTGTAACCCAAAGTATTTGGTTGTCCTATTCTTGGGAGTGGGATTTACTCTTATTACTTTCCAGGGACTCCCAAACCAAAATTAAGCATGTTAGAGCTTTGGTAATATCATCTGAGTCCTGCCTTTATATGGTTTTCCCTGCATGCTTTTTATCTGTCCATTCAAATCTTCAATAAGGCATTTGACAGAGTAGACTTGCTTTCCCTGAAGGCTCTTTCTCTCTTGGTTACAATCTCACATGTTTTTGTCCTGTGATAGTCCTACCCACAGGCTCTCTGGCTCTGCTCAAGAGGAACTGAGTACTCTCCCATGGATTTCCTGCAGATTTCCTCCTCTTTCTGTTAAAGGTGCACAGAGTGCTTTGCCCCAATTCTTGGTCTTTAATGAGACAAAATTTCTACTTTCCAAGAATTCCAATATTCCAAGGTGGTTGATGGCCTGGAGCAGTAAGAGGCTTCCATAATTCTCTGCTTCCTTCTTGTACAGTTCTTTGCACCGGCCACAAATGTTGCTGCAAACCACTTCCAAAGCATAAGGCGTTTAATGCTTCTCAAGAAATGTGCACCCAATCTTTGTTTTAAGCAACAGGAATCCTTGATTGAACCATGCATGATTTTCTTCCTGAAGCTTTTGGCTAAAGTCTCCAGTCCTATGCCATGTTTGTTTGTTTCAAATGTTTAAATAGCCTGATTGTTTGTCTGTCTTTTCTTGTCTGGCTATTTTTCCTGCTTCTCTGAACAATGTGATTTACACAGTCCATTTTTTCTCCACAGAGTCTTTCATATATGATTCTACGTTTTGAGTCACGTACCGATGATGGTTTTCAAATTTTACTTCACACCTTTTGTGTATCCCACTGTTTACTGAAAGTGAAGGGAATTGCTGGGGAATATTAATAAATTCATTGAACCACAGGTGTGTGTGTGTGTGTGTGTGTGTGAGTGAGTGGGGTTAACACACCAGAGTTAAAACTTGTCAGTAAGAAAGACAAAACAAATCTTGTGTAGCCCCATAGTAAGACAGGTAGTAAATAAAGTTAACTAATGATGATGAGGATGATGAGAATGAGGATGAGGATAGTAATAATAATAGTGCCACTTAACTATGATGTTTCTCTTGGACAACTCCACGGATTCCTCCTCTGAGCTGACTCAGAGGAGGATGAGCCCATTCCTGGCACGGCAGAAATGGCAGGAGTTGATTGATGGCTCTGAATGGCTGGCCAGAAGAGATTTGGAGGAGGCTACAGCTAGGAAAAGCTTGGAGTGGCAGATGGCCAGCGAAGAGGGGGAGGAACTGTCTTCTGCACCTGATCTGAAAACCCATAGAGCAGAGAAAAGGCAGGAGCAATGGAGGTCAGTCAGACTACTTAAGAGGACAAGGCCTTGCCTGCCTTGATGGGTTGAACCAGAAAGCTGGCTATTTATCACAGAAGACTTTCTGAGAAAGGGAAAGAAAAAAGAAAGAATAAGTCATGAGATATCTTGCTAATTGTTTCAGAAACTGGCTGTTCAAACTTTTTCTAATTCCCCTCTGATAATTCAATGAGCTTCATGAACTTTGGAACAAGCCCTCTAGGTTAAGTTTACCATCTTCTGCAAGTGTGCAGTTTGGTCTCTGTTGCACAAGAGGGTCACCCTGGAATATCTCCCTCCCCTCTTTGTGTCCACTGCACACAATCCAGGATACCTGAATATCTCAACACTTTAACAGAGGTTAACAGGTTAACAGATTTGGAAAGAACCCTGTAGGTCATCTAGTCAACTGTCTTAATTTGATCTAAATAACGTACAGAATGAACCTCTGATTATTTTCCCCACAGTTACGACCTCGTACAGTGACTGTCCCAAAGGGCCCCCTCATTTGTCCGGCCCTTCCCTTCTCACGTCCAAGGAAATTGGGCTCCGGTTGGAAGCGAAGAACAAACCATTTTACTTACCATCTTGGCTTCGGGGGAGACCCAGGAAACTCTTGGTAGGGAGGAAGGACAAGGAGCCGCACTTCTCTCTGAGGCCAGCAAGGAATCTGCTCCTAAATTAAATGAAAACCCAAGACCTCCCCTTCTGCAATTTTCTTTAAAAAATATTCTGAGTGAAGGTTTTGGCAAAATATCCACTTCCAGAGGGAAAACATTTGCTTTACAAATAGTTTTGTGTTTGTTTTGCAGATGTGATGAAAGAAGAGCATTTCATCAGCTTCAGATCCACCTGGCTAGAAAAAGACCAAATGACGGAGAGATTGAAGATCTCCAGCAGAATGTGAGAAATTGAAACGGCCAGATGTGCAGCCTCCACCCAGCTTCTCCCAAGATGCCCCCTACCCATATTGAGGACTCAGGATAGTAGACCACCAGGTGATACTGTCCTCTCAGAAGTGGGTTTCAGTCTCAGTCTTTCCCAGGGACTTCCAAGCCAGAATAGGGCATTTGAGAGCCTCAGGAATGTCCTCTCTTGATATGGCTTTCCCTGCAGGCTCCTTGTGGGTGACAATCTCGGGGGTTTTTGTCCTGCATTAATCCTGCCCACCTGCTCTCTGGCTCTGCCATACCTTGCCGTACTGCATGGCTGACATTATGACATAAGCTTCATATTTTACATAACTGTTATTTAATAAAAAGAAAAGGCAAGAAAAATGGTTTTAGATGCTGATTTGAGAGATTTATTCAGGTTCATTTACACATGAGAGATTCATTCCAGTTTGTCCACGCGAAGAGATCAGACATCACAGCGCTGCGTTGGGTCATCAAGTTTATAGTATTCATATTCACATGTCGTATGATTTACCTGCCATTTGCACCCTGGAGTATCTTTAATTTCTCTATGAAGGAGGAAGAAAAGGGAGGAGGAGGAAGAAGGAGTGGCCATGGTCAGTCAAAATTTCAGATGGCATTTCTGTCTTTATTGTATCTAAATAATGTACAGAGTATTTCTCCCATTTTTGTAGCCACAGCTATGACTCTTGGTTCTGCTATGAGAGCGTAACGGTCCCTAAAGGGCCATCACATTCCTCCAGCCATTCTAGTCAAGATTGAGCAAAAGCCCCCCTAGCCATGGCTGCCACCAGCTCCTTCAGCAGCAGCTGTGAGTTTAAGAAGACCCTCCCCCAAATTGTGTAGCCGTTCAATCTGGGGGAGTGCCACCCAATTCCTTTTCTATTCTTTTTGTATGCAATATCATATGTCATAATGAAACTATGAATATGACAAAATAAATGCTTGTGGCTTAATGTAAGAGAAAATGTGCAAATTCATATATTTTATGGTGTCCTCGAAGCTCTTCGTACCCGTGGCAGCAGAACATTCCATCTCTACCACAGTGGCACCTATAACAATCCTCTGCGATCCAATGGGACCCAATGAGATGCATTTTCCGATCATAGAGATCAAGACATACGTTTGGTGGCACGTATTGACCTGAGAAGGAAGAACGGAAGAGTTGAAAGTTGAACCTGCAGCAGAATCCAAACCGCCAAACCGTTGCAAGAAAGTTGGAGACTACTACCAGAAATCTACTATTGGTTAAATGTGACAAAGTCTATAGAGATTCTCAGTCATCCAGGTTATGGTTGTCCCAAAGATGGGACAAAAATCACCTGGATGACTGAGAATCTCTTCAGACTTTTAGCTATAAAATTTGGGAAGGACACCCTGGGAATGGATTTCCAGAAGAAAAATTGCAGACTACAGGAACCAGGAGCACCACTCAGGTGATCCTGAGGACACAGATAAGCCTCCAAGTGCTTCAACCACCCTCTAAAAGGATGCAAATGACCAGCTGTCTGCAAGGAATATCAATCCTTCCATTCTCCACCATCCAGTCAGAGTTGAAGAAGATTCTTGGATGAGAAGCAAAACATCTTCAAAGAAAAAACAAAGTCCAGTTGTCTCCTGAAAAAACCCACCTTTGGGATAAATGTGACAAGTATAAAATTTCTTTGCATTGACTAACTACCATTATATTTTAATGATTGATTAGATTAGTAAGGAGCCCTGATGATCAAACATCTTCTGCATTAACACCGTCGGTGTTTCCTGGCCCACTTTAATGAAAACCTGGGTTGTAAAAATTAAGCCCACAACGTTTCTCCCTGCATTACTAAACCTTGGCAAGCAGCACAGCGATGATTTGATTAAATGTATAAAGAGTTTGGTTACCAGGTTTAGCTTGAAGCTCAAAGTCAACCAGATAGCATGCTTGACATGGAACCAGCAGGAGAGAGAAGACGATCAGGCTGAAGAAGACTTTCTGAGAAAGGGAAAGAAAAAAGAAAGAATAAGTCATAAGAGATCTTACTAATTGTTTCAGAAACTGGCTGTTCAAACTTTTTCTAATTCCCCTCCGATAATTCAATCAGGTTCATGAACTATGGAACAAGCCCTCTGGGTTAAGTTTACCATCTTCTGCAAGTGTGCAGTTCGGTCTCTGTTGAACAAGAGGGTCACCCTGGAACATCTCCCTCCGCTCTTTGTGCCAGGTGCACACAATCCAGGATACCCGAATATCTCAACACTTTCACAGAGGTTAACAGATTAACAGAGTTGGGGGAACTTTGTAGGCCATCTAGTCAACCCTTCCACCCAAGCAGGAGGCCCTAGACCATTTCTGACAGAGGGCAGTCCAATGTCTTCTTGAAAGCTTCCAGTGATGAAGCTCCCACAACTTCTGAAGGCAACTTCTGTCCCATCTCTTGATTGCTTTCACTGTCAGAAAATTCCTCCTTATTTCTATGTTGAATCTCTCTTGGTTCAGTTTCCATCCATTATTCCTTGTCTGGCCTTCAGGTGCTTTGGAAAATAGCTTGACCCCCTTCCTCTTTTGATAGCCCCTCAAATATTGGAAGACTGCTATCGTGTCTCCTCTCGTCCTTCTCTTCACTAGACTGGCCATGCCCGGTTCCTGCAACCATTCATCATATGCTTTAGCCTAATCATCCTGGTTGCTCTTCTCTGCACTCTTTCTAGAGTCTCAACATCTTTTTTATAGTGTGGTGACCAAAACTGGATGCAGGATTCTAGGTGTGGTCTTACCAAGGCTTTATAGAGTGGTATTAGCAACTCACTTGCTCTTGATTGTATCCCTCTGTTAATGCAATTTAGGATTGAATTGGCTTTTTTGACTGCCTTTGTTTATCTAACCCTTTGTTTGTCCGCCTCCCTAGCAGTCCTCACCATGGAACGTCTTTCTGTCCTTCTCCCCCCAGAGGCAAAATTGTTGGGATTCACCCCACACAGTGAAGGGAAATATGCCTTACCCAGATATATACATTCCTGCTCCTTTTTCGGGCCTTTTCCCACCCGCGATGCTTTGTCCATTGTGACTCTGTGCCCTTGAGTTGTGATGTCCCTCACACCAAAAGTGCATTTTGGTATTTGGGTATCTGTCATTAATCCTTCCAAATAGCTAGAAAGTTCACTCTGCTTTGAAGCCCTTGTCCCAAAATTAGACCACAAAACTCTGGATTTTAAACTCATCCCACTCACCCCAAAATGCAACTTATTGGTTTTGCAAAAAGTTCTTTCTGTCCTATCTCTCTTTTGGAGTTCAAAAGAAACATCTGATGGCATTTGATTTCTTCCTGTATTTCTATCCTTCTTCGATCCAAATAACATACAGAATGAATCTCTGATTATTTTCCCCAAACTTAACATCTTCTACGGTGACTTTCTAAGGTGGGCTTTAGTTGCAAATGAAGAACAAACCATTTTACTTACCATCTTGGCTTCGGGGGAGACCCAAGAAACTCTTGGTAGGGAGGAAGGACAAGGAGCCGCACTTCTCTCTGAGGCCACAAAGGAATCTGCTCCTCCAATTTAAATGAAAACCCAAGACCTCCCCTTCTGCAATTTTCTTAAAAAAATATATTCTGAGCGAAGGTTTTGGCAAAATATCCACTTTCAGAGGGAAAACATTTCTTTACAAATAGTTTTGTGTTTGTTTTGCAGATGTGATAAAGGGAAAGCATTTCATCAGCTTCAGATCCACCTGGCTAGAAAAAGACCAAATGACGGAGAGATTGAAGATCTCCAGAAGAATGTGAGAAATTGAAACGGCCAGATGTGCAGCCTCCAGCCCAGCTTCTCCCAAGATGCCCCCTACCCATATTGAGGACTCAGGATGGTAGACCACCAGGTCTACTGTTCTCTCGGAAGTGGGATTCAGTCTCAGTCTTTCCCAGGGACTTCCAAGCCAGAATGGGGCATTTGAGAGCCTCAGGAATGTCCTCTCTTGATATGGATTTCCCTGCAGGCTCCTTGTGGGTGACAATCTCAGGGGTTTCTGTCCTTCATTAATCCTGCCCACTTGCTCTCTGGCCCTGCTCAAGGTGAGCTACATATTCCCCCAACGGATCTCCTGTAAGAGACTTTTCTGTTCAAGGTTCCAATGTCCTCTTTCATAATATGATGTTGTTCATGAACTTTGGAAAAGGCCCTCTAGGTTAAGTTTACAAAATTGTGCAAGTGGGCATTTGAACTCTATTACCCAACAGGGTCAACCTGGAACATCTTCCTCCAGAATACTTGAATATCTCTCTCTCCATTGATGTTGTTGGGATTGAGCCCACCATAGATGGGCAGAGATGTGCCTTATCCTCGCATTGGTGGGATCTGCCACTTTTTCATGCCTTCTGCCACTCGTGATGCTTTGGTGGGAGGAGAAGGGATAGCTCTGACTGTAATCCTGAGATGATATGTCCCCCATACCAATAAATGTGTTTCTGCATTTGTGTGTCCCCTGTTAATCCTACTAAATAGCTAGAGAGTAAACAAAATGCAAGAGTCCTGGCCCACATAGTACCCCAGGGAAATTTGGATGTTACATTCACCCCATGTATCACAAAATGTAATTCATTCGTTTTGTGAATGTATATATTTTGTCCTTTGTCTCTTCTGAAGTTGTAAAGAAACTTGACCTGATGGCATCCGATTGTCATTTCTTTCTGTTATTTCTATCTTTATTTTCTCTAAATTACGTACACAATGAACCTCTGATTATTTCCCCAACAGTTACAACCTAATTGTCCCAAAGCCCCCCCCCCCATTTCCTCCGGCCATTCCCTTCCCTTCTCCCGGCCAAGGAAATTGGGCTCCGGTTGCAAGTGAAGAACAAACCATTTTACTTACCATCCTGGCTTTGGGGGAGACCCAAAAAATTCCTAGTCGGGAGGAAGGAGAAGGAGCTATATTTCTCTCTGAGGCCAGCAAAGAATCTTACACAGGAATATGTGACTTTTAAAGAAATGATGGAAAAATTGCTCCTTTTTATTCAAGATTTCCAATCAATGCAATTTTGTATGGTACATAGCTTTGCATAGTCATAAGAAGTATTTTATCTTTATATATATATTCGTATAGACCAAAGTTTTCCAAACTTGGCAACATTCATTGCCATTTGCAGCATCTCTTGGTCACAGTTTATGACATTTCCCCAAAAACTGATGTGAGAGGTTTATTCAGGTTCATTTACACATGAGAGATTCATTCCAGTTTGTCCACGCGAAGAGATCAGACATCACAGCGCTGCGTTGGGTCATCAAGTTTATAGTATTCGTATTGACATGTCACATCATTTTGCACTGCTTTGCACCCTGGAATCTTTTTAACTTCTCTATGAAGGAGGAAGAAAAGGGAGGAGGAGGAAGAAGGAGAGGTCATGGTCAGTCAAAGTTCCAGATAGTATTTCTGTCTTTATTGTATCTAAATAATGTACAGAGTATTTCTCCCATTTTTGTAGCTACAACGATGACTCTCGGTTCTGCTATGAGAGCGTGACAGTCCCAAAGGGCCACCACATTCCTCCAGCCATTCTAGTCAAGATTGAGCAAAAGCCCCCCGAGCCATGGCTGCCACCAGCTCCTTCAGCAGCAGCTGTGAGTTTAAGAAGACCCTCCCCCAAATTGTGTAGCCGTTCAATCTGGGGGAGTGCCACCCAATATAGAGCCAAAGGTGATATATGACCAGGTCCTTTGGGCAGGGAGCAAAAACCCACATCCATTCTATGATGCTATAGTTGAATCAAAACTGCTTCCTCCTCATCCTTTAAGGGCCTCCAGGTACTTGGCCAGAACCACCACAGCATCATCTATTTGAGTAAGGGTAGGTCACTAACTGGGGATCACCAGCATGTTGGTTCTGCACCCCATAGTGATGGGATGACTTCCCCCAAAACTCCATGTAGAGGTTGAAAAGGAGAGGTGGGAGTCTTGATCCCTGAGGTGTCCACGTTGTGGAGGACGTGACTTCTCCTTCTCCGCCAGTACCAACTGGAAGTGGCCATGGTGGAAAGAAGAGAACTACTGAAAACAATGTCTCCCAGAAAGGAGGTCCAGGAGGGAACCATGGTTGATGGCATCGAAAGTCACTGAGAGGTCCAGAAAAGCCAGAATGGTTGCATTTCTCCATCCCAGGCTCTCCAAAGAACGTCAACAAGTGTCACTGATGACATTTCAATGCTATGTCCCACTCTGAAACCAGAGTTAAAGGAATCTGGGAATTTGCTTCAGCTTGGTCCCTTTGCATACTCTCTCAACAATTGCATGAAAGTTATCTGTTGGGTCTAAGGATGGCCTCTTAAGACGTCAGGAGTTTCACCCCCTTCCACAGAGAGGGCTTAAATATCCTCCGATTAACCACTTGCTTTCTCCCAGGAGGGTCAAGCTCACCAATCTCTCACCTACTAAGACCATGTCTAGTTCCTCAAGAGCAACTGGCCAAAATTTTCCTAGATAACAAGGATCAGCCAGGATCTGCCCAGTTAGGAACCAACTCTGAGGAAAGCTGAGCTCTATCTGAGAATGGAATATTTTTTGCACAGCCCCCTGGAAAGCATCCCCCACCTCCCGTGTACCAAGGAGGGACCTGAACACCCAAAATAGGGCTGCTGGTCAGTTATCCGTCAATGCAAAAAGGGTGGAGAAGTCATTACACTCTTCTGTCTTTTTCTCTTTCACCAGAAGGTAAGTCCTAAGGTAGGTTCTTACTTGCCCTCTTTGGCCTTACTCTTTGTCTGCATCCAGCAGCACTCTGGACATCTCTAATGCAGAAGATTTATTTAGAAGGTCTGTTCTTTCTTTCTTTCTTTCTTTTTCTTTCTTTCTTTCTTTCTTTCTTTCTTTCTTTCTTTCTTTCTTTCTTTCTTCCTTCCTTCCTTCCTTCCTTCCTTCCTTCCTTCCTTCCTTCCTTCCTTCCTTCCTGAATATGTGATATCTCAATAAATTCCTGTGGCTTATAGAAATGGCTAGTGTCTTTCATGATGAAAAAGTAAAAAATTGAGGGTAGATCTCAATGCCTTATTTTACTGCACCAAAGGAAGTTGGAGGTCAATGCTTTCCCCCCCCTTGCTTTCTCCCACTATCCATTTCCCTTTTTCCTTTCCAAATTGACCTAATGTTTCCTTTTCTATTCTTTTTGTATGCAATATCATACGTCATAATAAAACTATGAATATGAAAAAATAAATGCTTGAGAAAGAGAAAATGTGCAAATTAATATATCTGATGGTGGCTTGGAAGCTGTTCCTACCGGTGGCAGCAATCCATTCCATCTCTATCACAGCGGCACCTATAACAATCCCTTGCGATCCAACGGGACCCAAAGAGATGCATTTTCCGATCATAGAGATCAAGACATACGTTTGGCGGCAAGTATTCACCTGAGAAGGAAGAACGGAAGAATTGAAAGTTGAACCTGCAGCAGACTCCAAACTGCCAAACCGTTGCAAGAAAGTTGGAGACTACTACCAGAAATCTACTATTGGATAAATGTGACAAAGTCTGTAGAGATTCTCAGTCATCCAGGTTATGGTTGTCCCAAAGATGGGACAAAAATCACCTGGATGACTGAGAATCTCTGCAGACTTTTAGCTATAAAATTTGGGATGGACACCCTTGGAATGGATTTGCAGAAGAAAAATTGCAGACTACAGGAACCAGGAGCACCACTCAGGTGATCCTGAGGACACAGATAAGCCTCCAAGTGCTTCAACCACCCTCTAAAAGGATGCAAATGACCAGCTGTCTGCAAGGAATATCAATCCTTCCATTCTCCACCATCCAGTCAGAGTTGAAGAAGATTCTTGGATGAGAAGCAAAACATCTTCAAAGAAAAAACAAAGTCCAGTTGTCTCCTGAAAAAACCCACCTTTGGGATAAATGTGACAAGTATAAAATTTCTTTGCATTGACTAACTACCATTATATTTTAATGATTGATTAGATTAGTAAGGAGCCCTGATGATCAAACATCTTCTGCATTAACACCGTCGGTGTTTCCTGGCCCACATTAATGAAAACCTGGGTTGTAAAAATTAAGCCCACAACGTTTCTCCCTGCATTACTAAACCTTGGCAAGCAGTACAGCGATGATTTGATTAAATGTGTAAAGAATTTAGTTACCAGGTTTAGCCATAACCTGAAAGGCAACCGAATAGCATGCTTGACATGTAACCAGCACGAGAGAGAAGACGATCAGGCTGAAGAAGACTTTCTGAGAAAGGGAAAGAAAAAAGAAAGAATAAGTCATAAGAGATCTTACTAATTGTTTCAGAAACTGGCTGTTCAAACTTTTTCTAATTCCCCTCCGATAATTCAGTGAGGTTCATGAACTATGGAACAAGCCCTCTGGGTTAAGTTTACCATCTTGTGCAAGTGTGCAGTTCGGTCTCTGTTGCACAAGAGGGTCACCCTGGAACATCTCCTCCCCTCTTTGTGTCCGCTGCCCACAATCCAGGATACCTGAATATCTCAACACTTTCACAGAGGTTAACAGATTAACAGAGTTGGGGGAACTTTGTAGGCCATCTAGTCAACCCTTCCACCCAAGCAGGAGGCCCTAGACCATTTCTGACAGAGGGCAGTCCAATGTCTTCTTGAAAGCTTCCGGTGATGAAGCTCCCACAACTTCTGAAGGCAACTTCTGTCCCATCTCTTGATTGCTTTCACTGTCAGAAAATTCCGCCTTATTTCTATGTTGAATCTCTCTTGGTTCAGTTTCCATCCATTATTCCTTGTCTGGCCTTCAGGTGCTTTGGAAAATAGCTTGACGCCCTTCCTCTTTTGACAGCCCCTCAAATATTGGAAAATGCTATCCTGTCTCCCCTGGTCCTTCTCTTCACTAGACTGGCCATGCCCGGTTCCTGCAACCATTGATCATATGCTTTAGCCTAATCATCCTGGTTGCTCTTCTCTGCACTCTTTCTAGAATCTATCCCTCTGTTAATGCAATTTAGGATTGCATTGGCTTTTTTGGCTGCCTTTGTTTATCTAACCCTTTGTTTGTCCGCCTCCCTAGCAGTCCTCACCATGGAACGTCTTTCTGTCCTTCTCCCCTCCAGAGGCAAAATTGTTGGGATTCACCCCACACAGTGAAGGGAAATATGCCTTACCCAGATATATCCGTTCCTGCTCCTTTTTCGGGCCTTTTCCCACCCGCTATTCTTTGTCCATCGTGACTCTGTGCCCTTGAGTTGTGATGTCCCTCACACCAAAAGTGCATTTTGGTATTTGTGTCTCTGTCATTAATCCTTCCAAATAGCTAGAAAGTTCACTCTGCTTTGAAGCCCTTGTCCCAAAATTAGACCACAAACCTCTGGATTTTAAAGTCATCCCACTCACCCCAAAATGCAACTTATTGGTTTTGCAAAAAGTTCTTTCTGTCCTATCTCTCTTTTGGAGTTCAAAAGAAACATCTGATGGCATTTGATTTCTTCCTGTATTTCTATCCTTCTTCGATCCAAATAACATACAGAATGAATCTCTGATTATTTTCCCCAAACTTAACATCTTCTACGGTGACTTTCTAAGGTGGGCTTTAGTTGCAAATGAAGAACAAACCATTTTACTTACCATCTTGGCTTCAGGGGAGACCCAGGAAACTCTTGGTAGGGAGGAAGGACAAGGAGCCGCACTTCTCTCTGAGGCCAGCAAGGAATCTGCTCCTCCAATTTAAATGAAAAACCAAGACCTCCCCTTCTGCAATTTTCTTTAAAAAATATTCTGAGTGAAGGTTTTGGCAAAATATCCACTTTCAGAGGGAGAACATTTGCTTTACAAATAGTTTTGTGTTTGTTTTGCAGATGTGATGAAAGAAGAGCATTTCATCAGCTTTAGATCCACCTGGCTAGAAAAAGACCAAATGACGGAGAGATTGAAGATCTCCAGCAGAATGTGAGAAATTGAAACGGCCAGATGTGCAGCCTCCAGCCCAGCTTCTCCCGAGATGCCCCCTACCCATATTGAGGACTCAGGATAGTAGACCACCAGGTGATGCTGTCCTCTCAGAAGTGGGATTCAGTCTCAGTCTTTCCCAGGGACTCCCAAGCCAGAATGGGGCATTTGAGAGCCTCAGGAACGTCCTCTCTTGATATGGCTTTCCCTGCAGGCTCCTTGTGGGTGACAGTCTCGGGGGTTTCTGTCCTTCATTAATCCTGCCCACTTGCTCTCTGGCCCTGCTCAAGGTGAGCTACATATTCCCCCAACGGATCTCTTGTAAGAGACTTTTCTGTTCAAGGTTCCAATGTCCTCTTTCATAATATGATGTTGTTCATGAACTTTGGAAAAGGCCCTCTCGGTTAAGTTTACAAAATTGTGCAAGTGGGCATTTGAACTCTATTACCCAACAGGGTCAACCTGGAACATCTTCCTCCAGAATACTTGAATATCTCTCTCTCCATTGATGTTGTTGGGATTGAGCCCACCATAGATGGGTGGAAACGTGCCTTATCCTCGCATTGGTGGGATCTGCCACTTTTTCATGCCTTCTGCCACTCGTGATGCTTTGGTGGGAGGAGAAGGGATAGGTCTGACTGTAATCCTGAGATGATATGTCCCCCATACCAATAAATGTGTTTCTGCATTTGTGTGTCCCCTGTTAATCCTACTAAATAGCTAGAGAGTAAACAAAATGCAAGAGTCCTGGCCCACATAGTACCCCAGGGAAATTTGGATGTTACATTCACCCCATGTATCACAAAATGTAATTCATTCGTTTTGTGAATGTATATATTTTGTCCTTTGTCTCTTCTGAAGTTGTACATTTTCTGTACATCTTCATTTCTTTCTGTTATTTCTATCTTTATTTTCTCTAAATTACGTACACAATGAACCTCTGATTATTTCCCCAACAGTTACAACCTGACTGTCCCAAAGGCCCCCCCCCATTCCTCCGGCCATTCCCTTCCCTTCTCACGTCCAAGGAAATTGGGCTCCGGTTGCAAGTGAAGAACAAACCATTTTACTTACCATCTTGGCTTCGGGGGAGACCCAGGAAACTCTTGGTAGGGAGGAAGGACAAGGAGCCGCACTTCTCTCTGAGGCCAGCAAGGAATCTGCTCCTCCAATTTAAATGAAAACCCAAGACCTCCCCTTCTGCAATTTTCTTTAAAAAAATATTCTGAGTGAAGGTTTTGGCAAAATATCCACTTCCAGAGGGAAAACATTTGCTTTACAAAGAGTTTTGTGTTTGTTTTGCAGATGTGATGAAAGAAGAGCATTTCATCAGCTTCAGATCCACCTGGCTAGAAAAAGACCAAATGACGGAGAGATTGAAGATCTCCAAAAGAATGTGAGAAATTGAAACGGCCAGATGTGCAGCCTCTGGCCCAGCTTCCCCCAAGATGCCCCCTACCCATATTGAGGACTCAGGATAGTAGACCACCAGGTGATGCTGTCCTCTCGGAAGTGGGATTCAGTCTCAGTCTTTCCCAGGGACTCCCAAGCCAGAATGGGGCATTTGAGAGCCTCAGGAACGTCCTCTCTTGATATGGCTTTCCCTGCAGGCTCCTTGTGGGTGACAGTCTCGCGGGTTTCTGTCCTGCATTAATCCTGCCCACCTGCTCTCTGGCTCTGCCATACCTTGCCGTACTGCATGGCTGACATTATGACATAAGCTTCATATTTGACATAACTGTTATTTAATAAAAAGAAAAGGCAAGAAAAATGGTTTTAGATGCTGATTTGAGAGATTTATTCAGGTTCATTTACACATGAGAGATTCATTCCAGTTTGTCCACGCGAAGAGATCAGACATCACAGCGCTGCGTTGGGTCATCAAGTTTATAGTATTCATATTCACATGTCGTATGATTTACCTGCCATTTGCACCCTGGAGTATCTTTAATTTCTCTATGAAGGAGGAAGAAAAGGGAGGAGGAGGAAGAAGGAGTGGCCATGGTCAGTCAAAATTTCAGATGGCATTTCTGTCTTTATTGTATCTAAATAATGTACAGAGTATTTCTCCCATTTTTGTAGCCACAGCTATGACTCTCGGTTCTGCTATGAGAGCGTAACGGTCCCTAAAGGGCCATCACATTCCTCCAGCCATTCTAGTCAAGATTGAGCAAAAGCCCCCCTAGCCATGGCTGCCACCAGCTCCTTCAACAGCAGCTGTGAGTTTAAGAAGACCCTCCCCCAAATTGTGTAGCCGTTCAATCTGGGGGAGTGCCACCCAATTCCTTTTCTATTCTTTTTGTATGCAATATCATATGTCATAATGAAACTATGAATATGAAAAAATAAATGCTTGTGGCTTAATATAAGAGAAAATGTGCAAATTCATATATTTTATGGTGTCCTCGAAGCTCTTCGTACCCGTGGCAGCAGAACATTCCATCTCTACCACAGTGGCACCTATAACAATCCTCTGCGATCCAATGGGACCCAATGAGATGCATTTTCCGATCATAGAGATCAAGACATACGTTTGGTGGCACGTATTGACCTGAGAAGGAAGAACGGAAGAGTTGAAAGTTGAACCTGCAGCAGAATCCAAACCGCCAAACCGTTGCAAGAAAGTTGGAGACTACTACCAGAAATCTACTATTGGTTAAATGTGACAAAGTCTATAGAGATTCTCAGTCATCCAGGTTATGGTTGTCCCAAAGATGGGACAAAAATTACCTGGATGACTGAGAATCTCTGCAGACTTTTAGCTATAAAATTTGGGATGGACACCCTTGGAATGGATTTGCAGAAGAAAAATTGCAGACTACAGGAACCAGGAGCACCACTCAGGTGATCCTGAGGACACAGATAAGCCTCCAAGTGCTTCAACCACCCTCTAAAAGGATGCAAATGACCAGCTGTCTGCAAGGAATATCAATCCTTCCATTCTCCACCATCCAGTCAGAGTTGAAGAAGATTCTTGGATGAGAAGCAAAACATCTTCAAAGAAAAAACAAAGTCCAGTTGTCTCCTGAAAAAACCCACCTTTGGGATAAATGTGACAAGTATAAAATTTCTTTGCATTGACTAACTACCTTATATTTTAATGATTGATTAGATTAGTAAGGATCCCTGATGATCAAACATCTTCTGCATTAACACTGTCGGTGTTTCCTGGCCCACTTTAATGAAAACCTGGGTTGTAAAAATTAAGCCCACAACGTTTCTCCCTGCATTACTAAACCTTGGCAAGCAGCACAGCGATGATTTGATTAAATGTATAAAGAGTTTGGTTACCAGGTTTAGCTTGAAGCTCAAAGTCAACCAGATAGCATGCTTGACATGGAACCAGCACGAGAGAGAAGACGATCAGGCTGAAGAAGACTTTCTTTGAAAGGGAAAGAAAAAAGAAAGAATAAGTCATAAGAGATCTTACTAATTGTTTCAGAAACTGGCTGTTCAAACTTTTTCTAATTCCCCTCCGATAATTCAATCAGGTTCATGAACTATGGAACAAGCCCTCTGGGTTAAGTTTACCATCTTCTGCAAGTGTGCAGTTCGGTCTCTGTTGAACAAGAGGGTCACCCTGGAACATCTCCTCCCCTCTTTGTGTCCGCTGCCCACAATCCAGGATACCTGAATATCTCAACACTTTAACAGAGGTTAACAGATTAACAGAGTTGGGGGAAATTTGTAGGCCATCTAGTCAACCCTTCCACCCAAGCAGGAGGCCCTAGACCATTTCTGACAGAGGGCAGTCCAGTCTCTTCTTGAAATCTTCCGGTGATGAAGCTCCCACAACTTCTGAAGGCAACTTCTGTCCCATCTCTTGATTGCTTTCACTGTCAGAAAATTCCTCCTTATTTCTATGTTGAATCTCTCTTGGTTCAGTTTCCATCCATTATTCCTTGTCTGGCCTTCAGGTGCTATGGAAAATAGCTTGACCCCCTTCCTCTTTTGATAGCCCCTCAAATATTGGAAGACTGCTATCGTGTCTCCTCTCGTCCTTCTCTTCACTAGACTGGCCATGCCCGGTTCCTGCAACCATGGATCATATGCTTTAGCCTAATCATCCTGGTTGCTCTTCTCGGCACTCTTTCTAGAGTCTCGACATCTTTTTTATAGTGTGGTGACCAAAACTGCAGGATTCTAGGTGTGGTCTTACCAAGGCTTTATAGAGTGGTATTAGCAACTCACTTGCTCTTGATTGTATCCCTCTGATAATGCAATTTAGGATTGCATTGGCTTTTTTGACTGCCTTTGTTTATCTAACCCTTTGTTTGTCCGCCTCCCTAGCAGTCCTCACCATGGAACGTCTTTCTGTCCTTCTCCCCTCCAGAGGCAAAATTGTTGGGATTCACCCCACACAGTGAAGGGAAATATGCCTTACCCAGATATATCCGTTCCTGCTCCTTTTTCGGGCCTTTTCCCACCCGCGATGCTTTGTCCATCGTGACTCTGTGCCCTTGAGTTGTGATGTCCCTCACACCAAAAGTGCATTTTGGTATTTGTGTCTCTGTCATTAATCCTTCCAAATAACTAGAAAGTTCACTCTGCTTTGAAGCCCTTGTCCCAAAATTAGACCACAAACCTCTGGATTTTAAACTCATCCCACTCACCCCAAAATGCAACTTATTGGTTTTGCAAAAAGTTCTTTCTGTCCTATCTCTCTTTTGGAGTTCAAAAGAAACATCTGATGGCATTTGATTTCTTCCTGTATTTCTATCCTTCTTCGATCCAAATAACATACAGAATGAATCTCTGATTATTTTCCCCAAACTTAACATCTTCTACAGTGACTTTCTAAGGTGGGCTTTAGTTGCAAATGAAGAACAAACCGTTTTACTTACCATCTTGGCTTCAGGGGAGACCCAGGAAACTCTTGGTAGGGAGGAAGGACAAGGAGCCGCACTTCTCTCTGAGGCCAGCAAGGAATCTGCTCCTCCAATTTAAATGAAAACCCAAGACCTCCCCTTCTGCAATTTTCTTTAAAAAATATATTCTGAGTGAAGGTTTTGGCAAAATATCCACTTCCAGAGGGAAAACATTTGCTTTACAAATAGTTTTGTGTTTGTTTTGCAGATGTGATGAAAGAAGAGCATTTCATCAGCTTCAGATCCACCTGGCTAGAAAAAGATCAAATGAGGGAGAGATTGAAGATCTCCAGCAGAATGTGAGAAATTGAAACGGCCAGATGTGCAGCCTCCAGCCCAGCTTCTCCCAAGATGCCCCCTACCCATATTGAGGACTCAGGATGGTAGACCACCAGGTCTACTGTCCTCTCAGAAGTGGGATTCAGTCTCAGTCTTTCCCAGGGACTTCCAAGCCAGAATAGGGCATTTGAGAGCCTCAGGAACGTCCTCTCTTGATATGGCTTTCCCTGCAGGCTCCTTGTGGGTGACAGTCTCGCGGGTTTCTGTCCTGCATTAATCCTGCCCACCTGCTCTCTGGCTCTGCCATACCTTGCCGTACTGCATGGCTGACATTATGACATAAGCTTCATATTTGACATAACTGTTATTTAATAAAAAGAAAAGGCAAGAAAAATGGTTTTAGATGCTGATTTGAGAGATTTATTCAGGTTCATTTACACATGAGAGATTCATTCCAGTTTGTCCACGCGAAGAGATCAGACATCACAGCGCTGCGTTGGGTCATCAAGTTTATAGTATTCATATTCACATGTCGTACGATTTACCTGCCATTTGCACCCTGGAATCTTTTTAATTTCTCTATGAAAAAGGAAGAAAAGGGAGGAGGAGGAAGAAGGAGAGGCCATGGTCAGTCAAAATTTCAGATGGCATTTCTGTCTTTATTGTATCTAAATAATGTACAGAGTATTTCTCCCATTTTTGTAGCCACAGCTATGACTCTCGGTTCTGCTATGAGAGCGTAACGGTCCCTAAAGGGCCACCACATTCCTCCAGCCATTCTAGTCAAGATTGAGCAAAAGCCCCCCGAGCCATGGCTGCCACCAGCTCCTTCAGCAGCAGCTGTGAGTTTAAGAAGACCCTCCCCCAAATTGTGTAGCCGTTCAATCTGGGGGAGTGCCACCCAATTCCTTTTCTATTCTTTTTGTATGCAATATCAGATGTCATAATGAAACTATGAATATGAAGAAATAAATGCTTGTGGCTTAATGTAAGAGAAAATGTGCAAATTAATATATCTGTTGGTGTCCTCGAAGCTCTTCCTACCCGTGGCAGCAGAACATTCCATTTCTACCACAGTGGCACCTATAACAATCCTCTGCGATCCAACGGGACCCAATGAGATGCATTTTCCGATCATCGTCATCAAGACATACGTTTGGCGGCAAGTATTGACCTGAGAAGGAAGAACGGAAGAGTTGAAAGTTGAACCTGCAGCAGACTCCAAACTGCCAAACCGTTGCAAGAAAGTTGGAGACTACTACCAGAAATCTATTATTGGATAAATGTGACAAAGTCTGTAGAGATTCTCAGTCATCCAGGTTATGGTTGTCCCAAAGATGGGACAAAAATCACCTGGATGACGGAGAATCTCTACAGACTTTTAGCTAAAAAATTTGGGAAGGACACCCTGGGAATGGATTTGCAGAAGAAAAATTGCAGACTACAGGAACCAGGAGCACCACTCAGGTGATCCTGAGGACACAGATAAGCCTCCAAGTGCTTCAACCACCCTCTAAAAGGATGCAAATGACCAGCTGTCTGCAAGGAATATCAATCCTTCCATTCTCCACCATCCAGTCAGAGTTGAAGAAGCTTCTTGGATGAGAAGCAAAACATCTTCAAAGAAAAAACAAAGTCCAGTTGTCTCCTGAAAAAACCCACCTTTGGGATAAATGTGACAAGTATAAAATTTCTTTGCATTGACTAACTACCATTATATTTTAATGATTGATTAGATTAGTAAGGATCCCTGATGATCAAACATCTTCTGCATTAACACTGTCGGTGTTTCCTGGCCCACTTTAATGAAAACCTGGGTTGTAAAAATTAAGCCCACAACGTTTCTCCCTGCATTACTAAACCTTGGCAAGCAGCACAGCGATGATTTGATTAAATGTATAAAGAGTTTGGTTACCAGGTGGTGCCTGAAGCTTAAAGGGAACCATATAGCATGCTTGACATGTAACCAGCACGAGAGAGAAGACGATCAGGCTGAAGAAGACTTTCTGAGAAAGGGAAAGAAAAAAGAAAGAATAAGTCATAAGAGAGCTTACTAATTGTTTCAGAAACTGGCTGTTCAAAGTCTTTCGAATTCCCCTCCGATAATTCAATGAGGTTCATGAACTATGGAACAAGCCCTCTGGGTTAAGTTTACCATCTTGTGCAAGTGTGCAGTTCGGTCTCTATTGAACAAGAGGGTCACCCTGGAACATCTCCCTCCGCTCTTTGTGTCCGCTGCCCACAATCCAGGATACCTGAATATCTCAACACTTTAACAGAGGTTAACAGATTAACAGAGTTGGGGGAACTTTGTAGGTCATCTAGTCAACCCTTCCACCCAAGCAGGAGGCCCTAGACCATTTCTGACAGAGGGCAGTCCAATGTCTTCTTGAAAGCTTCCGGTGATGAAGCTCCCACAACTTCTGAAGGCAACTTCTGTCCCATCTCTTGATTGCTTTCACTGTCAGAAAATTCCTCCTTATTTCTATGTTGAATCTCTCTTGGTTCAGTTTCCATCCATTATTCCTTGTCTGGCCTTCAGGTGCTTTGGAAAATAGCTTGACCCCCTTCCTCTTTTGATAGCCCCTCAAATATTGGAAGACTGCTATCGTGTCTCCTCTCGTCCTTCTCTTCACTAGACTGGCCATGCCCGGTTCCTGCAACCATGGATCATATGCTTTAGCCTAATCATCCTGGTTGCTCTTCTCGGCACTCTTTCTAGAGTCTCGACATCTTTTTTATAGTGTGGTGACCAAAACTGCAGGATTCTAGGTGTGGTCTTACCAAGGCTTTATAGAGTGGTATTAGCAACTCACTTGCTCTTGATTGTATCCCTCTGATAATGCAATTTAGGATTGAATTGGCTTTTTTGACTGCCTTTGTTTATCTAACCCTTTGTTTGTCCGCCTCCCTAGCAGTCCTCACCATGGAACGTCTTTCTGTCCTTCTCCCCTCCAGAGGCAAAATTGTTGGGATTCACCCCACACAGTGAAGGGAAATATGCCTTACCCAGATATATACATTCCTGCTCCTTTTTCGGGCCTTTTCCCACCCGCGATGCTTTGTCCATTGTGACTCTGTGCCCTTGAGTTGTGATGTCCCTCACACCAAAAGTGCATTTTGGTATTTGGGTATCTGTCATTAATCCTTCCAAATAGCTAGAAAGTTCACTCTGCTTTTAAGCTCTTGTCCCAAAATTAGACCACAAACCTCTGGATTTTAAACTCATCCCACTCACCCCAAAATGCAACTTATTGGTTTTGCAAATAGTTCTTTCTGTCCTATCTCTCTTTTGGAGTTCAAAAGAAACATCTGATGGCATTTGATTTCTTCCTGTATTTCTATCCTTCTTCGATCCAAATAACATACAGAATGAATCTCTGATTATTTTCCCCAAACTTAACATCTTCTACGGTGACTTTCTAAGGTGGGCTTTAGTTGCAAATGAAGAACAAACCATTTTACTTACCATCTTGGCTTCGGGGGAGACCCAGGAAACTCTTGGTAGGGAGGAAGGACAAGGAGCCGCACTTCTCTCTGAGGCCACAAAGGAATCTGCTCCTCCAATTTAAATGAAAACCCAAGACCTCCCCTTCTGCAATTTTCTTAAAAAAATATATTCTGAGCGAAGGTTTTGGCAAAATATCCACTTTCAGAGGGAAAACATTTCTTTACAAATAGTTTTGTGTTTGTTTTGCAGATGTGATAAAGGGAAAGCATTTCATCAGCTTCAGATCCACCTGGCTAGAAAAAGACCAAATGACGGAGAGATTGAAGATCTCCAGAAGAATGTGAGAAATTGAAACGGCCAGATGTGCAGCCTCCAGCCCAGCTTCTCCCAAGATGCCCCCTACCCATATTGAGGACTCAGGATGGTAGACCACCAGGTCTACTGTTCTCTCGGAAGTGGGATTCAGTCTCAGTCTTTCCCAGGGACTTCCAAGCCAGAATGGGGCATTTGAGAGCCTCAGGAACGTCCTCTCTTGATATGGATTTCCCTGCAGGCTCCTTGTGGGTGACAATCTCAGGGGTTTTTGTCCTGCATTAATCCTGCCCACTTGCTCTCTGGCCCTGCTCAAGGTGAGCTACATATTCCCCCAACGGATCTCCTGTAAGAGACTTTTCTGTTCAAGGTTCCAATGTCCTCTTTCATAATATGATGTTGTTCATGAACTTTGGAAAAGGCCCTCTAGGTTAAGTTTACAAAATTGTGCAAGTGGGCATTTGAACTCTATTACCCAACAGGGTCAACCTGGAACATCTTCCTCCAGAATACTTGAATATCTCTCTCTCCATTGATGTTGTTGGGATTGAGCCCACCATAGATGGGTGGAAACGTGCCTTATCCTTGCATTGGTGGGATCTGCCACTTTTTCATGCCTTCTGCCACTCGTGATGCTTTGGTGGGAGGAGAAGGGATAGGTCTGACTGTAATCCTGAGATGATATGTCCCCCATACCAATAAATGTGTTTCTGCATTTGTGTGTCCCCTGTTAATCCTACTAAATAGCTAGAGAGTAAACAAAATGCAAGAGTCCTGGCCCACATAGTACCCCAGGGAAATTTGGATGTTACATTCACCCCATGTATCACAAAATGTAATTCATTCGTTTTGTGAATGTATATATTTTGTCCTTTGTCTCTTCTGAAGTTGTAAAGAAACTTGACCTGATGGCATCCAATTGTCATTTCTTTCTGTTATTTCTATCTTTATTTTCTCTAAATTACGTACACAATGAACCTCTGATTATTTCCCCAACAGTTACAACCTGACTGTCCCAAAGGGCCCCCCCATTTCTCCGGCCATTCCCTTCCTTCTCCCGGCCAAGGAAATTGGGCTCCGGTTGCAAATGAAGAACAAACCATTTTACTTACCATCTTGGCTTTGGGGGAGACCCAAAAAATTCCTAGTCGGGAGGAAGGAGAAAGAGCTATATTTCTCTCTGAGGCCACCAAAGAATCTTACACAGGAATATGTGACTTTTAAAGAAATGATGCAAAAATTGCTCCTTTTTATTCAAGATTTCCAATCAAGGCAATTTTGTATGGTACATAGCTTTGCATAGTCATAAGAAGTATTTTATCTTTATATATATATTCGTATAGACCAAAGTTTTCCAAACTTGGCAACATTCATTGCCATTTGCAGCATCTCTTGGTCACAGTTTATGACATTTCCCCAAAAACTGATGTGAGAGGTTTATTCAGGTTCATTTACACATGAGAGATTCATTCCAGTTTGTCCACGCAAAGAGATCAGACATCACAGCGCTGCGTTGGGTCATCAAGTTTATAGTATTCGTATTGACATGTCACATCATTTTGCACTGCTTTGCACCCTGGAATCTTTTTAACTTCTCTATGAAGGAGGAAGAAAAGGGAGGAGGAGGAAGAAGGAGAGGTCATGGTCAGTCAAAGTTCCAGATAGTATTTCTGTCTTTATTGTATCTAAATAATGTACAGAGTATTTCTCCCATTTTTGTAGCTACAACGATGACTCTCGGTTCTGCTATGAGAGCGTGACAGTCCCAAAGGGCCACCACATTCCTCCAGCCATTCTAGTCAAGATTGAGCAAAAGCCCCCCGAGCCATGGCTGCCACCAGCTCTTTTAGCAGGAGCTGTGAGTTTAAGAAGACCCTCCCCCAAATTGTGTAGCCGTTCAATCTGGGGGAGTGCCACCCAATATAGAGCCAAAGGTGATATATGACCAGGTCCTTTGGGCAGGGAGCAAAAACCCACATCCATTCTATGATGCTATAGTTGAATCAAAACTGCTTCCTCCTCATCCTTTAAGGGCCTCCAGGTACTTGGCCAGAACCACCACAGCATCATCTATTTGAGTAAGGGTAGGTCACTAACTGGGGATCACCAGCATGTTGGTTCTGCACCCCATAGTGATGGGATGACTTCCCCCAAAACTCCATGTAGAGGTTGAAAAGGAGAGGTGGGAGTCTTGATCCCTGAGGTGTCCACGTTGTGGAGGACGTGACTTCTCCTTCTCCGCCAGCACCGACTGGAAGTGGCCATGGTGGAAAGAAGAGAACTACTGAAAACAATGTCTCCCAGAAAGGAGGTCCAGGAGGGAACCATGGTTGATGGCATCGAAAGTCACTGAGAGGTCCAGAAAAGCCAGAATGGTTGCATTTCTCCATCCCAGGCTCTCCAAAGAACGTCAACAAGTGTCACTGATGACATTTCAATGCTATGTCCCACTCTGAAACCAGAGTTAAAGGAATCTGGGAATTTGCTTCAGCTTGGTCCCTTTGCATACTCTCTCAACAATTGCATGAAAGTTATCTGTTGGGTCTAAGGATGGCCTCTTAAGACGTCAGGAGTTTCACCCCCTTCCACAGAGAGGGCTTAAATATCCTCCGATTAACCACTTGCTTTCTCCCAGGAGGGTCAAGCTCACCAATCTCTCACCTACTAAGACCATGTCTAGTTCCTCAAGAGCAACTGGCCAAAATTTTCCTAGATAACAAGGATCAGCCAGGATCTGCCCAGCTAGGAACCAACTCTGAGGAAAGCTGAGCTCTATCTGAGAATGGAATATTTTTTGCACAGCCCCCCTGGAAAGCATCCCCCACCTCCCGTGTACCAAGGAGGGACCTGAACACCCAAAATAGGGCTGCTGGTCAGTTATCTGTCAATGCAAAAAGGGTGGAGAAGTCATTACACTTTCCTGTCTATTTCTCTTTCACCAGAAGGTAAGTCCTAAGGTAGGTTCTTACTTGCCCTCTTTGGCCTTACTCTTTGTCTGCCTCCAGCAGCACTCTGGACATCTCTAATGCAGAAGATTGATGTAGAAGGTCTTTTCCTTCCATCTTTCTTTCTTTCTTTCTTTCTTTCTTTCTTTCTTTCTTTCTTTCTTTCTTTCTTTCTTTCTTTCTTCCTTCCTTCCTTCCTTCCTTCCTTCCTTCATATGTGCTATCTCAATAAATTCCTGTGCATTATAGAAATGGCTAGTGTCTTTCATGATGAAAAAGTAAAAAGTTGAGGGTAGATCTCAATGCCTTATTTTACTGCACCAAAGGAAGTTGGAGGTCAATGCTTTCCCCCCCCTTGCTTTCTCCCACTATCCATTTCCCTTTTTCCTTTCCAAATTGATGTCATAATAAAACTATGAATATGAAAAAAATAAATGCTTGTGGCTTAATGTAAGAGAAAATGTGCAAATTCATATATTTGATGGTGTCCTCGAAGCTCTTCCTACCCGTGGCAGCAGAACATTCCATTTCTACCACAGTGGCACCTATAACAATCCGCTGCGATCCAAAGGGACCCAATGAGATGCATTTTCCGATCATACTCATCAAGACATACGTTTGGTGGCACATATTCACCTGAGAAGGAAGAACAGAAGAGTTGAAAGTTGAACCTGCAGCAGAATCCAAGCCGCCAAACTGTTGCAAGAAAGTTGGAGACTACTACCAGAAATCTACTATTGGATAAATGTGACAAAGTCTGTAGAGATTCTCAGTCATTCATGTTATGGTTGTCCCAAAGATGGGACAAAAATCACCTGGATGACTGAGAATCTCTACAGACTTTTAGCTATAAAATTTGGGATGGACACCCTGGGAATGGTGTGGGGGTAGGAATTGATTTCCAGAAGAAAAATTGCAGACTACAGGAACCATTAGAATTACTCAGGTGATCCTGAGGACACAGATAAGCCTCCAAGTGCTTCAACCACCCTCTAAAATGATGCAAATGACGAGCTGTCTGCAAGGAATATGCATCCTTCCATTCTCCACCATCCAGTCAGAGCTGAAGAAGCTTCTTGGATGAGAAGCGAAACGTCTTCAAAGAAAAAATAAGTCAGTTCAGTTACCTCCTGAAAAAAACCACCATTGGGATCAATGTGACAAGTATATTAATTCTCTGCATTGACTGACTACCATTTAATGATTGATTAGACTTGTAAGGAGCCCTGATGATCAAACATCTTCTGCATTAACACAATCGGTGTTTCCTGGCCCATATTAATGAAAACCTGGATTGTAAAAATTAAGCCCACAACGTTTCTCCCTGCATTACTAAACCTTGGCAAGCAGTACAGCGATGATTTGATTAAACGTATAAAGAGTTTGGTTACCAGGTGGAGCCCGATTCTCAAAGGCAACCACATAGCATGCTTGACATGTAACCAGCACGAGAGAGAAGACGATCAGGCTGAAGAAGACTTTCTGAGAAAGGGAAAGATAAAAGAAAGAATAAGTGATAAGAGATCTTACTAATTGTTTCAGAAACTGGCTGTTCAAAGTCTTTCAAATTCCCCTCCGATAATTCAATGAGGTTCATGAACTATGGAACAAGCCCTCTGGGTTAAGTTTACCATCTTGTGCAAGTGTGCAGTTCGGTCTCTGTTGAACAAGAGGGTCACCCTGGAACATCTCCTCCCCTCTTTGTGTCCACTGCCCACAATCCAGGATACCTGAATATCTCAACACTTTAACAGAAGTTAACAGATTAACAGAGTTGGGGGAAATTTGTAGGCCATCTAGTCAACCCTTCCACCCAAGCAGGAGGCCCTAGACCATTTCTGACAGAGGGCAGTCCAATGTCTTCTTGAAAGCTTCCGGTGATGAAGCTCCCACAACTTCTGAAGGCAACTTCTGTCCCATCTCTTGATGGTTCTCACTGTCAGAAAATTCCGCCTTATTTCTATGTTGAATCTCTCTTGGTTCAGTTTCCATCCATTATTCCTTGTCTGGCCTTCAGGTGCTTTGGAAAATAGCTTGACCCCCTTCCTCTTTTGACAGCCCCTTAAATATTGGAAGACTGCTATTGTGTCTCCCCTGGTCCTTCTCTTCACTAGACTGGCCATGCCCGGTTCCTGCAACCGTTCTTCATATGCTTTAGCCTAATCATCCTGGTTGCTCTTCTCGGCACTCTTTCTAGAGTCTCGACATCTTTTTTATAGTGTGGTGACCAAAACTGGATGCAGGATTCTAGGTGTGGTCTTACCAAGGCTTTATAGAGTGGTATTAGCAACTCACTTGCTCTTGATTGTATCCCTCTGTTAATGCAATTTAGGATTGAATTGGCTTTTTTGACTGCCTTTGTTTATCTAACCCTTTGTTTGTCCACCTCCCTAGCAGTCCTCACCATGGAACGTCTTTCTGTCCTTCTCCCCTCCAGAGGCAAAATTGTTGGGATTCACCCCCACACAGTGAAGGGAAATATGCCTTACCCAGATATATCCGTTCCTGCTCCTTTTTCGGGCCTTTTCCCACCCGCGATTCTTTGTCCATCTTGACTCTGTGCCCCTGAGTTGTGATGTCCCTCACACCAAAAGTGCATTTTGGTATTTGTGTCTCTGTCATTAATCCTTCCAAATAGCTAGAAAGTTCACTCTGCTTTGAAGCCCTTGTCCCAAAATTAGACCACAAACCTCTGGATTTTAAACTCATCCCACTCACCCCAAAATGCAACTAATTGGTTTTGCAAACTTTTCTTTTTGTCCTCTCTTTCTTTTGGAGTCGTAAAGAAACATCTGATGGCGTTTGATCTCTTCCTATATTTTTTTTTCAATAAAAAACCTTTTTATTCTAATATATCAAAGGCAGTTTACAGATTAAGTTTAATACAATTTTTGTTATAGCCATGGTAATTTGGGAGTCACATAATATCTCTCAGGTTACTTGAATTACAGCAGCTGGGTAAGAGAATGCATAATTGTTTTCCTATTATCCATTTCATTCACAACAACATTATCCTTTAAGAAAATATGGAAGTTGTCACCCTTTTTAATCTTTAGGCAAGGAAGATAACGCAGTATCACTTCCCACTGTCTTTGCGAAACTGTGACATACAGGCATGAAAGATTTTGCCATCCTTCCTTATTGTCTGTTTTCCCTTTTCTCTCTCTCTCTCTTTTTTTTTTAAAAAAAAGCTTTATTTTTTAAAAAAGATTTCTTCTTTGGATATTTTATCCAAATAACGTACAGAATGAACCTCTGATTATTTTCCCCACAGTTACAACCTCGTACAGTGACTGTCCCAAAGGGCCCCCTCATTCCTCCGGCCCTTCCCTTCTCACGTCCAAGGAAATTGGGCTCCGGTTGGAAGCGAAGAACAAACCATTTTACTTACCATCTTGGCTTCGGGGGAGACCCAGGAAACTCTTGGTAGGGAGGAAGGACAAGGAGCCGCACTTCTCTCGGATGCCACAAAGGAATCTGCTCCTCCAATTTAAATTAAAACCCAAGACCGCCCCTTCTGCAATTTTCCTTAAAAAAAAAATTCTGAGTAAAGGTTTTGGCAAAATGTCCACTTTCAGAGGGAAAACATTTGCTTTAGAAATAGTTTTGTGTTTGTTTTGCAGATGTGATAACGGGAAAGCATTTCATCACCTTTAGCGACATAATGAAAGGTTGGATAATGGCTAATTTGCAAGATTAAAAGGTCGCCGGGTAACCTTAACGGAGAGTCCTAAACCCAGATTTGGAGATTTTTTCAGGTTTTCAATAATCTTCAACCGTCACCACAATACCCCGGAACACTATAACCATCATAAAGATGCTACCAAGCGACCAAATTTTTCATCGCATGTCCAAGTGAGTGTTGTGCCCAATGGTCGTAAGTGTGAAAAGTGATCATTTGTCACTATTTTTCAGTGCCATTGCAAATTTGAATGATCGTTAAACGGACAGTTTTTGCTGAAACCTGGGTCAACATTTAATCCACATTTCTCCTAGCGTGGTGAGACCTTTGCAATTGGTTCAGATGAATAAGGAGTTGGGTTACCGTCTTTAAGCTCAGGTCGACAAAAAGACGCAAAAGCCTTTGACACGTAGCCAGCATGAAAGAGAAGAAGATCAGAATGAAGGAAACTTTCTGGAAAGAAAGGAAAATAAGAAAAGGCCATCAGAGAACTTAGTAGTTGTTGGAGCAACTGACTGTTCAAAGTTTTATATTATATTTTATATTTATATTTTATATTGTTTATACATATCAATGCGTGAATAGTGTGATAGCTGCGTATCATACATTTCATTACTATAAACATAAAGTTATTACTCCTAGTTATTTCATTTTCATAGTTTCATATACACATATCTTTAACTATCACCCTTTTGTTCTTTCATATACCTTCGTGTCAATATATCTATCTATCATCTATCTATCTATCTATCTATCTATCTATCTATCTATCTATCTATCTATCTATCTTTCTATCTATCTATCTATCTATCTATCTATCTATCGATCTATCGATCTATCGATCTATCGATCTATCTATCGATCTATCGATCTTTCGATCTATCGATCTATCGATCTATCGATCTATCTTTCGATCTTTCTATCTATCTATCTATCGATCGATCTATCTATCTATCTATCTATCTATCTATCTATCTATCTATCTATCTTTCGATCTTTCTATCTATCTATCTATCTATCTATCTATCTATCGATCGATCTATCGATCTATCGATCTATCGATCTATCGATCTATCTATCTATCTATCTATCTTTCGATCTTTCTATCTATCGATCTATTGATCTATCGATCTATCGATCTATCTATCTATCTATCGATCTATCTTTCGATCTATCGATCTATCTATCTATCGATCTATCTATCGATCTATCTATCATCTATCTATCTATCTATCTATCTATCGATCGATCTATCTATCTATCGATCTATCGATCTATCGATCTATCGATCTATCTTTCGATCTTTCGATCTATTGATCTATCGATCTATCTATCTATCTATCTATCTATCTATCTATCTATCTTTCGATCTATCGATCTATCGATCTATCGATCTATCGATCTATCGATCTATCTTTCGATCTATCGATCTATCGATCTATCGATCTATCGATCATCTAGTCCCCTTCCTAGACAGGGACGCCCTCCGTACGGTCACTCACGCTCTCATCATCTCTCAGTTGGATTACTGCAATGCCCTCTACATGGGGCTGCCCTTGGGGTGCACCCGGAGAGTCCAACTGGTCTAGAATGCAGCCGTGCGAGTAGTTACAGGTGCTTCCCGCTACTCCCATGTGACACCACTTTTGCGCGAACTGCATTGGCTGCCAGTGGTCCTCTGGATCCGCTTCAAGGTGCTGGTACTCACCTATAAAGCCCTTCATGGCACGGGCACGGGGTATTTGGAGGAACACCTCCTACTGGCCTCCCACCCCCCCAGTGCGCTCACATAGGGCGGCCCTCCTCCGGGTCCCCTCAGCCAGACAGTGTTGGCTGGCAGTCCCCAGGATGAGGGCATTCTCTGTGGTCGCACCGACCCTCTGGAATGAGTTGCCCGTCAAGCTCCGGACAGCCCCCGATCTCCGCACCTTCCACGCCGACCTTAAGACATGGCTCTTTCAGCAGTTTCCCCGATCTGTTGCTGATTTTAATTTTGGGGATTTGGGGGATTTTATTTGGTTTTAATATTAATTAAATAATTTTCATTGTCGGGTTGTTTTTATTGTTGTGAGCCGCTCCGAGTCCTACGGGAGTAGGGCGGCATACAAATCTGACAATAAATAAATAAATAAATAAATCTATTATTATTCCCCTCTTATTTTTATCTCAATTTTAATTTGTTTTTATCCCTTCCAATATCGCTATAATAGTCAAAGACATGTCCCACCCCACTTCCTTTAGTTAACTCTTCACATCAATTGATATCAAAAATTCATCCTAAACTTTTCCTTCTTTTGATGAGTTGGCTTAATGGATGTTTGTACTTTCTCTAGGCAAAAATTGATACTTTAAAACTCTATATGTATTATATTACTCTCTGCAATTCTATCCATATTGTTATACTTTTTTTTCCTGTATTTTTTAATAATTTTCAATAAAAATTTATTTAAAAAAAAATCATCCTTCAATCTTTCAGTATTCATTGCCTCAATGTACACTCCTAGTACCAATCACAATCATTAATACATAATTCTATAATAATAGAGTATAATTCTATTAATACACATATGTATATTTATTCCAATGTCTAATCTTCGAAGTTCCCCATTGCATCTTCAATGCAAATGAATTCATGGAGGCTAGAATAGTGGGGGTGAAGGCCAGAATATGTCAGAGCACATCAAATTCCCGACAGAGGCAAAAATTCCTTCCTCGGGTATCCTCCTTCACAGGAGAGGATGGACTCCAAAGAATATCAAAGATTAAGATGCTTATTTGAGACCTATATATTCAGCTTCATTCACATGTGAGTTATCTGTTATGATGCCTCAATGTCAGAGGTGGCTTTTTATGACCTATGGACCTTCATGGCTGGATGAGGAATTCTGGGACTTGAAGTCCACATGCCACATAGCGGCCATAACTCACCACCTCTGCTCTATATGAATGTTGTGGTCCGTCAGCGGCCTGTGCAGATTGTAGTTGATTCTGACAATGAGGAGACTGGTGTGGTGTTGCGCCAGCACTCAAGTCAGACAATGAGGAGGCTGGAGAAGATGTGGTGCAGAGGCAGGGATTCATCCAGGGCCTTCAGAACCTCCAGAAGCTTCTTTAAGTGAAGAGGACGAAGAGGAGGAGCCTCTTCTCGATTCATGGGCGCGCAGAGCTGCCAAAAGGCAGGAGTGGCTCCTCAGGAGGAGGTCTCCTCGAGAATAAGGCTTGGGGCTAATTGGCCACTCCCTTAGCCTATTTAAGGAGGAATGCCAACTGAAGCAATTTGTAGGGAACAACTTTAGTTTATTCTCCTTCGCGTCTGGATTCTCTGCAAATTGCTTCTGGGCTTTCTGCCAACCTTTGTAAGATTGTGATTGCTTTGTCTTTGGATTCTTGTAGGCTGTTAAGAAAGTTTATTAACAGCCTTTGTTTGAAAAAGACTGAGTTATTTTAATAAATTAAGTTTTCTACAGACTTTGTGTGTGCTGAGTTCTTTGGGGTCCGTCGCTGGGGCAGAACAATGAAGGGATGAGACACCAACTGTAGTCATCAGTCCTATAGAATTCTTGTTCCCATGTTTCTGTCTTTAACATGGCTGTTATTTAATAAAACAAACCGAGAAGAAAATTATTGAGATGAGGGATTTATTCAGGTTCATTTAAACAGAAAAGGTTGATTCACGTTCACTCGTATGAAGAGAGGAAAATCCAACAAGCTTAACAGCGCTGTAATGGGGCATCAACCTTATAGAAATCATATCCGCATGTTTCTGGATTAGCCATTGCAATGCATCCCGGACGATGGGGGACCTCACCATATCTTGATGGAAAAAAAAAACAGGATGGGGAAGAGTTGGAAGAAGAAGAAGAGGGTATGGTCAGTCAAAGTTGGCCTTCATTGGTAAGGACCTCTAAGATCATCTGCCACCTCAGAACTTGCAGAGAACCATTGAACCTTCCTAGGAGAACGGTTGATTCAGCCAAGGTCTGGTTTGATTCTGAATTTTGGGACATCCTTCTTTGTATAGAGCAGTGTTTCTCAACCTTGGTAGCTTGAAGATGGGTGGACTTCAACTCCCACCCATCTTCAAGCTTCCAAGGCTGAGAAACAATTCTATAGAGAAATCTTAAGGTTGGGACATGTAGGAATTGATTTTGGATGGCCCCGCCTATACATTTTATAAGCAAGTAAGTAAACAGTTAAGAAAGACAAACATCTAGCTCAACTTCTCAATGGCCTCCAAAGTTAATATAATGAGCCAGAGAGGGGCAGGTCACCTATTAACCTAGATTAGTCATGGAGGACTATCATGAAATAGTAACTATCATTGAAATGTTTGTTGAAACCATTGATCTAGCCACCCATCTGACACTGAAGAACGGATGGCAACCAGCCAACAGTTAAAGCATCGTCATAGTACAACTAGTGTAAGTGTGTGTATTAAAACCACAAATAGTAAAAACCTGGCACCATAACCAACACTAACAATCCACACCAAGCATGCTCATCAATCTCACCCTATCCCTCTGCTTTTCTGAAATCTTAGAGAGGCCTGGCAAACATCCGGTGGAAGGGTGCACCTCCTGACCCCACCTCCCCCTTACCCAGGAGAGACCAACAGGGCTGCTGGTTGACCCTCTACAATTACACTTTCCCATTGCTATCACTAGAAGGTTTGTCCTAATATAGGCTCATATTTCTGCTCAGTTGGCCTCACTCATCTTCTTCTTCGAGCAGTGCTGTAGATCAGGAGTCCCCCACCCTTAGTCCACGGACCAGCACCCATCCATGGCATGCCAGAAACTGGGCTGTAGAAACCAAAAAAGCCCCATTTGTGGGAAGCTACTCACCCTCTGGTTCATGGAAAACTTCTCTCCGGTCCCTGGTGCCCTAAACGTTGGCAGGCATTGCTATAGGTTCCTCAACCCTAGGCACAAAGTTTTATATGTATCCATGAATCTTAGGAGAAGACGTGAGAAAATTGAAAGATCTGAGGGTTGCTCGGAACCTTTACCCACCTTTTGCAACAATGACTTCCATCTCTACGACACTCACAATGGAAGCCATTATCATCGTCCCAGGTGGACCCAATGAGATGCTTTCTCCCGTTTAGATCAGGACATGTGTTATGCTCCACCAGTTTTCCTAAGGGAAAAAAGTCAAGTTGAATTTGCAACTGTATTCAAATTGTCAAACTGAGAAACCTTCTCCTAGACTTGAAATCGGGAGCTTGGTTTAGCTCAACAGACAGAAGCACTGTAATGTAACACCAGCTGTCTGCAATTAAAGTAAGATCGAATCTCGCCAGGCTCAAGGTTGACTCAGCCTTCCATCCTTTCTAAGGTAGGTAAATTGAGGACCCAGTTTGTGGGGGCAATAAGCTGACTTTGTATAAAATATACAAAAGTATGAAGGCTATTGCTTAACGCATTGTAAGCCGCCCTGAGTCTCCGGAGAAGGGCGGCATATAAATCAAATTAAAAAAAAAACAAAAAACTTGAAGACTATTTTCTGAAAACTACTAATAGACGAAGTACATTACCAATCTACTAATGGACAAATACAGGTAGTCCCTGACTTACAATTTTTTTAGGGAGAATTCCAAGTCACAATGTGTGATGTCTCCTGTGGATGATGGCTCATCCATGTCTTCCTCAGAGGCCTTGGGGGAGAATGAGAGAATGAGCATGCCTTGGCTGGGGAGAGCTTGCAGGCCAATGAGGAAGAGGGGGAGGAGCTGCCGGCCTTGGTAGTGTTGTGGCTCCGTTATCTGAGCCTGTGTCATCAGCAGGAGAGGACTCCGAGAGTGAAGGGGAGGAGTTGGCAAGGCCTCCCTCTCCAGGACCCTCCTCTCTGGCAATGCCTTCGGTGTCCATCGAAGGGCAAGAGATAGGGCCCGGGCCAAGTACGTCTACGCAGCCACAGGTGGACAGTGATGAGGGTAATAAGTCTTGGCTGGACCCACGCCAGCGTCGCAGAGATAAGCGCGTGCAACAGAAGAAAGGGCGTGCCCGAGATTAGGCTGAGTCACTGGACCACACCCCACAGGATATAAAAGGGAGCGTGGTGGCCAGTCAAACCTTGTGACGAACAAAGCTGAAAGCTTCCACGCCATTCTGCATTGCTGGACTTTTTGCTATAGACTTTGCTGGATTATCTCTGGACTAGATTGGCTCCGTAATTATTGAGCTTTTTCTTTTGATGTACCAGGAGTGGGGAGAAGTTATCTCTCCTCTTTGTAAATAATAAACTTTTGGCAGGCAGCCACTAGGTTGTTGCCAAGTTCCGTTATCATAAGGAAAAGGATTTTGCTGGCTGGTTTGGTCTTTAACTCCTGAACGTCTGTTGGTGTGTGTGGGGGGAGTTGGGGACAGAACAGGTAGATGCTAGAGCAGGCAGGGCTGAGAGGCGGAGATCTGCCAGATTGATGGGGAAAAGGCCCCGCCCCACTTAATGGGTGGCACCGATTGGGGCAGGCAGAGGGAGGTGCTGCTGGACGTAAGGTGTGTGGATCATGGCCAGATGGTTGTTTGTGTTTCTGGAACTCTGCAGCTCGTGGATTTAATTCGGTTGCAAAGAGCATTCATGTTCGTGTTTGCAGCAGCCGGTGATCTGTCGGATGGACTAATTGGCCATTCCCTGGAAGGTTAGTCTGAAGCTTGTTCATGGCTAGCTTCACTGAAAAAGACCCCTTGCCGTCAGCGTCTCGGCACTGACATAGAAAAGGGAGGATGAAGCCTGAACTTTTGCCTGCTAAATCCCTTTGAAGATTCGGTCTCCTTGGAGATGAGGAGGGGGGAAACATTCCTGTGAACTGACGGAAAAGGAATCAGGAGAGTGACTTGGAAGATAGCCAATGAGAAGTAGAGAATTGGGGATCGGAAAGGGAGGGATTGGGGGGCACAGGTAGGTATTGACCGCGAAGAGTCAGGATCAGGTTGCTGTGCTCGAATAAAGAGAAAATTTCCTTAAAGACTGGCAGTTTGGAAGTTCATTTATTTTGAGATAGCATCGAAACCTGACAGACGGTCAATACTGACCTTTGCCCCCCAAGCATTCCTGGCTTGGACTATTCCTGTGGCTTCTCCTTCCAAGCCCTGAAACACGGACCACCGGACTTGTTGACAAACCTCGGCAGAGGCCCCTGACGTTGGTGGGAATTTTGACCTGCTTGTTTTTGGAATCTCCCCTTCATTTCCATGACTGTTTGGCTGTAAGTTGGTTTCACTACCTGGTCGCAAGACTTTTGACTGAAACCTGGGTCAACATTTAATCCACATTTCTCCTGACATTATGAGACCTTTGCAATTTGTACAGATGAATAAGGAGGTAGGTTACCATCTTTATACTCAGGAGGATAAGTAGACCCAATACATTCTTCTCGACACGTAACCAGCATGAAAGAGCAGATCAGGATGATGAAAACTTTCTGGAAAGAAAGGAAAACAAGAAAAGACCATCAGAGAACTTAGCAGTTGTTGGAGCAACTGACTGTTCAACGTTTTACAAAAGTCCTCTTTGATAATGCGATGTTGTCTATGAACTTTAGGAAAAGCCCTTTGGGTTAAGTTTACAATTTGTGCAAGTGTGCAGTTTGGTCTCTGTTGCACAAGAGGGTCAACCTGGGACATCTCCCTTCCCTCTTTGTGCCAGATGCACACAACCTAGGATACCCGAATATCTCAGCCATTTTTTCATATCCCTAGCAGTCCTCACCCTGGAACGTCTTTCCGTCCTTCTCCCCTCCAGAGGCTAAATTGCTGGGATTCACCCCACACAGTGAAGGGAAATATGCCTTACCCAGATACATCTGTTTCTGCTCCTTTTTCAGGGTTTTTTGCCACCCGTGATGCTTTGTCCATCTTGACTCTGTGCCCCTGAGTTCTTATGTCCCTCACACCAAAAGTGCATTTCGGTATTTGTGTATCTGTCATTAATCCTTCCAAATAGCTGAAAAGTTCACTCTGCTTTGAAGCCCTTGTCCCAAAATTAGACCATCAACCTCTGGATTTTAAACTCATCCCACTCACCCCAAAATGCAACTAATTGGTTTTGCAAATAGTTCTTTTTGTCCTATCTCTCTTTTGGAGTTCTAAAGAAACTCCAAAAGTTTGATTTCTTCCTGTATTTCTATCTTAATTTGATCTAAATAACATACAGAATGAACCTCTGATTATTTTCCCCACAGTTACGACCTCATACAGTGACTGTCCCAAAGGGCCCTCTCATTCCTCCGGCCCTTCCCTTCTCACATCCAAGGAAATTGGGCTCTGGTTGGAAGCGAAGAATAAACCATTTTACTTACCATCTTGGCTTCGGGGGAGACCCAGGAAACTCTTGGTAGGGAGGAAGGACAAGGAGCACCTCTTCTCTCTGAGGCCAGCAAGGAATCTGCTCCTCTAATCTAAATTAAAACCCAAGACTGCCCCTTCTGCAATTTTCTTTAAAAAAATATTCTGACTGAAAGTTGTGTAAAGATATCCACTTTCAGAGGGAAAACATTTGCTTTACAAATAGTCTCGTCCTCTTTAGATCTTTAGACAAATAGTTACGAGATCTTTCTCTTAAAGGTTCCAATGTCCTCTTTCATAATATGACTTTGTTCATGAACTTTGGAAAAGGCCCTCTATGTTAAGTTTACAATCTTGTGCAAGTGTGCATTTCAACTGTATTACCCAACAGGGTCAACTGAGAACATCTTCCTACAGAATATTTGAATATCTCTCTCTCCATTGATGTTGTTGGGATTTAAGTCCACCACAGATGGGCTGAGATGTTTCCTTACCCTCACATTGGTGGGATCTGCCACTTTTTCATGCCTTCTTGTCACCCACAAGGAGCCTGCAGGGAAAGCCATATCAAGAAAGGACATTCCTGAGGCTCTCAAATGCCCCATTCTGGCTTGGGAGTCCCTGGGAAAGACTGAGACTGAATCCCACTTCCGAGAGGACAGCATCACCTGGTGGTCTACTATCCTGAGTCCTCAATATGGGTAGGGGGCATCTTGGGGGAAGCTGGGCCGGAGGCTGCACATCTGGCCGTTTCAATTTCTCACATTCTGCTGGAGATCTTCAATCTCTCCATCATTTGGTCTTTTTCTAGCCAGGTGGATCTGAAGCTGATGAAATGCTCTTCTTTCATCACATCTGCAAAACAAACACAAAACTATTTGTAAAGCAAATGTTCTCCCTCTGAAAGTGGATATTTTGCCAAAACCTTCGCTCAGAATATTTTTTTAAAGAAAATTGCAGAAGGGGAGGTCTTGGGTTTTCATTTAAATTGGAGGAGCAGATTCCTTTGTGGCCTCAGAGAGAAGTGCGGCTCCTTGTCCTTCCTCCCTACCAAGAGTTTCCTGGGTCTCCCCCGAAGCCAAGATGGTAAGTAAAATGGTTTGTTCTTCATTTGCAACTAAAGCCCACCCTAGAAAATCACTGTAGAAGGTTGTAAGTTTGGGGAAAATAATAAGAGGTTCATTCTGTATGTTATTTAGATCAAATAAAGATAGAAATGCAGGAAGAAATAAAACGCCATCAGATGTTTCTTTAGAACTCCAAAAGAGAGATAGGACAAAAAGAACTATTTGCAACACCAATTAGTGGCATTTTGGGGTGAGTGGGATGTGTTTAAAATCCAGAGGTTGATGGTCTAATTTTGGGACAAGGGCTTCAAAGCAGTCTATTTTCTAGCTATTTGGAAGGATTAATGACAGAGACACAAATACCGAAATGCACTTTTAGTGTGAGGGGCATGACAACTCAGGGGCACAGAGTCACGATGGACAAAGCATCACGGGTGGGAAAAGGCCCGAAAATGGAGCAGAAACGGATGTATTTGGGTAAGGCATATTTCCCTTCACTGTGTGGGGTGAATCCCAGCAATTTTGCCTCTGGAGGGGAGAAGGACGGAAAGACGTTCCAGGGTGAGGACTGCTAGGGATATGAAAAAATGGCTGAGATATTCGGGTATCCTGGATTGTGTGCAGCTGGCACAAAGAGGGAAGGGAGATGTTCCAGGTTGACCCTCTTGTGCAACAGAGACCAAACTGCACACTTGCACAAACTTGTAAACTTAAGCTAAAGGGCTTCTCCTAAAGTTCATGGACAACATTGCATTATCAAAGAGGACTTTTGTAAATCTTTGAACAGTCAGCTGCTCCACCAACTACTAAGTTCTCTGATGGCCTTTTCTTGTTTTCCTTTCTTTCCAGAAAGTTTTCTTCATTCTGATCATCTTCTCTCTCATGCTGGCTACGTGTCAAGGACACTGTATTGCAAATACTGTTCTCGCTAAGTATAAAGATGGTAACCTACCTCCTTATTCATCTGTACAAATTGCAAAGGTCTCATCATGCCAGGAGAAATATGGATTAAATGTTGATCCAGGTTTCAGTCCAAAGTCTCCTAACTGGGCCGAGAAACACCTTCCGTATTAATGCAGAAGTCTTTGGGTCAACAGGGGTCCTTTCAAAGCTCATAAATGAAATGGAATAAAATAAAATAGTATGCAGCTAATGCAGAGAATATATATATATTCGCGAATATATATATTCTCGAATATATATATATTATACAGGTAGTCGTCAATTTACAGCCACCATTAAGCCCAAAATTTCTGTTGCTAAGTGAAAGAGTTGTTAAGTGAATTTTGTCTCATTTTATGACCTTTGCTGCCATACTTCTTAAATGAATCCCTTCGGTTGTGAAGTTAACGGGATGGTTTGTTAAGTGAATCTGGCTTTCCCATTGAGTCTGCTTGTTAGAAGGCAGAAAAAATTGACCACATGACCCCCAGGACATTTCAACCGTCATAAATATGCATCTCAATTTTGATCACGTGACTATGGGGATGCTTCAATGGTCAGAAGGTTGAAAAAGGGTCATAAGTCATTTCATCCAGTGCCGTTGTAACTTTGAATTCTCACTAAACAAACTGTTGAAATTCGTGGACTAGCTGTATTTGTCCCTTAGTAGATTGGTACTGTCCTTTGTCTGTTAGTAGATTTCTGAGAGGAGCCTTCAACCCTACTAGAAGGTTTCCCATTGCAGGTTGACAATTTGAGTGCAGTTGCAAAGTTCATCTTGACTTTTTTCCCTTAGGCAAAGAGGTGCCGCCTAGCACATGTCCTGACATGCATGACGGGAGAGAGCATCTCTTTGGGTCCACCTGGTCCATGGGTAACTTCCGTTGTGAGTGCCGTACAAATGGATTGCTTTGTTGCGAAACGTGAGTAAAGGTTCCGAGCAACTTTCAGATCTTTTAATTTTCTCACGTCTTCTCCTAAGATTCATGGATACATATAACACTTTGTACCTAGGTCTGATGCAACAGTGGAATCTATGACACTGCCTCCCAACCTTTAGGGCACCAGGGACCGGAGAGAGGTTTTTCCGTGAACCAGATGGTGAGTAGCTTCCCACAGATGGGGCTTTGCTTGTTTCTGCGGCCCAGTTTCTGGCATGCCACGGACCGGTGCTGGTCCGTGGACCAAGGCTTGGGGACCTCTGACCTAGCACACTGCTCGAAGAATGAGGATGAGACTGAGCGGAAATAAGAGGCAATATTAGGACATACCTTGTAGTGATAGGAATGGGAAAGTGTAATTGCCTTTCTGCCTTTATTGCATTTGTAGAAAGTCAACCAGCAGCCCTATTGGTCTCTCCTGGGTGTAAGGGGGAGGTGAGGTGGAGAGGGGAATATCCTTCAACCAGATGTTTGCCAGGCCTCTTTAAGATTTCGGAAAAACAGAGGGATAGGGTGAGATTGATGAGAATGCTTGGTGTGGATTGTTAGTGTTGATTATGGTGCCAGGTTTTTACAATTTGTGTTTTCAATGCACACACTTACATTAATTGTTGGCTGGTATCCAACCTTTGACATTTATTTATTCATTAGTTAGATTTATATGCCGCCCTTCTCCAGAGGGCGGTATATAAATGCATTAAGGCGGCTTACAATGCGTTAAGCAATAGCTGTCGTACCTTTGTATATACCTGCTTAGTGCGGCTTTCGCTACCCCCTAAGCGGTGTTCTTTTTTATACAAAGTCAGCTTATTGCTCCCTCAATCCGGGTCCTCATTTGACCTACCTCGAACGGATGGAAGGCTGAGTCAACCTTGAGCCTGGTGAGATTCGAACTAGCAGTAATTGCAGGCAGCTGGCAACTAAGTGGTACTTTAACAGAATAGAATAGAATAGAATAGAATAGAATAGAATAGAATAGAATAGAATAGAATAGAATAGAATAGAATAGAATAGAATAGAATAGAATTCTTTTATTGGCCAAGTGTGATTGGACACACAAGGAATTTCTCTTGGTGCATACAGTATGCTCTCAGTGTACATAAAAGAAAAGATACGTTCATCAAGAATCATAAGGTACAACACTTAATGATACTTCAGGTTTCAAGGCCATGTGTGGTTTTATCATAGCTTCTAGCCATATGCAAATTTTCTTCCAATACTTTTTTGCTTTTTCAATGCTGAGCAAGCAATATTATGTGGCGACCCAGAATTCTTGGGTGCAGAAGAGAGGAGAGAAACTGAGGCTGGCAACACCTTGTCTGAATCTACCTTCCTCCCAGGAAGACTCAATAGTTCGCTGCAGGTTCTAAGGTGGCAGATGATCTTAGATTCAGAGGTCCTTACTGATGAAGGCCAACTTTGACTGACCATACCCTCTTCTTCTTCTTTCCATCAGAGATATGGTGCTGTCGCCCATCATCTGGGATGCATCACAGTGGAAAATCCAGAAACATGTCAATATGATTTCGATAACATCCATGATACATTACAGCGCTGTTAAGCCTGTTGGATTCTCCTCTCTTCATACGAGTGAATTTGAATCAAACTTTTCTGTTTAAGTGAACCTGAATAAATCCCTCCTCTCAATATCTTGTCTTCTTTTTGTTTTATTAAATAAGAATAAATGTTAAAGACAGAAACATGGGAACATGAATTCTATAGGACGGATGACCACTGTTGGTGTCTCATCCCTTCACATAGAGCAGAGGTGGAGAGCTATGGCCCTGTAGTGGGTTTCAAAATTTTTTACTACCAGTTCTGTGGGCATGGCTTGGTGGGTATGGCATGGCTTGGTGGGCGTGGCTTGGTGGGCATGGCAGGGGAAGGATTCTATAAAATCTCCATTCCCTCCCCAATCCAGGGGAAGGTTACTGCAAAATCCCCATTTCGTTCTGATCAGCTGGGACTTGGGAGGCAAAGAATAGTTGGGGGTGGGGCCAATTTGCTACCGGTTCTTTGAACTTCTCAAAATTTCTTCTACCGGTCAGAACCTGCTGAAACCCACCTCTACACAAAAGGCCCCCTATCCATATTGAGTACTCAAGATAGCAGACCACCAGGTCTACTGCCCTCTCAGAAGTGGGATTCACTCTCAGTCTTTCCCAGGGACTCCCAAGCCAGAATGGGGCATTTGAGAGCCTCAGGAATGTCCTCTCTTGATATGGCTTTCCCTGCAGGCTCCTTGTGGGTGACAATCTCAGGGGTTTCTGTCTTGCATTAATCCTGCCCACTTGCTCTCTGGCCCTGCTCAAGGTGAGCTACATATTCCCCCAACGGATCTCTTGTAAGAGACTTTTCTGTTCAAGGTTCCAATGTCCTCTTTCATAATATGATGTTGTTCATGAACTTTGGAAAAGGCCCTCTAGGTTAAGTTTACAAAATTGTGCAAGTGGGCATTTGAACTCTATTACCCAACAGGGTCAACCTGGAACATCTTCCTCCAGAATACTTGAATATCTCTCTCTCCATTGATGTTGTTGGGATTGAGCCCACCATAGATGGGCGGAAATGTGCCTTATCCTCACATTGGTGGGATCTGCTACTTTTTCATGCCTTCTGCCACTGTTCCTGCATTTGTGTATCTACTTTTAATCCTACTAAATAGCTAGAAGGAAAACCAAACTCAAGAATCCTGGCCCACATAGTACCCCAGGAAAGTTTGGATGTTAAATTCACTCCACATATCACAAAAAAACCCACACTTCTGAAGTTTTAAAGAAACTGTATCTGATGGCATTCAATCGTCATTTCTTTCTGTTATTTCTATCTTTATTTTATCCAAATAACATACAGAATGAACCTCCTATTATTTCCCCCCACGGTTGCAACCCTGTCGGATGATTTTGCTGTGAAAGTGTGACTGTCCTAAAGGGGCCCCCTCCAGGGTGAAATCTAAAATTTTTTGCTACCATCAGGAAGGTGCATAAAAGTCCTTTGGTTATTTGAAGATTTATATCATTCTCTGGGAAGTGGAGGAGTCCATGAGGGCCAACCTGCAGCTATTAAGCTGTTTGAATGCAAGTCCCTAGCACAACTATTAGATGGTGTACACCTGGGAACTTCTCTTAGCTTTCCACCACTGTGGTTATTTAATCCCAATTTCTAATCTTCTAAATTCCCCATTGCATCTTCGATGCAAGTGAATTCATGGATTCTAGAATGGTGGGAGTAAAGACCAGAATATGTCAGGGCACATCAAATTCATGACTGAGGCAGAAATTCCTTCTTCAGGTATCCTGCTTCATAGGAGAGGAATGGACTTCAAAGAATATCAAAGATTAAGATGCTTATTTGAGACATATATATTCAGCTTCATTTACATGTGAGCTATCTGTTATGATTCCTCAATGTCAGCGGTGGCCCTTTTATGACCTATGGACCTTCATGGCTGGCTGAGGAACTCTGGGAGTTGAAGTCCACAATGCACATAGGGGCCATAGCTCTCCACCTCTGCTCTGTGTGAAGGGGTGAGACACCAACGGTGGTCATATGTCCTATAGAATTCCTGTTCCCGTGTTTCTGTCTTTAACATGGCTGTTATTTAATAAAACAAAAAGAGAAGAAAAAATATAGAGAGGAGGGATTTATTCAGGTTCACTTAAACATAAAAGGTTGATTCAAATTCACTCGTATGAAGAGAGGAGAATCTAACAAGCTTAACAGCGCTGTAATGTATCGTGGATGTTCTCGAAATCATATTGACATAATTCTGGATTTTCCACTGTGATGCATCCCAGATGATGGGCGACAGCACCATATCTCTGATGGAAAGAAGAAGAAGAAGGTATGGTCAGTCAAAGTTGGACCTCATCGGTAAGGACCTTTGAGTCTAAGATCATCTGCCACCTTAGAACCTGCAGCGAACTATTGAGTCTTCCTGGGAGGAAGGTAGATTCAGACAAGGTGTTGCCAGCCTCAGTTTCTCTCCTCTCTTCTGCACCCAAGAATTCTGGGTCTCCACATAATATTGCTTGCTCAGCATTGAAAAAGCAAAAAAGTATTGGAAGAAAATTCGCATATGGCTAGAAGCTATGATAAAACCACACATGGCCTTGAAACCTGAGATATCATTAAGTGTTGTACCTTATGATTCTTGATGAACGTATCTTTTCTTTTATGTACACTGACAGCATACTGTATGCACCAAGACAAATTCCTTGTGTGTCCAATCACACTTGGCCAATAAAAAATTCTATTCTATTCTATTCTATTCTATTCTATTCTATTCTATTCTATTCTATTCTATTCTATTCTATTCTATTCTATTCTATTCTATTCTATTCTATTCTGTTAAAGTACCACTTAGTTGCCAGCTGCCTGCAATTACTGCTAGTTCGAATCTCACCAGGCTCAAGGTTGACTCAGCCTTCCATCCGTTCGAGGTAGGTCAAATGAGGACCCGGATTGAGGGAGCAATAAGCTGACTTTGTATAAAAAAGAACACCGCTTAGGGGGTAGCGAAAGCCGCACTAAGCAGGTATATACAAAGGTACGACAGCTATTGCTTAACGCATTGTAAGCCGCCTTAACGCATTTATATACCGCCCTCTGGAGAAGGGCGGCATATAAATCTAACTAATGAATAAATAAATGTCAAAGGTTGGATACCAGCCAACAATTAATGTAAGTGTATGTATTGAAAACACAAATTGTAAAAACCTGGCACCATAATCAACCCTAACAATCCACCACCAAGCATTCCCATCAATCTCACTCTATCCCTCTGTTTTTCCGAAATCTTAAAGAGGCCTGGCTAACATCTGGTGGAAGGGTGTTCTCCTCCCTACCTCATCTCCCCCTTACACCCAGGAGAGACCAATAGGGCTGCTGGTTGACTTTCTACAAATGCAATAAAGGCAGAAAGGCAATTACACTTTCTCATTCCTATCACTACAAGGTATGTCCTAATATTGCCTCTTATTTCCGCTCAGTCTCATCCTCTTCTTCGAGCAGCGTGCTAGGTCAGAGGTCCCCAAGCCTTGGTCCACGGACCAGCACCGGTCCGTGGCATGCCAGAAACTGGGCCGCAGAAACAAGCAAAGCCCCATCTGTGGGAAGCTACTCACCTTCAGGTTCACGGAAAAACCTCTCTCCGGTCCCTGGTGCCCTAAAGGTTGGGAGGCAGTGTCATAGATTCCACTGTTGCATCCGACCTAGGTACAAAGTGTTATATGTATCCATGAATCTTAGGAGAAGACGTGAGAAAATTAAAAGATCTGAAAGTTGCTTGGAACCTTTACTCACGTTTCGCAACACATCCATTCATTCGGTTTGCACTCACAACGCAAGCCATGCCCTGAGTACCAGACGGAGCCTACGAGATGATTTTTCCCATTACCAGGACACGTGGTATGCGGCACCACTTTGCCTAAGGGAAAAAAAGTCAAGATGAACTTTGCAACTGCACTCAAAATTGTCAACCTGCGAGGAGAAACCTTCTACTAGGGTTGAAGGCTCCTCTCAGAAAACTACTAACAGACTGTTGTGGCCCCGCCCTCTGAGCCTATCTCATCGGAGGAAGAAGGCTCTGAACATGAAGGAGAGGAGTCAGCCAGGCCTCCCTCTCCAGGCCCCTCCCCTCTGGCACTGTCTCAGGTGCCGGCCGAGGGAGAGGAGATTAGCCAGGAGCCAGGTGTCTCGGATGAGAGCGAGGAAGAAGAGCCGTCGTTCCTGGATGCACGCCAATGAAGGCGTGATAAATGGTTGCAGCAGTTAAGGAGGCGTGCTAGGGATTAGAACTGAGTCACTGGACCACACCCCAGAGACTATATAAGAGAGGGTGGTGGCTGGTAAAACTCTGTGACGAACAAAAACTAACTTTGGCTAGTCACTTGAACAACATCTGAAGCTGCCGAAGGGATATTGTTTTGCTGGACTATTTGCAATGCGTATGTAATTTTATGTTATCTGTTGCAGTAAAGCTCTTGGCAGACGGTGCTTATATTGTTGCCAAGTTTGAGATAACAACCTGTGTGCGTGCCAAGTACTTTCTTAACCCTCGGCTGGCTGTGTTTGTGTGTGTGTGTAGACGGGGACAGATCACAGACAAAGTACAGTACCAATCTCCTAATGGACAGATACAGGTGGTCCATGAATTACAACAGTTTGTTTAGTGAGATTTCAAAGTTACGACGGCACTGGATGAAATGACTTATGACCCTTCTTCACCCTTCCGACCACTGAAGCATCCCCATAGTCACGTGATCAAAATTGAGATGCATATTTATGATTTATTATGTCCTGGGGGTCACGTGGTCATTTTTTCCTGCCTTCCAACAAGCAGACTCAACGGGGAAGCCAGGTTCACTTAAAAATGTGTCACTAACTTCACAACTGAAGGGGTTCACGTAAGAACTGTGGCAGGAAAGGCCATAAAATGAGAACCGAATTCACTTTACAACTCTTTCACTTAGCAACAGAAATTTTGGGTTTAATTGTAGCTGTAAATTGAGGACTACCTGTATATTCTCTGCATTTGCTGCATACCATTTTATTTCATTTCAATTTATTTATGAGCTTTGAAAGGACCCCTGTTGACCCAAAGACTTCTGCATTAATACGGAAGGTGTTTCTTAGCCCAGTTAGGAGACTTTGGACTGAAACCTGGATCAACATTTAATCCACATTTCTCCTGGCATGATGAGACCTTTGCAATTTGTACAGATGAATAAGGAGGTAGGTTACCATCTTTATACTTAGGGAGCATAAGAGTCGTCATACAGTATCCTTGACATGTAGCCAGCACGATAGAGAAGATGATCAGGAGGAAGAAAACTTTCTGGAAAGAAAGGAAAACAAGAAAAGGCCATCGGAGAACTTAGTAGTTGGTGGAGCAGCTGCCTGTTCAAAGGTTTACAAAAGTCCTCTTTGATAATGCGATGTTGTCCATGGACTTTAGAAAAAGCTCTTTGGCTTAAGTTTACCATCTTGTGCAATGTGCAGTTTGGTCTCTGTTGCATAAGAGGGTCACCCTGGAACATCTCCCTCTCCTCTTTTTGTCAGCTGCACACAATCTAGGATACCCGAATATCTCGGCCCTTTTTTCATATCCCTAGTAGTCCTCACTGTGCAACGTCTTTCCGTCCTTCTCCCCTCCAGAGACAAAACCCTCCATTGATTGACCCCACCAGAGATGGAGGGAGATGTCCCTTTTCATACCTTCTCCTACCCCTGATGTGACAATCCTAACTCTTTATTCCAGAATTGATATGTGGCCCACGCAATAATTAACTCGTGCATTTGCTTATCTACAGTTAATAGCACGTAATAACCTGAAAATAAGCAAAATGCAAGACTCCTTGCCCATGTAGTACCCCAGGGAATTTCGGATATTACTTCCATCCCCCAAACACTACAAAATGCTATTAATTGGTTGTGTGAATATTTTGTTTTGTCCCTTTTCTCTCTAAGGAGTTCTAAAGAAACATCTATCCCAAAGGAGCTTTTTTTCAAGAGGCGACTGGACTTCCTGGTTTTTCTTTGAAGACGTTTCGCTTCTCATCCAAGAAGCTTCTTCAGCTCTGACTGGATCAGTGGTGGGTTCCTCCTGGTTCAGCCCGGTTCTGCCGAGCCGGGAGCGGTGATGATATGATGTCACCAAACCGGTTCTGCCCTCCTGCCCCCCAGCCCCTCCACGTTATTCTTACCTTTTATTTGGCCCCACCCCCAATCTATTGCTGCCTCCTGAGCCCCAGCTGATTGGCTAGAAGGAAATAAACCGTTTAAACTCTTGCCGGGGGGCTTCAAAGGGCCGCCCTACAGCTGATCAGTGTTAAAAGGCAGTGTGCTGGTAAACCGGTGCCTCCAAAAACAAATGAGTAGACCGGTGCCTCCAAAAACAAATGAGTAGACTGGTGCCTCCAAAAACAAATGAGTAGACCGGTACAGCTCTGCAAGCAGTTAAATGCCTGGTAGACCAGTACCTCTGCTAGATCCTAAAGAATTGTCACATGACCATTAAGCCACACCCACAAAATAAGCCACACCCACAGAACCAGTAATAAAAAAATTTAGAACCCACCCCTGGACTGGATGATGGGCAATGGGAGGATTTCATGACCAGCTGCCTGCAAAGTGTACAAATCCTTCCATTCCCCACCATCCAGTCAGAGCTGAAGAAGCTTCTTGGATGAGAAGCAAAACGTCTTCAGAGAAACCAGAAAGTCCAGTTGTCTCTTGAAAAAGCACCTTTGGGACAACCATGACCTGGACGACTGAGAGTCTCCATAGACATCTGATTTGATCTTCATATATTTCTGTCTTTATTTAATCTTAATAATGTACAGAATCGTCCTCTTACAGCTACGGTTCTGGGTTCAGCTGCGAGAGAGTAGCTGTCCCAAAGGAGCCACTTCATTCTTCCAGCCATTCCCTTTTCACATCAGGAGCCTGGATAGCTCAACAGACAGAGCACTGTAATTTAACACCAGTTGCCTGCAATTACTGCAGGTTCGAATCTCGCCAAGGCTCAAGGTTGACTCAGCCTTCCATCCTTTCTAAGGTAGGTAAAATGAGGACCCAGATTGTGGGGGCAATAAGCTGACTTTGTATAAATATACAAAAAGTATGAAGGCTATTGCTTAACGCACTGTAAGCCGCCCTGACTCTCCGGAGAAGGGCGGCATATAAATCAAATTAAAAAAAAAAAAAAAGTTCAATTGAGCTGCGGTTGCAAAAAAAAAGAAATTTAACTTACCATTTTGTTTTTTTGGGGGAAGACGCGGGAAAGTCTTGGTAGGGAGGAAGAACAAAGACTGGCTTCTCTCTCTGAAGTCAGCAAGAAACTTGCTCTTCCAATTTATACAAAAACCACGGCTGCCCCTTGTCCACATTTTTTTTTTAAAAAATTGGGGGGTGTAAGTTGTGCCAAAATTTTCCACTGCCAGAAGGAAAATATTTGCTTTGTAAATAGTCGGTGTTTGTTTTGTCCATGTGAAGGAAGGAACGTATTTCATCAGCTTCAGAGCAACATGGTTAGAAAAAGATGTTTTTCCTTTTGGGTCTAATGGGAAAAGACCTGGAGCAAAAAAATTGGAATTTTGTTACTATATATCCGTGATGACGAACCTATGGCACACGTGCCCAAAGTAGCATGTGAAGCCATGTCGCCTGGCATGTGTGGCCTTGCCCGTTTTGTCTTCCTGCACGGATTTCTAGGATTACAAAACCTTTCAAATCACCGAATCTTAAAATCAAAGTTCCGTGGGTTGTTTTTTTTTTTTTCAGGGCAGAGAAGAGGAAATAGAGTGGAGGGCAGCAGATTCTACAAGATCGGTGCAGGTGAGGACATCTGAGGGTGGAATGGAACAATTCGCTCACAGCACACTCACCGTGGCCATCTTGCCACGGTCAACTCAACACGGGAAATTCCATTCGGGATAACTCCACATGAAAAAAAAAATTATCCATCTTTTGTCGATGGAAACAATGCCGAAGGAACAGTGGTGGATAACATAGGTTGCATTGAGTTATCCCTCGTGGAATTGTCTGTAGTGACTTGTCCCATGGCAAGCAGGCTGTGACGAGTTGTCCTGTGGCGAGTTTGCTGCGCCAAGATGGCCACAGTGAGTTAGCCATGACAAGATGGCTGTGGTACATTGTCCTAGATCAGGGCTCTCCAACCTTGGCAACTTTAAGCCTGGAGGACTTCAACTCCCACAATGCTTTGCTGGCTGGGGAATTGTGGCAGTTGAAGTCTGCCAGGCTTAAAGTTGCCAGGGTGGATTCGTCTCAGAATTTTTGGCAATTCCAATTCAACTGTTACTGGGTTAATGGGTCTAGTGATTAGGAAAGGACCCACATACTTGGGTCCAAGCTTTTTTGATTTCTGGGAAGTCTGTAAATATTTGGTGGAAAGATAAACCTCATCACCCACTTTGTACACATGTGCCAGGGACCTTTTTTTTCAGCCTGGGTTTTATGTGCTCGGTGTGCGTCATCTAAAGCTTTTCAAGTTACTGCCCAAGTACCCCATAACTGTTCGATCCACTCAATCAAAGAGGGGTTCTCCGGGTTATCCTGTGGTAGCTTGGGGATCGGCACAAACTCCTGACCAGACGCTACCTTAAACAGAGTGAACCCGGTGCTGCTATGTATGGAGTTATTGTATGCCACCTCTGCAAATGGCAATAGGTCCACCCAGTTGTCTTGCTGGTAATTTACGTAACATCTCAAGTACTGTTCTAACACGGCATTGGTTCTCTCACAAGCCCCATTAGTCTGGGGGTGGTGGGCGGAGCTTAACCCCTGGGCGGAGCCTATCAACCTTAAAAACTCCTTTCAAAAATTGGAAGTAAATTGTACACCCCTGTCTGAAATTATACGTTTTGGAGCCCCATGTAATCGGTAAACATGACAAATAAACAATTTTGCAAAGGTTTTAGCTGAAGGGATTTTAGAACAGGGGATAAAGTGCACTTGTTTGGAAAACAGATCCGTTACTGCCCAAATGACTGTGCACCCTTCACTTTCTGGTAGGTCAACAATAAAATCCATGGATATCTCTTTTCAAGGGGCATTCGGCCTTGCCACACTTTGAAGTAAACCAGGAGGCTTCCCCAGAGGTCTCTTAGCTGAGGCACACACCGGACAATTAGCCACATATGCCTCTATGTCCTGAGTGCAGGCCACCAAAATTGTCTTTTAACAAGATGTAGAGTTTTAACAAATCCAAAGTGTCCTGCCACCTTGGCGTCATGAGCGTACTGCAACACTGTTATTCTTAAACTGACAGGAACATACAATTTCGCCCCAATCCAAGCTAGACCATCACGGCGTGTACATTCATTTGAGTGGGTTTTAAACCATTCGTCAGTTTTCAAGGCTTCTTTCAGTTTCTGAAGTAACTCGCCCGAGAGGGCTGGATCGGCCTTCGCCTGCGCTCTGATAGTCATTGGCACTGCTAGTTGTGTCGAAGGGATGATAGGACGAACCACTTCCTCCTTGGTGCTGTTGTATTGAGGCAATCTGGAAAGTGCATCCGCCATGAAGTTCTTTCCACCAGGAAGGTATCGTAGAGTGAAATTAAAATGGTTGAAGTCCTGGGCCCAATGAGCTTGCTTTGGTGACAGCTTACGCAGTGTTTTCAACGCCTCCAGGTTTTTATGGTCAGTCCAAACTTCAAAAGGGTGCTTTGCTCCTTCCAGAAATTGTCTCCACTTAACAATGCCCACCACACTGCAAAAGCTTCCTTTTCCCATATGGCCCATCTTCTCTCGGTTTCTGACAATTTACGGGACGTATAAGCACAGGGTTGTAATTCCCCTTCTGCGTTCTTCTGCAGAAGTACTTCTCCCACAGCCACGTTGCTCGCGTCAGCCTGTACTACAAAAGGTTCTTCCATGTCCGGATGTTTGATGACTGGTTCAGCAGCAAACAACCGTTTCAACTTTTTGAAGGCTGCTTGACAGTCCATAGTCCATTCAAGGGGTCGTGAGGGTCTTGGTTTTACTTCACCTTTAGTTTTCAGAAGATTTGTTATTGGCAGCACAATTTTTGCAAACGAGGGGATAAACTGTCTATAGAAGTTAGCAAATCCCAGGAAACTCTGCAGTTGTTTGCGGGTGCGTGGTGCGGCACATTCCAATACGGCCCGAACCTTTCCAGGGTCCATCTCTATTCCCTCATGCGATATGCGATACCCAAGATAGTCAATTCTGCTTTGGTAGAACTCGCACTTAGAAAGTTTGGCATATAGTTCAGCAGCCCTGAGTTTTTTCAGGACCGTTCGCACCAACTTCACATGGTCATCCATGTTCTCAGAGTAGATAAGAATGTCATCCAAGTAGACCAGTACCCCCTTATACAGGTGTTCATGCAGTACTTCATTAATCAATTGCATGAACAATTGACCCCCCGTCCTCTACAGTCCTTGTATATTTCTTCATTCAGCCCATCCTTGAAACTCTCCAGTAGAGCTGCTTCTGACCACCTTGTCATGTAGGGTGCCAGCTCATGAAATTCTTGGGTGTATTCTGCCACTGATCTCCGGCCCTGCAGAATACCCTTCATTCTGAGTCTCGCCTTCCGTTCAGCTAGGTGGTCTTCAAACCGCCTCCTAAGAGCCCCCATGAACTGGTGGTAGTTCCTCAGCAAGGGGGAGTTATTATTGTGGAGGACCACCATCCATTCAGCGGCTACTCCCTCTAGGACGTTCATGACGCATCTCACTCGAGCCGCATCTGATAAGTAGTCCTCCCCCCAGTCCTGCATGTGGTTCCACACTTGGGTCAAGAAAAGCCCCAAGGTCTTTGGATTCCCATCATATTTTCTGGTTGGGGGGGGAATTTTTGGTTTTTTACGCCTGTGGGGTGGGCTGTGCAAGGCTGGGGGTCCTTGGGCTGCTGCATCCCCCACTTGAGCTCCAGAAGCCTGAGATGTTTCTTCCCCAGCTTCCTCTTCTTCTCCCCCACAGGCTGTCTCTTCTGGATCCCCTCTGGGGCAGTCTCCTCCCTTCTCCACAGGGAACCCATAAAACTCACGGGTTTTCCGGCTTTCTTCGATATCACGGAAGAGTTGCAACGCTTGCGCTATCATGAGGCTTTCCTTTTTCTCTTGCAGCCACACTGCCTCTCTCCTACGGGGTCTGGAGCTGGTTACTCCCTGGGGGGATCCTCCCCAGGTCCGGCAGCCTTCCTACTCCTCTCGGCCATCTAGCTTCTTCAGGCTCCTCTCTCAGCCGAAGTTTTTCCATCCATTCTGCAGCCTCTTTCTCTGCTTGAAATGAAGTTATGGTAGAATCAGATGCTCCCATCTGGTCTTCTTCACCCTCCTGGTCCGACATAATTTGGTGTCCACCACCTCGGTGTTTATCTGGGATGGCTGGAGATGTATTTCAGCTTAATGTCAGGTGTGCTTCCTTCAAAGTAATGGAAAGAATGACCCAAACTCCATGTTTTATAGAGAAAGGTACTTTTACTAGAAAATGAAGTGAACGCAACCAAGGAAATCTGAAATTAAAGGCAATAAGCGCGAAAAGTGCATATAGAAAGCATCCCCTCCCACTGAACATTGTAAATCATCCAATCCAAAGGTCTCCCAGGGTCAGGTGGAAGCACGTCTGGCAGCATCATCAATCAGGAATGCCACAACGGTTGACCCGATAGCAACTTCAAAGATTCAGTTTCGTTTCTTCCAAAGTCCTCCAGCACGCTTCCCCCCCAGGCCCCCTAGTTCTCCCCCTCCCGTTTCTTATGGCAGCCAAAGCAGTAAAAGCGGAGGCTGACAAAGAGGAAGAGGAAGAGGAAGAAGAGGAAGAAGAAGAAGAAGAAGAAGAAGAAGAAGAAGAAGAAGAAGAAGAAGAAGAAGAAGAAGAAGAAGAAGAAGAAGAAGAAGAAGAAGAAGAAGAAGAAGAAGAAGAAGAAGAAGAAGAAGAAGAAGAAGAAAGTACATTTATGGTAAATCATAATTTAGTGTTTTGAAATTTTACAAGAAAGGAACTCTAATTTCAGATATTTCATATTTTAAGATATAATTTATTAAAAAATCCAAATAAATACATTTCATTTTTAAACTCTTTAGCAGAAACCGATGGCTTTTGCTGAGGGATAGGAATATTTAACTGCATTTTTTTAAAAAAAATTAACATTTTTTTTTTTTGTAAAACAGAATAAAAAATACAAGGAATACACTGAGAACTTTAAATATTATAAACAAATCCCGGAATTAACAAAACAACCGGACAACACAGTAGGATTATTAATTGAATTCATAAGACTATAATAACAATGAACAAGAATGTTTTAACTAATCTAAAGCAGTACGTTTATGGTAAAACAGAATCTACTGTTTGTAAACTTTATGTTAAACGAACTCTCAGATATCTGATCTATTAAACTATAATCTATCAAGGAAAAATCCAAATAAATACATTTCCTTCTAAAATTGCTCAGCAGCAACCAGTGGCCATGTGTGTGAAACCCATTTGAAGCCTGTTTATTAAAATCAGGGACATCCCAGATGGGAGGATGAACTGGGAGCTCAAAAATTCAAGAGGATGGCCATGGCCAGATGAACAAGGACCCTTGGTATTAACGCAGTGGGGCTGTGGCCAGGACTGGTCTGGGTAGCTGTGGCTTCCTGGGCTGTGGCCAACAGGGTGCAGGACAGCCATGGGGCAGATTGGGGGCAGAGATGCGGGTGGGGTGAGTTGAGCCTTTTGAGGGTCAGGGCTAGGAGGGACCAAGTTTGGATTGCTTAGTTTGGGGTGGGCACTTCCTTAACAACCTTTTATTCTCCATGAAGGACCACAACCATGATTGCTGGGATTGTTATTGCTAATTGATATGGTCATGTGAGATCTTGGTTTACAACCGCATCAGTCTCTCGATGATCGAAACTCCGACCCCAAATGTGGTCGCACGTTCCCAGCCTGCAACCTTCCAGATGGACAAGCCCAAGTGGACGTTCTCCAAGGACAGCCGAAGCTGGGATAACCGTAATAGAGGGAGATGTCCATTTCTTTCTCCCGCTCCTCAAAGATCTTTATCCTCCCCAGCGAAGTCCAGCAGGCTGCTTCCTCCCTCTCCATCTGGGCTTCTCGCTTCATCATCTCCCGAATGGGCCTTTGCTCGTCCGTGATGGGTTGCGAGACCTCCAGGTCGGGGGGCGGCATTCTCCAGGGTCTGAACATGTCCCCTTTATACGGTGGCGATGAAGATGGACCTTTAGGCACCGGGACTTTGGCTGGTGCTGCAATGTTGCCGGAGCGCCCAACATTTGGTCTTAAGCCAGCTGCCTTCGAGCCCAGACTGGTGGTTTTCCCGGCAGCTGCAGTCTGGGTTCTCCAGTCTCTGCTGCATGGAAATCCGGAATCCCAGGTCTTTGGGGCAGGTGGGATCGTGGCAGGGGGCACCTGCTTCCCCAGGAGCTTTGGGTGCTGAGTAGGCACAGGGATTAACGACCGTTTTTGCCAGGGCTGTGACTGTGGCTTAGGCAGATGCTGGGGTGACGGTTTGGATGGAGGGTGTGAAGGTAATTTTGACATGGAGGCTGCTGGTGGCTTGCATTGGAGATGCAGCTGGGAGGCTGGTAGGAAGTGCAGTGGCGGCTTGGGTGCAGTGGTCAGAGGTTGGGAAGATGGATAAGATGCTGGTTTAGGCAAAAGGTTGGCCTCCGTGATAAGATGGTTTGGAACCGGTGGAACGGAATGGCCTTTCTTGCTCGGCAGAGTTGGAACGGTCTGCTTGCCCAGTGGGTGAAAGACTTGTACGGACTCCATCAGTTTGAAAGCCAGGTTGGTCTTTGGGGTTGGCTTTGGGGCTCCTTCCGCTTCTCTTTTGGGGCAGCACTTCTTGCTTTTGGTGCCACACAGGCTCACGTTTTTCCTTGCTTCCTGCTTGTCTTGGCTTCTAGGCTGGCTCTTCTCCACGGCGCAAGAGGCATGGCCCGTCTTGGAGTCTCTGGAAGAAGAAGAGTCGCCTTCTTCAGCTGGCTGCTCTGGAAGGAGTTCAGGAAGCACGGCCTTTGGCTCTTCAGGCCCAGTCAGAAGTTCAGGAGGCATCTTTGCCTGGGTGAGATCTTGAGCCTCCAGAACACAAGGGGCGATTTTGGATTTCGAGGCATCCGCTGCCCCCTTTGCAGAGATATGTTTGCAAGGTTTGTTCCTCTGCGGCCCTTTTGCCCTGGCCTTAGATGGCATCTGATGCTGAGTTTTCTCCTCCTCTTTGGTTTTTTTTGCTGGAGGCTCTTCTTCAGTCCAAGGGATCTTCCTTTTCCCTTTCCCTTTTGAGGAGGTCTGGAACTGACCACCATCTGGAAGGGAGAGAAGAAAAAGACTGTTCGGTGTCAGGAAACCCAATCAGGAGTTTAAGCCTGCCAAGCGAGGTCCTTCATGTTCTTCCAGAAGGAGGAGATGCGTGGCCCTACTCCTGCCCAATCTGAACCCACCTCTCTGAAAGTAGAAAAGAAGGGAGGGAGGGAGGGAGGGAGGGAGGGAGGGAGGATGGAAGGAAGGAAGGAAGGAAGGAAGGAAGGAAGGAAGGAAGGAAGAAAGAAAGAAAGAAAGAAAGAAAGAAAGAAAGAAAGAAAGAAAGAAAGAAAGAAAGAAAGAAAGAAAGAAAGAGGAAAAAAGTCTGTGTTTGGAGGATACCAACCAGGTAGCTCAGACAAAATTTGAGCTACTTTTAAGCTCCCATACTTCTCCCACCTCCCCATTTGCTCCTGCTTTGCTATGAGGAACAGAAAAATGATTGTTTTCAATCTCTGCAGAGCATTCTCCAAGTAGCAACTTCATTCCTGGTTCACAGTATTAGAAGAAGGAATCTGCAATCTAGGGAATTTTCAGCAAAATTGGTTCAGGCTGATGAACACAAGGCCAGCAGAGGTCTAGATTGCTGTCCATTATTGATGGGGACTAATTTTCATTGGGTTGTCTTCTCTAAAGCCCACAGCAAGATTCCATACATCTTGGAAGAGCATGATGAGACTCTACAGCTTCAGGCATCTTCCAAAGAATCTACCTTCAGTTGGTGGACTGTCCTCCCATCTGCAATGCTTTGGCACTCACCATTCAGCCCAAAATTTTTGCTAGGGTCTGGCTCGGATGCTTCTTGGTCTCGAGAGGCCTGTGGGACCTCAGCCTTCAGACTGGCACCTGACGGGTGTCCTCCTGGATCTTGGTCCACTGAAAGAAAGAGGTCAAGAGGTGATTCTTCAAGGATGCTCTACCATACTATCTCACAGCTATGGATTCCCTTCATAAGCCGTGAAGTCCAGGATGTAGTACAAAGGCTAACAAGGATCAATACCTGCAGGTAATTCCTGGTACCAAGTATATTTAGCACTCACCTTCCAACACTGGAAGGAGGTGAGGAATGTCCTCCAAATCGTAGTGTAACGATGAAGAAGGAGCCAAAGGTGAGCCCACAAACTGATGGAGGCTACTTCTTGGCTGATCAAGAGATCCCGGAAGATGGTAAGACTGGGCCTTCTGTGGTTCCTCTTCAGGGGCTCTGATCTCTGAAAGAGTCAAGAAGAGAAACTGAGCAAGAGAGGTGGACACTGTACTATCCGAGCTGATCCTGCCTTGGTGGCTCAATCTGCCTGTGACTCCTACCAAGTTTTCCTTCGCAGCTCTACGGAAGTGGATGAAGAGGCAGAAGAGGATGGAGACAGCTCTTGACCTAGGCCTGTGCCTACCAAGCAGCTGGTCCTGTTTCATAAATTAACTCAAGAAACATATATTCAAACATCTAGGTCTTCAAGAAACATCTCTTATTCTAGCTCTAACCTTTCTTGAAGACCTCCAGCATTGGTGGCACAGGCTTCCAACATCTGTGGCTGGGTCTAAAGTATGGCGCTGTGGGAATGAGAGCCAAAATTCCAGAGTTGCACAAGTATCTCTCACCTTGCAAAGAGGCTGGTTGGCTGGTAGGAAGTTCGAGCGGCCACCTCTGTCCGAGTTGAAGGCCCACGTCGGAGGTGGCCTGTGCCTCTGAATGACCTGAAAGCCGATGTTGGGGATAGGAGGGTCTGGGGATCTTCTGTATGGTTCCAGGGCCAGGAAGAGTTTGATATTGAGGTGGCAGAGGCGCGTAGAAAGGCTGAGGAAAGGTAGAGACAGGAGGGTTACAGGGTGTCAGGTTAGCTAGCTGCAGTTGCTCCCCATGGATGGTTTGGAGGTGCGACACTCCCGGAGGCACAAAACTTTGCAGGCTGGCGTTGCCTGCGAGCAAGTGAGCAGGCAGATGGGGGAAAGGAGGCTGGATCCAAAGGTTGCTCAGAACCGGTGCGGCCATTCCAGAGAGATTAGGAAGGTTGTTTCCTAGAGCAGGTATGGCTATTAGTATTGGGCAACCTGGAGTCGGAAGGCTCAGGTTTTCTGGAGTCTCTGTGTTACACACCTGATCTGTAAAACACACATCAAAAGAAGAACAGAAGTCAGAAACCCTGTTTCGACCAGAGAACATCTGGAGTCCTGAATTGGATCTAGGTGCTCATAGTCTCCCGGGAGGGGCTAAACACCCATTCCTCCCCCAGGCACAAAGCCATTCCCTCCACACACCTGACCCAGAATGAAAGGGACCCTAGTGGGTAAGAAAGGAGCATTTTCCTTCCTTTTACAACGTCCTTGGAAGCAGACGGGGAGGCTGAGGGCATCATGTGGTTTAGCCCTCAGTCCCATCCTGAGAGGTTTGAGAGATGTAGCCCTACCTACACTGTGTTGACCTTTGGGTCCTTCCAAAGAAAAATACATGGGGACTCAAAAATAGGGGAACCTCACCAAGGAATAGATATTCCTGCTAACGTTGAAACGCCACAGAGAAATGAATGTGAAACTCCACTGAATAGAGGGCCAAATATATGACCACAATCCAAGAAAAAGAAGTCAAGAACTTCCCAAAATTGGATTGAGAGATGGCTCACCCCACTGATCTTCTTCCGACTTACTTTCTATTTCTATTTCCTTCCCTTGGGTAGCCCATCCCCAAACCTTCTCCTTTCCCCAGCTGTGCTGTGTGGGTTATGCCATATTTGCCTCTCAATGAGATTTCCGGAGGAACAAGGGATCCCTTCCAAGAGTGAGATGGCCCAATTCCTACCTGCCATCAGGGGGAAAAGATTATATTTTGAGTGATGGTAGAGAAGGATGTTGCCTCTAACCTGCCAGCATCCGGTAAAGAGTGGTCAGTACAAGTGGAATCATTTAAAAGTGTTTACTCCTGTCCCTACGGTAACCCTGGACGTTCTGAGATGCAAAGAGAATTCTCAGAGTAGAATCTGATGATGAAACGTGATGTCACTGCGGAAGGCAAGGAGCGCATCAGTGATGGCTATCGAGCTAAGCCTGGGAGGAAGGAAGACATTCAGTCCTTCTCCTGACCACTCACCTTCCCTGGTAGCCCATCGTCACTTTCAAGGATGTGGGAAATAGCTTTCATTCGGCCAGTAGATGACTTCTTTATGCCTTCAGCTATCCTGAGGGACTTAGGGGGTTGAATCCCCAGACCCAAACTCCTTGATGGTTTGGTGATTGTGATGCTGCCCTACATTTCAGGACCATCACAGAAAAATATGGGTTTGTTTCAAAGGGCCATCCCTATGTGCTACAGATCTTTGGATGTTAGCAATATTCAAAGCCTTGCTAGATGACCTTCCATCCACCTGGGCCCAAGAGAGGGACGTTGTGTGGCTTTTAGACTTGTGATCTGACTTTCCAGGTGCTATCAGCACAATTGAATTGTACAGGAAGTGAAGGTTTCTTATGACACCCTCCCTTTATTTTTCTTGCAAAGACTTCTATAATTTGAACAAATGAATGAACCAAGATCTAGTCCTCAAGTTTATCTGTTGTTCCAATCTCCAGATGAATTTTTAGGTTGTTCCATCTGCATAAATATGGGCTGAAGAATGTTGCTGTGTCATCTTCCAGCATTTCCATGACATTGAAAAAGTTATCATTCAAGGCTAATGAAAGACAAGAAAGAGACTAAGATGCTTATGTGGAAGATTTATTCAGCTGCATTTACAGGTAAGAGATTTGAATGGTGCGGTGGCCTAGAGGTGGAGCTCTCAGCTCACAATCAGGAGGCTGTGAGTTCGATCCTAGGTAGAGGCAGATATTTCTCTCTCTGGGCCCAATGAGAATATATCTGCTGCAAAAAAACTCCACATTGGCAACAGGAAGAGCATCCGGCCAGTAAATACTCAGCTCCATTTAGTTGCCCAGACTCTACTCCGCAAGCGATTATGGGGTCGTTAAAAGAGGATTTACAGGTAATAGATTTACTCAGATTCCTCTGTGTGAGCAGATCAGGATCCATGTTTAGCAGAGTGTAGGTCCTCTAAGCAGGCATTTTAAAGATTCTGGACCACTACTGGTTCTTAAAGCAAACAAATAGAAAAAGAAGAATTTGGGGTCAGTCCTTGGCACTGAGAAATCTCAAGTCTGAGAAACCCAGAAAGTTGATCTTCAATTCCCCTGTGAAAAAAGAAGAATGAGCTTCTCTTGGAGACCTGCAACCACACCGAGCTGGATGGACATGTTTTTCCACTCCCTTCTGCAGCCAACAATCCTGGATCTCCGCCTAATACTCTTTGCTCAACATTGGAAAGATAAACAAGGGGCTGATTTTCTCAATGGCCTCGAATTTGAAAATCATTAGCCAGAGAGGACCAGGTCCTCTCCTTACCCATTGCGTGGTCACGAACCCGGACTGTCAGATTTCCAGCTTACAAGCTCAGCGCCTTTACCCACTGAATTACCCTGGCCTCCCTTCTGCATCCTACAGTTCAGGTGTCATCAATCTGCGGCTCCAGAACCACATGTGGCTCTTTGGGCCCTCTGCTGTGGCTCCCTGTCGGGTGATCCCACCACTGGCTGCCCCCCACCCTTGCCCTCCCTTCCCAGTCACTCCCTCACCTGGCCTGAAAAGGTAAGGGCGATGATGGGGGACTGAGAAGTGACCAGGGCAGAGAAAGAGAGATACAGAGAGAGGGGAAGAGAGAGAGACATAGAGCAGTGATGGCTAATCTTTTTGCCATCATGTGCCAGGAAGGGGCGGGGGGCGGGGAAGGTTCATGCGTGCGTGTGCCCACACCCATAATTCTACGTGCCCCGCGCATGCGCACGCGACCCCCCTCCCCCCGGCTCCTGGCATGCGATAGCCTAGTGGGCTTGTTTTTCTTTCTCATCTGGCTCCATATCCTCTCTATGCATCTGGGGAGTTGGAAAACGGGCTGTTTCGGGCCTCCGAGGGGGTGGGGAAGGCTGTTTTCGCCCTCCCCAGATGCATAGAGAGGATCTGGAGGATCTGGAATGAGAAAGAAAAACGGGCCTTCCACACCCTCCCCCAGGCCCTCCGGATGCAGGAAACAGCCTGTTTCTCTACTTCTGGTGGACCCAGAAGGCCCGAAAATCAGTTGGCCGGTGCACACATGCGCACTGGAGCTGAGCTGGCGTGCCAGGCAACATGGCTCCGCATGCCACCTGTGGCATCCATGCCATAGGTTCACCATCACGGACATAGAGAGATACAGAGGGAGAGGGGGGGAGGGAGGGAGAGAAAAATGTCAAAAGGGTTTTGTGGTTCCCGGTGTTTTTTAACAACTAATTCTCTGCCCTAATGACTAGCTGGGTAGGCGTGACTGGTGGCATTGTGTGACGTCGTGAGACGTCGAGTTGGCCACGCCCACCAGATTTTGTGGCTCCCGGTGTTTTCTTTTCTGTGGGAAACGGGTCCAAATGGCTCTTTGAGTGTTTTAAGGTTGCAAGCCACTGCTATAGTTTTTTTAACAAGCAACTTGGATTACAACTGTGAGGCATTAGGTTGATTTCCTGTGCTTTTACTTCCAATGCAAGAGAACTTTACCTGTAAAATAATGCTTGGAGACTGAATTCGCTATAACTTTTTATTCTGAGAGGATAGAAACAAAGATAGCAACGATTCTAACCATATAATCCAGCCTTTCAAATTTGCTACCATCGCTTGTTTTAACAGCTATGGAGTGTTGCGGTGGCGTAGAGGTGGAACTCTCACCTCACAATCATTATATAAATTCCAACAATACAATTACAAATATTCCAATTGTTACAATTCCCTTAATTTTAAGTAAGAATATTCCAACTATTACCATCTCATTTGTAAAACTTATTCATATTTCTAAAACTTATTTCAATTCATTCATACATCCATATAGTATTCCATTATTTTATATTACTTAATTAATATCACAATCTCACCTTATTTCTAACATTCATTACATCTATAAATCTGACTTCAATTCATATTTCAATTCTAAATGTACATAACATGTTCCTCTTTCATTTCTTTCTCCCTTTCTTCATTTCTATTTCTTTATTTTTCTTTCCCCTTCTTTTCTTTTGTGCTTTAATGTCATGAAGTTTCCTATTTTGCCCTGTGTTTTCTATTATTTTCCATCTCTTTTTCCTTTTTCTTATTTTTCGACTGTTAATCCCAGTGTAATCATTTACCTTATGATTCTTGATGAATATATCTTGTCTTTTTATCTACACTGAGAGCATATGCACCAAAGACAAATTTCTTGTGTGTCCAATCACATTTGGCCAACAAAGAATTCTATTCTATTCTATTCTATTCTATTCTATTCTATTCTATTCTATTCTATTCTATTCTATTCTATTCTATTCTTCCGTTCCGTTCCGTTCCGTTCCGTTCCGTTCCGTTCTGTTCTATTCTATTCTATTCTAAAAAGAACAGACAAGAGAAAAGATTAAGATGTTTAGGTAAGATGTTTATTCGAGTACAGCATTGGAGGGGATGAGAATCAACACTACGATCTAGCCTACATTTTCATGTTTACGTAGTTCTGGATTTACCACTATTTTGCATCCTTCACCATTTTCAATAGATATTTATTCTGATGTCTTTCCCGGATTGGAATAATTCCCAATTTTGTAATATCTAAATGGAGGATAATCCGACATTTGCCATCAAGTCGCAGGGCTCCATTATCACATGATTCTGGATTTTCCCCTTTCTTGCATCTTTCAAGTATTATGATACCACGGTCCCTTTGAAGGGAAAAAAGAAGGAAAGGTGAAGAAGAAGAAGATGAAAAGATTAGGGCCACTCAAAGTTGACTTGAATTGGCAAAAACCTTTCAGACCATCAGCCACATTAGAATTTGCAGAGAAGTATTGAACTTCCTGGAGAAAGGAAGTTCAGTAGTTCAAGTCCACCCAACGCTTTGCTTGATTCTAAAAACCCAGTTCTTGGAAATGCACCTTTGCATGGAGAAATCTAAGGGTTCAGGCACCCAGAAATTCATTTTGGCTGCCTCCTGTTGACTGCAATAAGGATAATGACCTTAACCAACCACAAAGAATGTGAGCACTTCCTCATTAGCAGTTGGCTCAAACTCCTCCCAGATAATCAAGCTTGGCTCAACAAGGCTCCTACTGAAAAAAAGCTGAGTGATTTTATCTGACAGCTGGAATATTTCTAATTGTGACGCTTCCTTCTAACCCAGAGGAGACCTGGTCAACCAAAATAGGGGCACGGTCGGCTACCTGAAAATTTCCCAATGTAACATCAAAGCTCACCCATAACTTTTTCCTACCTCTCACAACATTGCATTCCAGCTGGACTGCACTCACAAACGAAGCAATGGGCTGTACTCCAGCTGGACCTAATGGGATGGGTTTTCCCATCATATCGATCAACGCAGGTGTTTGGCTTCACCCCTTTACCTAAGAAAAAAGAATCCAGTTGAGCCTGCAGTCATACCCAACTCATCAAACTCAACCAAGAATCCCCCTAGAGCTGCAGGCAACTTCCAGAAATCTACTATTGGACAAATGTGACAAGGAGATAAATTCTCTGCTTTTGCTGCATACGATTATCATTTACCTCTTAGATTTGTGAGGACTCCTGGTGACCAAACAACTTCTGCATTGGTACAGAAGGTGTTTTTCTGACCCAGTTAGGAGACCTTGGATAGAAACCTGGATTGTAGAATCTAAGGCAGAGACGTTTCAGCTGGCATTGCTAGACCTTCGCAGGCAGTATAATGAGGGTTTATTCAGATGAATGAGGAGAATCCTTACCATCTTTAAGTAGTGGTCTCAGGGGATCCGAAAAGCACTTAAATTGACATGTAGCCAACACGAAACAGAAGATGCTCAGACAGATGAAGACTCTCTGAGAATGGAAGAAAAGGAGGAAAAAGTGACTCACCAGAAGACTCGGTGGTTCTTCCAGAAACTTGCTGTTCAAAATCTTTCCAATGTCCTCTTCAGTATTATGATGATGTTCATGAACTTTGGGAAAAGCCCTCTAGATGAAGTTTACAATCTTGTGAAAGTGTGCGTTGAGATCTCTGTTGCGCAACAAGGTCAACCTAGAACATCTTCCTCCCCTCTCTGGGCCAGCTGCACCCAAATCAGGATACCCGAGTATCTCAGCCTTTTGTTTATTTATTAGTTTGATTTATATGCCGCCCTTCTCCGGAGACTCAGGGCAGCTAACAATGTGTTAAGCAATAGCCTTCATACTTTTGTATATACCTGCTTAGTAGGGCTTTCGCCCCCCCCCCAAGCGGTGTTCTTTTTTTTATACAAAGTCAGCGTATTGCCCCCACAATCCAGGTCCTCATTTTACCTACCTCGGAAGGATGGAAGGCTGAGTCAACCTTGAGCCTGGTGAGATTTGAACTTGCAATAATTGCAGGCAGCTGGCAACTAAGTGCTACTTTAACAGCACTTAGTCCACTGCGTCACCAGGCTCTTAGTTCATTCTCCTAAGTAGTTTGCAAAGTTATTCTTGTCCTATCTCTCTTTTCTAATGAAACATCTGGTTGCATTTGGTCTTCCCTTCTTACTCTATTTTACCTTTATCTTATCTAAATCACGTACACAGATTGATCCCCTTATGATTCTCCCCACAGCCATAACCGTGTGGGGTGATGCAGCTGTGAGAAAGGGACTGTCCCAAAGGGGTCACCTCATTCCTTCAGCCGTTCTCTTCTTACATCTAACCCAGTTAGAGGTCTTCCTGCAAATAAACCATTTTGCTTACCATCTTGGCTTTGGGGAAGCCCCAGGAAACTCTTGGGAGGGAAGAAGGACAAGGAGTAGCACCTCTCTCTCTGAGGTCGGCAAGGAATCTGCTCCTCCAATTTTTGCAAAAAAACAAGACCGCCCCTTGCGCATGTGTAAAAAAAAAGTCTCTGGTTTAAAGTTGTTCCACAATAGCCATTGCCAGAAGGAAAATTGTTCCTTTACAAATAGCAGCTATTTGTTTTATGGATGATGTGAAGAGGAAGTATTCATCAGCTTCAGAACGACATGTTAAGAAAAAATGAAACAATGGCCAAATCAAATCTCCCAACAGAATGGGAGAAGGTCAAACAGACAGGGGTGCAGCCAGTTCCCATCCTCCCACAAGATGCCCCCTAAAAGTTTTGAGGATTGGCTCCACTACTCTCATAAATGGGACTTACATTATTTCCCAAGGATTTCAAAGCCAGAATCAGGCTTATTAGACCATTAAAAATGTTATCTGAATCTTCCACTTATATGGCTTTCCTTGCATGCTCTGTTACAACCTTCAACAAGGCATTTGACAAAGTAGACCACAACCTCTACAAGATGGATCTACAATTGTCTAACCAACCATACTCAATGTATAGTCCTCAATGGAACATCATCTACATATTTACGAGATCACCTTCTGCCACCGATGGCCTCCCACCGACCAACACGCTCCCACAGACAGGGACTCCTCAGGGTGCCGTCAGTCAAACAATGTTGACTGGCGACCCCCAGGGGGGGCACCCGCCCTCTGGAATGAACTGCCCCCAGGGATACCTATGATTCCCGACCTATGTACCTTTCGTCGGGCCCTTAAGCCCTTACTATTCCAACAGGCTGAGCTAGCTAGATAGGAATTTTAGGGGTGTTTTAATTGGAATTTTAAATTTGGGCCAAACTATTTAATACATTTTAAAATGTTTTTAAATTTTGTATTATATGTTGTTTTTACTTTGGCTGTACACTGCCCTGAGTCCCTTGGGAGAAGGGCGGTATAAAAATTGAAATAATAATAATAATAATAATAATAATAATAATAATAATAATAATAATAATAATAATAATAATAATAATAATAATAATAATATAGGGAAGTATGCAGTGGGGTAGCCCAAGGTCTGTCTTAGGCCCAGTATTTTACTACTGGTTCTGTGGATGCGGCTTGCTTTGTGGTAATGGCTTGATGGTCATGTGACTGGGTGGGCATGGCCTGGTGGGCATGTGACTGGGTGGGCATTGCCAACTCAGTGGTGGGGGGGCCTAGAGCCATTCGCAGGTTTACGTGTAGGCAGGAGGAGGCAGATCAGGGCTTCTCAGTTGGGGCGCAAGCACGCACCATGTGGGAAGGCAGATTAGGCAGGAAACTTAGAGCATAGATTGTGCACATACACAAACGAGGACCCACACACAGTGAGGAGTGAAGAGGTGGGACAGGGTGAATGAGCGGCGACTGGGCATGTGGGTCAAGTGAGCGGCAACTGGCCGGGTGGGGCCAGCCAGAGGTCGCTACCAATTTCATGACCCAGAAAAATTTTCCCTACCAGTTCGACCAAACTGATGCAAGCTGTCTGAATCCCACCTCTGACTGTGAAGTGCTATATAAGTCTAAGTGCTACTGCTCTTTGACTGTCTTGTCTGGCCATTTTGCTTAGTTTCCTGCCCAATTTTCTGGAGGGTTTCTTTCAGCAATAATTCTGTATTTTACATCAATTGTCAATAGTTTTCAAACTTCACGCCCTTTCCGTATCCTATCGTTTACCTAAAGCAACCTTGGATTGCAAATCCCCTACGTTCAATGCATCCTTGATTATTTAGTTGATTTCCTCTACTTTGCTGAAAACAAAAGAGAAATTTAACTGTAAAGTAAATCTTGGAGACCTTCTCTTTAACTTTTATAACATTAGGATTGATAATCCCTTTATCCCAATACGGAATGGCTCGTTGTCTTTCAGGCTTATCCTCTCTGAAATGTTCCGAGCTGAATGTTCCTGGTTTTGTTTCTTTAGGAGATTAGATTTGCGAGGGACACAGGCATCTAAAATAGCATGACGGATTCTCCCTCTATTTCAGTGGTGGGTTTCCAATTTTTTTTACTACTGGTTCTGTGAGCGTGGCTTGATTTACTACCAAATGGAGATATGCTGTGTCTGTTTCCGGTCCAGGGAGTATAAAAGCAAAGCAAATAGTATTTATTCATTTATATTATGCATTTATTTATTTCACACCTCTGCTTTTCACAAGTAACTCATGGCGGCAGATATATCTAATACTCCTTCCTCCTCCTCTTTTTCCCTACAACAATGGCCGCGTGAGGTAAATTGGTTGAGGGCCAATGACTGGCCCAAAGTCATCTAGCTGGCTTTCACGACTAAGGCAGGATTAGAACTCATTGTCTCCTGGCGATTAGTCCAAGTTCAACTCACTGGTTTTTATGCTTAAAACAGGACTGGAACAATTGATTAGTGATCAGAAGTTGTGGGTGCTCCATCACTGGAAGTTTTAAAGAAGGGATTGGATAAACGTTTGTCTGAAGGGGTGTCGGGTTTCCTGCCTAAGCAGGAAGAGGTTAGACTAGAAGACCTCCAAGGTCCCTTCCAACTTTGTTTTTCTAAATAAATAAATATTCCAAACCAAGGTGGCCTCTACCAAAAGAAAATAAAACCCCAAAATGAAGCCAAAGTAATCCCATCATCTGGAGGTGGTGAAGTTGATGAAGAGCCTAGTAGAGGAACTCTTAAAAAGTGAAAGGTCCACCTTCCCCCCACATCATAAATCATATTATCCAACAGTGTTGCTGGCCGGTTGATTTGTTACTCCGCTCCTCCTCTCCTAGCCACCTGTTGGAATGACCTTGGTTCCCACAGGAAGCTTTTTGTTTTGACGGCAAAACCCAGCTATCTATTCCCCGATGCTCCCTGTCCCCCCTTCTGCCTTGTGGCAACCGTGAAGCCACCAAGATAGCCTCAGCCAGGATCACTTCAGGGTTGATACTGTGGTTACCTTTTTCTCATTCTCTTAGATATAGGGGTTGGAGGTCCATGTGGGCCAATCAGCAGCTATCAAACTTTTTGTGACCAAGTTCCTGCAATTACCGGTATTACCCGGCATACATCTGGGACCTTCTCCGAATTTTGCTTCACTGGAGTTCTTTAATCCCAATTCTTAATCTTCTAAATTCCCCACTGCATCTCCAATTCAAGCCAACTGACATAGTCCAGAATGGCGAGAGTGAAGACGGGAAAGTGTGAAGGAACGTTAAATTCCTGGCTGAGACTGAAATCTTTCTTCACGTTCAGCCTGCTTAGCAACAGAGGATGGAATTCAAAGTGACAAACTGAGAGTGAATTCTCACGTCCAACGCTTTTCAATTCCTTCTTGATCTTGATGGGATTTTCACCCAGCAATATTAATGCTCAAGCAGTGTTTATTTGATACAAAACACCAAAGGGACACAGGCAGCAAATTCCAGTCCTGCCTGCCTGATATCATTTATTTAACATGGTCCTTGTTGAATCAAAAGAAAAGACAAGAGAAAAGATTAAGATGCTTAGGTAAGACATTTATTCCAGTACTGCATGGAGGGGATGAGAATCAACACTACGATCTAGCCTACATTTTCATGTTTACGTATTTCTGGATTTACCACTATTTTGCATCCTTCACCATTTTCAATAGAGCTGGGTTTTTGAAAGGAATGTGGGAAACTTATTCAGATTTCTTTCCAGGACTGATAACTCTTCCAATATTTTAATGTATATATCATCTTTAGGGATGATAAACTGACATTTGTCATCAAGTCCAATGGCTGCATCTTTACATGATTCTGGATTTTCCCCTTTCTTGCATCTTTCAACTAGTACGATACCACGTTCTCTTTGAAGGGAAAAAAGAAGGGAGGGTGAAGAAGAGGAAGAAGAAAAGATTAGTGCCGCTCAAAGTTGACTTGAAGACTTTTATGACCATCAGCCACATTAGAACTTGCAGAGAACTACTGAACTGGAGAATGGAAGTTCAGTAGTTCAAGTCCACCCAACGCTTTGCTTGATTCTAAAAACCCAGTTCTTGGAAATGCACCTTTGCATGGAGAAATCTCAGGGTTCAGGCACCCTGAAATTCATTTTGGGTGCCTCCTGTTGACTGCAATAAGGATAATGACCTTAACCAACCGAGAGGGACATGGGTGCCAAAACCTGTTGGCCAAGATCAAAACCATCAATAACGTGTCCACTTCCTCATAAGCAGTTGGCTCAAACTCCTCCCAGATAATAAAGCTCAGCTCAATGAGGCTCCCACTGAAAAAAACTGAGTGATTTTTATCTGACAGCTGGAATATTTCTCATTGTGATGCTTCTTTTTTACCCAGAAGAGACCTGGTTACCCAAAATAGAAGACTTGTGTGAAGGTTTTTTTTACCTATATGTATCCAGGAATATGTGCTATATTAGTAAACCCTTTTGATTTAACATAGGAGAAAACATGCACAATTTAATACATCCAAAGCTCACCCATAACTTTTTCCTACCTCTCACAACATCTCATGCCATCTCGACTGCACTCACAAACGAAGCAATCGGCTGTACTCCAGCTGGACCCAATGGGATGGGTTTTCCCATCATATCGATCAACGCAGGTGTTTGGCTTCACCCCTTTACCTAAGAAAAAAGAATCCAGTTGAGCCTGCAGTCATACCCAACTCATCAAACTGAACCAAGAATCCCTCTAGAGCTGCAGGCAACTTCCATAAATCTACTATTGGACAAATATCACAAGGAGATAAATTCTTTGCTTCTCCTGAATACTATCATATTTTACCTCTTGGAATTGTGAGGACTCCTGGTGACCAAACAACTTCTGCATTGGTACAGAAGGTGTTTTTCTGACCCAGTTAAGAGAGCTTGGATAGAAACCTGGATTGGAGAATCTAAAGCAGAGACATTTCAGCTGGCATTGCTAGACCTTCGCAGGCAGTACAATGAGGGTTTATTCAGATGAATAAGGGGAATCCTTACCATCTTTAAGTCGTGGTCTCAGATGATCCGAAAAACACTCTTCTTGACATGTAGCCAACATGAAAGAGAAGATGCTCAGACAGATGAAGACTCTCTGAGAATGGAAGAAAAGGAGGAAAGAATGACTCACAAGAAGACTCGGTGGTTCTTCCAGAAACTGGCTGTTCAAAATCTTTCCAATGTCCTCTTCAGTTTTATGATGATGTTCATGAACTTTGGGAAAAGCCCTCCAAATGAAGTTTACAATCTTGGGAAAGTGTGCATTGAGATCTCTGTTGCACAACAAGGTCAAGCTGGAACATCTTCCTCCCCTCTCTGGCCCAGCTGCACCCAGATCAGGATACCTGAGTATCTCAGCCTTTTGTTCATCCTCCTAAGTAGTTTGCAAATAGTTATTCTTGTCCTGTCTCTTTTTTCTAAAGAAACATCTGGTTGCATTTGGTCTTCCCTTCTTACTCTATTTTACCTTTATCTTATCTAAATCATGTACACAGATTGATCCCCTTATGATTCTTCCCACGGCCATAACCGTGTGGGGTGATTCACCTGTGAGAAAGGGACTGTCCCAAAGGGGTCACCTCATTCCTTCAGCCGTTCTCTTCTTACATCTAACCCAGTTAGAGTTCTTCCTGCAAATAAACCATTTTGCTTACCATCTTGGCTTTGGGGAATCCCCAGGAAACTCTTGGGAGGGAAGAAGGACAAGGAGTAGCACCTCTCTCTCTGAGGTCGGCAAGGAATCTGCTCCTCCAATTTTTGCAAAAAAAAAACAAGACCGCCCCTTGCGCATGTGTAAAAAAAAGTCTATGGTTTAAAGTTGTGCCACAGTAGCCATTGCCAGAAGGAAAATTGTTCCTTTACAAATAGCAGCTATTTGTTTTATGGATGATGTGAAGAGGAAGTATTCATCAGCTTCAGAACGACATGTTAAGAAAAAATGAAACAATGGACAAATCAAGTCTCCCAACAGAATGGGAGAAGGTTAAACAGACAGGGGTGCAGCCAGTTCCCATCCTCCCACAAGGTGCCCCCTACTCGTTTTGAGGATTGGCTCCACTACTCTCATAAATGGGACTTACACTATTTCCCAAGGATTTCAAAGCCAGAATCAGGTTTATTAGACCATTAAGAATGTTACCTGAATCTTCCACTTATATGGCTTTCCTTGCATGCTTTTCGCCTGTCTGTTACAACCTTCAGTAAGGCATTTGACAAAGTAGACCACAACCTCTACAAGATGGATTTACAATTGTCTGACCAACGATACTCAATGTATAGTCCTCAATGGAACATGGTCTACTTACAGGGAAGTATGCAGCGGGGTAGCTCGAGGTCTGTCTTAGACCCAGTATTTTACTACTGGTTCTGTGGATGCGGCTTGCTTTGTGGTAATGGCTTAGTGGCCATGTGACTGGGTGGGCGTTGCCAACTCAATGGTGGGGGGGACCTAGATCCACTCACGGGCTTACATGTAGGCAGGAGGAGGCGATCAGGGCCTCTCAGTTGGGGCGCAAGCACGCAACATGTGGGAAGGCAGCTTAGGCAGGAAACTTAGAGCATAGATTGTGCACATACACAAACGAGGACCCACACACAGTGAGGAGTGAAGAGGTGGGACAGGGTGAGCGAGCGGCGACTGGGCATGTGGGTCAAGCAAGCGGCAACTGGCCGGGTGGGGCCAGCCAGAGGTCGCTACCAATTTCATGACCCAGAAAAATTTTCCCTACCAGTTCGACCAAACTGATGCAAGCTGTCTGAATCCCACCTCTGACTGTGAAGTGCTATATAAGTCTAAGTGCTACTGCTCTTTGACTGTCTTGTCTGGCCATTTTGCTTAGTTTCCTGCCCAATTTTCTGGAGGGTTTCTTTCAGCAATAATTCTGTATTTTACATCACTTGTCAATAGTTTTCAAACTTCATGCCCTTTCCATATCCCATCGTTTACCTAAAGCAACCTTGGATTGAAAATCCGCTACGTTCAATGCATCCTTGATTATTTAGTTGATTTCCTCTACTTTGCTGAAAACAAAAGAGAAATTTAACTGTAAAGTAAATCTTGGAGACCTTCTCTTTAACTTTTATAACATTAGGATTGATCATCCCTTTATCCCAATACGGAATGGCTCGTTGTCTCTGAAGGCCGGTCTTTCAGGCTTATCCTCTCTGAAATGTTCTGAGCTGAATGTTCCTGGTTTTGTTTCTTTAGGAGATTAGATTTGCGAGGGACACAGGCATCTAAAATAGCATGACGGATTCTCCCTCTATTTCAGTGGTGGGTTTCCAATTTTTTTTACTACTGGTTCTGTGAGCGTGGCTTGATTTACTACCAAATGGAGATATGCTGTGTCTGTTTCCGGTCCAGGGAGTATAAAAGCAAAGCAAATAGTATTTATTCATTTATATTATGCATTTATTTATTTCACACCTCTGCTTTTCACAAGTAACTCATGGCGGCAGATATATCTAATACTCCTTCCTCCTCCTCTTTTTCCCTACAACAATGGCTGTGTTAGGTAAATTGGTTGAGGGCAAGACTGGCCCAAAGTCATCTAGCTGGCTTTCATGAATAAGGCAGGATTAGAACTCACTGCCTCCTGGTGATTGGTCCAAGTCCAACTCACTGGTTTTTATGCTTAAGACAGGACTAGAACAATTGATTAGTGATCAGAAGTTGTGGGTGCTCCATCACTGTAAGTTTTTGAGAAGGGATTGGATACCCACTTGTCTGAAGTGGTGTAGGGTTTCCTGCCTAAGCAGGAAGGGGTTAGACTAGAAGACCTCCAAGGTCCCTTCCAACTTTGTTTTTCTAAATAAATAAATATTCCAAACCAAGGTGGCCTCTACCAAAAGAAAATAAAACCCCCAAAATGAAGCCTAAGTAATCCCATCATCTGGAGGTGGTGAAGTTGATGAGGAGCCTAGTAGAGGAACTCTTAAAAAGTGAAAGGTCCGCCTTCCCCCCACATCATGAATCATATTATCCAACAGTGTTGCTGGCCGGTTGATTTGTTACTCCACTCCTCCTCTCCCAGCCACCTGTTGGAATGACCTTGGTTCCCACAGGAAGCTTTTTGTTTTGACGGCAAAACCCAGCTATCTATTCCCCCCACCCCTGTCCCCCCTTCTGCCTTGTGGCAACCGTGAAGCCACCAAGATGTCCTCAGCCAGGATCACTTCAGGGTTGATACTGTGGTTACCTTTTTCTCATTCTCTTAGATATAGGGGTTGGAGGTCCATGTGGGCCAATCAGCAGCTATCAAACTTTTTGTGACCGAGTTCCTTCAATTACCGGTATTACCCAGCATACATCTGGGACCTTCTCCGAATTTTGCTTCACTGGAGTTCTTTAATCCCAATTCTTAATCTTCTAAATTCCCCACTGCATCTCCAATTCAAGCCAACTGACATAGTCCAGAATGGCAAGAGTGAAGACCGGAAAGTGTGAAGGAACGTTAAATTCCTGGCTGAGACTGAAATTCCTTCTTCACATTCAGCCTGCTTAGCAACAGAGGATGGAATTCAAAGTGACAAACTGAGAGTGAATTTTCACGTCCAACGCTTTTCAATTCCTTCTTGATCTTGATGGGATTTTCACCCAGCAATATTAATGCTCAAGCAGTGTTTATTTGATACAAAACACCAAAGGGACACAGGCAGCAAATTCCAGTCCTGCCGGCCTGATATCATTTATTTAACATGGTCCTTGTTGAATCAAAAGAAAAGACAAGAGAAAAGATTAAGATGCTTAGGTAAGACATTTATTCCAGTTCTCCATGGAGGGGATGAGAATCAACACTACGATCTAGCCTACATTTTCATGTTTACGTATTTCTGGATTTACCACTATTTTGCATCCTTCACCATTTTCAATAGAGCTGGGTTATGAATGGAATGTGGGAGATTTATTCCAATTTCTTTCCAGGTATAATAGCTTTTCCAATATTGTAATATCTATATCATCTTTAGGGATGATAAGCCGACATTTGTCATCAAGTCCAATGGCTGCATCTTTACATGATTCTGGATTTTCCCCGTTCTTGCATCTTTCAACTAGTACAATACCACGTTCTCTTGGAAGGGAAAAAAGAAGGGAGGGTGAAGAAGAGGAAGAAGAAAAGATTAGGGCCACTCAAAGTTGACTTGAATTGGCAAAAACCTTTAAGACCATCAGCCACATTAGAATTTGCAGAGAACTACTGAACTTCCTGGAGAAAGGAAGTTCAGTAGTTCAAGTCCACCCAACGCTTTGTTTGATTCTAAAAACCCAGTTCTTGGAAATGCACCTTTGCATGGAGAAATCTCAGGGTTCAGGCACCCAGAAATTCATTTTGGCTGCCTCCTGTTGACTGCAATAAGGATAATGACCTTAACCAACCACAAAGAATGTGAGCACTTCCTCATTAGCAGTTGGCTCAAACTCCTCCCAGATAATCAAGCTCAGCTCAACGAGGCTCCTACTGAAAAAAAGCTGAGTGATTTTATCTGACAGCTGGACTATTGCTCATTGTGATGCTTCCTTCTAACCCAGAGGAGACCTGGTCAACCAAAATAAGGGCACGGTCGGCTACCTGAAAATTTCCCAACGTTACATCAAAAAGTAATTCCAGATAGGGAATTACAGGAGCAAACAATCAGATTCTGAGCGACTGTATTATATTCTGCCTAGATTGCAGGAATCACCCCACTCTAGTAGCTCTTCCCTGGGGACAATTAGAAATTCAGAGAGGGACACTTCTGGCACTTTTAAGGTCCAGACTAGCTCCGTGCTTGAGCCCTCCTCCCTGCCAGGTTAGGGGCTTCCAAACATATGGGGCCTCATCTGCCCTCAGTCAAACTTACACTTTGTCTACCTCCAACTGCATTCAAGGCATCTCTAATATAGAAGACCTGTGTGAAGGTTTATTTACCTGTATCTATCCAGGAATATGTGCTACATTAGCAAACTCTTTTGACTTAACATAGGAGAAAACATGCACGAATTAATTCATCCAAAGCTCTCCCATAATTTTTCCCTACCTCTCACAACATCTCATTCCAGCTCGACTGCACTCACAAACGAAGCAATCGGCAGTCCTCCAGCTGGACCCAATGGGATGGGTTTTCCCATCATATCGATCAACGCAGGTGCCTAGCTTCACCACTTTACCTAAGAAAAAAGAATCCAGTTGAGCCTGCAGTCATACCCAACTCAACAAACTGAACCAAGAATCCCCCTAGAGCTGCAGGCAACTTCCAGAAATCTACTATTGGACAAATGTGACAAGGAGATAAATTCTCTGCTTTTGCTGCATACGATCAAATTTTACTTCTTAGATTTGTGAGGACTCCTGCATTGGTACAGAAGGTGTTTTTCTGACCCAGTTAGGAGACCTTGGATAGAAACCTGGATTGTAGAATCTAAGGCAGAGACGTTTCAGCTGGCATTGCTAGACCTTCGCAGGCAGTACAATGAGGGTTTATTCAGATGAATAAGGAGACTCCTTACCATCTTTTAGCGGTGAACTCAGGGGCTCCGAAAAACACTTTTCTTGACATGTAGCCAACATGAAAGAGAAGATGCTCAGACAGATTAAGACTCTCTGAGAATAGAAAAAAAGGAGGAAAAAATAACTCACCAGAAGACTCTTTTGTTCATCCTCCTAAGTAGTTTGCAAATAGTTATACTTGTCCTATCTCTCTTTTCTAAAGAAATATCTGGTTCCATTTGGTCTTCCCTTCTGACTCTATTTTACCTTTATCTTATCTAAATCACGTACACAGATTGATCCCCTTATGATTCTCCCCACAGCCATAACCGTGTGGGGTGATTCAGCTGTGAGAAAGGGACTGTCCCAAAGGGGTCACCTCATTCCTTCAGCCATTCTCTTCTTACATCTAACCCAGTTAGAGTTCTTCCTGCAAATAAACCAGTTTGCTTACCATCTTGGCTTTGGGGAATCCCCAGGAAACTCTTGGGAGGGAAGAAGGACAAGGAGTAGCACCTCTCTCTCTGAGGTCGGCAAGGAATCTGCTCCTCCAATTTTTGCAAAAAAACAAGACCGCCCCTTGCGCATATGTAAAAAAAAAGTCTATGGTTTAAAGTTGTTCCACAATAGCCATTGGCAGAAGGAAAACAGTTCCTTTACAAATAGCAGCTATTTGTTTTGGGGATGATGTGAAGAGGAAGTATTCATCAGCTTCAGAATGACATGTTAAGAAAAAATGAAACAATGGACAAATCAAGTCTCCCAACAGAATGGGAGAAGGTCAAACAAACAGGGGTGCAGCCAGTTCCCACCCTCCCACAAGATGCCCCCTAAAAGTTTTGAGGATTGGCTCCACTACTCTCATAAATGGGACTTACACTATTTCCCAAGGATTTCAAAGCCAGAATCATACTTAATAGTCCATTAAGAATGTTATCTGAATCTCTCAGGGCGGCTTACAATGCGCTAAGCAATAACCTTCATCCTTTTGTATATTTATACAAAGTCAGCTTATTGCCCCCACAACTGGGTCCTCAATTTACCTAGCTTAGAAAGGATGGAAGGCAGAGTCAACCTTTCCATGGCTTTCCATGCATGCTTTTCGCCTGTTACAACCTTCAGCAAGGCATTTGACAAAGTAGACCACAACCTCTACAAGATGGATCTACAATTGTCTAACCAACCATACTCAATGTATAGTCCTCAATGGAACATGGTCTACATACAGGGAAGTATGCAGCGGGGTAGCTCGAGGTCTGTCTTAGGCCCAGTATTTTACTACTGGTTCTGTGGATGCGGCTTGCTTTGTGGTAATGGCTTGGTGGTCATGTGACTGGGTGGGCATGGCTTGGTGGCCATGTGACTGGGTGGGCGTTGCCAACTCAATGGTGGGGGGGGACCTAGATCCACTCACAGGCTTACATGTAGGCAGGAGGAGGCAGATCAGGGCCTCTCAGTTATATCTAATACTCCTTCCTCCTCCTCTTTTTCCCTACAACAATGGCCGTGTGAGGTAAATTGGTTGAGGGCCAATGACTGGCCCAAAGTCATCTAGCTGGCTTTCACGCCTAAGGCAGGATTAGAACTCACTGCCTCCTGGCGATTAGTCCAAGTTCAATTCACTGGTTTTTATGCTTAAGACAGAACTAGAACAATTGATTAGTGATCAGAAGTTGTGGGGGCTCCATCACTGGAAGGTTTTAAGAAGAGATTGGATAAACGTTTGTCTGAAGTGGTGTCGGGTTTCCTGCCTAAGCAGGAAGGGGTTAGACTAGAAGACCTCCAAGGTCCCTTCCAACTCTGTTCTTCTAAAGAAATAAGTATTCCTGCTTTCTAGCCCAATGCCTTAACCATCAGCCCAGACTTGTGTCAAATGACTTTTTAATGGGACGTGAGGGAAACCTTGTGAATATGGGGTGGAATCACATTAGCTCAGGGGTGACGTCAAATATTTTAGAAAGGAGTTCTCTGCCTGGTTGCTGGGCAGGCGTGTCCTAGTTGGCCTCCTGCACTATGGGGGGGGAGGCTTTTCGCCTCCCCGAGGCTCCGGAGGCTTTCCTCGAGCTTCCGGGAAGGCAAAAACGGTCTCCCCAGGCTCCAGAGGCCCTCTAGAGGCTGAAAACAGGCCCGTTTCCGGCCTTCCTGAACTTCTGGTTGGCCCATTCTTTGCCCTCCCCGAGCCTCCGGGCATCCAAAACGAGAGGCATGCGGACTCCTGGGAGGGGTGGGGGAGGGTGGGCGGGGCCAGCCAGGAGTGGGATTTGGGGGTTCTCCGAACTGCATAGAATCTAAGGTAGAGTTTCTCCCGAACCCCTGAGAACCCCCAGCAGCCCCCACCTCTGCATTAGCTGCACTCATTTCACTTAGTTTCATTTTATTCATATTTCAATGAAATCAGGGTTCCTTTCTATGCTACCTTGAATATGTTCTTCTCCTGTCCTTGGCAACTGGGGCCATCGCTGAAAAACCGTGTAGCCCACATTTTCAAAAAGCTTTAGAGAGCCTTCCTGTTTTGGAAGTGTATCTTCAAAAGAGTTTAATCAGGTCAAAAGAGTTGATTCCCCGGATCAGAAACGATATTGCCTACCTTTCTGCTGTGAATACATGAATTACCCAGAAGATCGGTGATTAAGGGAACCACAATCCCATTATCTCGTTAGCTCCAAACCAAGGTGGCCTCTACCAAAAGAAAATAAAACCCCCAAAATGAAGCCAAAGTAATCCCATCATCTGGAGGTGGTGAAGTTGATGAAGAGCCTAGTAGAGGAACTCTTAAAAAGTGAAAGGTCCGCCTTCCCCCCACATCATAAATCACATTATCCAACAGTGTTGCTGGCTGGTTGATTTGTTACTCTGCTCCTCCTCTCCCAGCCACCTGTTGGAATGACCTTGGTTCCCACAGGAAGCTTTTTGTTTTGACGGCAAAACCCAGCTATCTATTCCCCGATGCTCCCTGTCCCCCCTTCTGCCTTGTGGCAACCGTGAAGCCACCAAGATAGCCTCAGCCAGGATCACTTCACGGTTGATACTGTGGTTACCTTTTTCTCATTCTCTTAGATATAGGGGTTGGAGGTCCATGTGGGCCAATCAGCAGCTATCAAACTTTTTGTGACCGAGTTCCTGCAATTACCGGTTTATCCAGCATACATCTGGGACCTTCTCCGAATTTTGCTTCACTGGAGTTCTTTAATCCCAATTCTTAACCTTCTAAATTCCCCACTGCATCTCCAATTCAAGCCAACTGATATAGTCCAGAATGGCGAGAGTGAAGACCGGAAAGTGTGAAGGAACGTTAAATTCCTGGCTGAGACTGAAATCTTTCTTCACGTTCAGCCTGCTTAGCAACAGAGGATGGAGTTGAAGTGACAAACTGAGAGTGAATTTTCACGTCCAACGCTTTTCAATTCCTTCTTGATCTCGATGGGATTTTCACCCAACAATATTAATGCTCAAGCAGTGTTTATTTGATACAAAACACCGAAGGGATAAAAGTCCTGCCTGCCTGATATCATGTGTTTAACATGGTCCTTGTTGAATCAAAAGAAAAGACACGAGGAAACTTTAAGATGCTTAGGTAAGACATTTATTCCAGTTCTGCATGGGAGGGGATGAGAATCAACACTATGATCTAGCCTACATTTTCATGTTTACGTATTTCTGGATTTACCACTATTTTGCATCCTTCACCATTTTCAATAGAGCTGGGTTATGAAGGGAATGTGGGAGATTTATTAATAATAGCTTGCACTTAAGATTTTATAAATATCCCCATATACAGGGAAGATAATCCGACATTTGTCATCAAGTCGCAGGGCTCCATTATCACATGATTCCGGATTTTCCCCTTTCTTGCATCTTTCAACTAGTACGATACCACGTGCTCTTTGAAGGGAAAAAAGAAGGGAGGGTGATGAAGAGGAAGAAGAAAAGATTAGTGCCACTCAAACTTGACTTGAAGACTTTTATGACCATCAGCCACGTTAGAACTTGCAGAGAACTAGTGAACTTCCTGGAGAAAGGTTGATTCACCAAAGGCTTTGCTTGATTCTAAAAACCCAATTCTTGGAAATGCACCTTTGCATGGAGAAATCTCAGGGTTCAGGCACCCAGAAATTCATTTTGGGTGCCTCCTGTTGACTGCAATAAGGATAATGACCTTAACCAACCACAAAGAATGTGAGCACTTCCTCATAAGCAGTTGGCTCCAACTTCTCCCAGATAATCAAGCTCGGCTCAACGAGGCTCCTACTGAAAAAAAGCTGAGTGATTTTATCTGGCAGCTGGAATATTGCTCATTGTGACGCTTCCTTCTAACCCAGAGGAGACCTGGTCAACCAAAATAGGGGCACGGTCGGCTACCTGAAAATTTCCCAATGTAACATCAAAAAGTAATTCCAGATAGGGAATTACAGGAGCAAAGAACCAGATTCTGAGCGACTGTATTATATTCTGCCGAGATTGCAGGAATCACCCCAGTCTGGCAGCTCTTCCCTGGGGACAATTAGAAATTCAGAGAGGGACAGTTCTGGCGCTTTTAAGGTTGTGTAGTGATTCCAGACTAGCTCCGTGCTTGAGCCCTCCTCCCTGCCAGGTTAGGGGCTTTCCAACATATGGGGCCTCATCTGCCCTCAGTCAAACTTACACTTTGTTTACCTCCAACTGCATTCAAGGCATCCCTAATATAGAAGACTTGTGTGAAGGTTTATTTACCTATATGTATCCAGGAATATGTGCTATATTAGTCAACCCATTTGACTTAATGTAGGAGAAAACATGCACAAATTAATACATCCAAAGCTCACCCATAACTTTTTCCTACCTCTCACAACATCGCATTCCAGCTGGACTGCACTTACAAACGAAGCAATCGGCTGTACTCCAGCTGGACCTAATGGGATGGGTTTTCCCATCATATCGATCAACGCAGGTGTTTGGCTTCACCCCTTTACCTAAGAAAAAAGAATCCAGTTGAGCCTGCAGTCATACCCAACTCATCAAACTGAACCAAGAATCCCCCTAGAGCTGCAGGCAACTTCCAGAAATCTACTATTGGACAAATGTGACAAGGAGATAAATTCTCTGCTTTTGCTGCATACGATTATCATTTACCTCTTAGATTTGTAAGGACTCCTGGTGACCAAACAACTTCTGCATTGGTACAGAAGGTGTTTTTCTGACCCAGTTAGGAGACCTTGGATAGAAACCTGGATTGGAGAATCTAAGGCAGAGACGTTTCAGCTGGCATTGCTAGACCTTCGCAGGCAGTACAATGAGGGTTTATTCAGATGAATAAGGAGACTCCTTACCATCTTTAAGCGGTGTACTCAGGGGCTCCGAAAAACACTTTTCTTGACATGTAGCCAACATGAAAGAGAAGATGCTCAGACAGATGAAGACTCTCTGAGAATAGAAAAAAAGGAGGAAAAAATAACTCACCAGAAGACTCTTTTGTTCATCCTCCTAAGTAGTTTGCAAATAGTTATACTTGTCCTATCTCTCTTTTCTAAAGAAACATCTGGTTCCATTTGGTCTTCCCTTCTTACTCTATTTTACCTTTATCTTATCTAAATCACGTACACAGATTGATCCCCTTATGATTCTTCCCACGGCCATAACCGTGTGGGGTGATTCAGCTGTGAGAAAGGGACTGTCCCAAAGGGGTCACCTCATTCCTTCAGCCATTGTCTTCTTACGTCTAACCCAGTTAGAGTTCTTCCTGCAAATAAACCAGTTTGCTTACCATCTTGGCTTTGGGGAATCCCCAGGAAACTCTTGGGAGGGAAGAAGGTCAAGGAGTAGCACCTCTCTCTCTGAGATCGGCAAGGAATCTGCTCCTCCAATTTTTGCAAAAAAACAAGACCGCCCCTTGCGCATGTGTAAAAAAAAAGTCTCTGGTTTAAATTTGTGCCACAGTAGCCATTGCCAGAAGGAAAACAGTTCCTTTACAAATAGCAGCTATTTGTTTTGGGGATGATGTGAAGAGGAAGTATTCATCAGCTTCAGAACGACATGTTAAGAAAAAATGAAACAATGGACAAATCAAGGTCAAACAGACAGGGGTGCAGCCAGTTCCCATCCTCCCACAAGGTGCCCCCTACTCGTTTTGAGGATTGGCTCCACTACTCTCATAAGTGGGACTTACACTATTTCCCAAGGATTTCAAAGCCAGAATCACGCTTATTAGTCCATTAAGAATGTTATCTGAATCTTCTGCTTATATGGGTTTCCATGCATGCTTTTTGCCTGTCTGTTACAACCTTCAGTAAGGCATTTGACAAAGTAGACCACAACCTCTACAAGATGGATTCAAAATTGTCAGACCAACTCAATGTATAGTCCTCAATGGAATATCATGCACATGGAGGGAAGTATGTGGAGCGGTACCCCAAAGCATGTTTTAGACCCAGTATTCTTCAAAAGCTCAGAAACAATTTAGATGGCAGGATACTGCAAAGGCAGAACTGTGATTTTCAGTTCTGGTTTTGTACTAATGCAATACGCTTGATCTCTAATAAACTATACTTTTCTCAACAAATGGAGCCAATGTTTGTTTGTATTTAGACGTTTATGTTGTGGCAGCTCCGGCATTTTCTTAAGTTTGCATCAATGGAGTATTTTTCGGAGTATAAGACGCACCTTAGTTTTTGGGGAGGTAAATAAGAAAAAAGCTGATTGGCGGGTGGATCTGCCTCCTGGAATACCCCCTCTTCCCAGAGGTGAATTTTAACAACAGGTTCGTTGGTTGAGAGTTCTGTGCCTTGCTTTTTTTCCAGCCTCTAAAACCACCTTTTTCAGAGGCTTTTTTTTTTCTGCCTCTGAAACTTCTGAAACTCCGTTTGAGAAAAAACATTTTTTTCTGCCTCTGAAAGCCTCCGAAACAGAGCTTCAGAAAAAAAAAAAATCCTCTGAAACTTCGTATCAAAGGCTTTTTTTTCTGAAGCTCTGTTTCGGAGGCTTTTTTCCTGAAGCTTCTTTCAGAGATTTTTTTTCTGAAGCTCTGTTTGGAGGCTTTTTTTCTGAAGCTTCTTTCAGAGGTTTTTTTTTTTGAAGCTCTGTTTGGAGGCTTTTTTTCTGAAGCTTCTTTCAGAGGTTTTTTTTTTGAAGCTCTGTTTGGAGGCTTTTTTTCTGAAGCTTCTTTCAGAGGTTTTTTTTTTTTTGAAGCTCTGTTTGGAGGCTTTTTTTTCTGAAGCTTCTTTCAGAGCCTTTTTTCAGCTTCTGAAATCTCAATTTCAGAGGCTGGGCGGGGCTACATTTGGAGTATAAGACGCACCCAGATTTTAACCCTCTTTTTTGGGGGGGGGTGAAGGTGCATCTTATACTCCAAAAAAATACAGTATTTAGTCCCAATTATTTATCTTTTAAGTTCACCACTGCATCTCCAATGCAGAGCAATTCAATGAGGCCAGAACAGAAAGAGTGAAGGCTAGAATAGGCCTGGGAATATGAAATTCCTGCCTAAGACTCAAAAAAAAAAATTATTTAGGCTTAGCCTGCTTAGCACCAGAGGATAAACAGACTTCAAAGAATGTTGAGGTGAAAAGCTGACAATGAATTCTCATTTCTAATGCTTTCAATTCTTCCTTGCTCTCGATGGGCTTTTTGACAAGCAGCATTCATACTCAAGCAATGTTTGCTTGCTAACACAATGCCAGACTAATGCAGGCAATATCTCCCACCTATACATGCCTTACATCGCAAGTTCCACCTCACGTTTAACCTGATTGTTATTGAATAAAAAGAAGAGGCAAGGAAGACGCTGAGGAGAGATTTATTCAGCTTCATGTATACATAAGAGATTTATTCCAGCTCCTCCATGTGGAGAGATCAGACATCACATCGCTTCGATGGGTCATCAAGTCTATAGAATTCATGTTTACATGTTTCTGGATTGATCACTGTTTTACATCCTTCTATTACGGCAATACCACCATACCTTCAAGGGGGGGGGGAGGAGGAGTAAAAAGAAGAAGTTATGATGAGTCAAAGTTGACCTTAATTGACAAGGTCATCAAGGATCATCTGCCACTTTTGAACTTGCACAAAAGGATAGAAACTCCCTGGGAGAAATGTTGATGCAGCCAAGACTTTATTTCAAGTCCCACAACTTCTGAAGGCAACTTCTGTTCCATTAGTTGATTGTTCTTACTGTCAGGAAATTCCTCCTTATTTCTAGGTTGAATCTCTCCTTGATCAGTTTCCATCCATTATTTCTTTGGGTGCCTTGGAAAATAGCTTGACCCCCTTCCTCTCTGTGGCAGCCCCTCAAATATTGGAAGATGCTCTTCTGTCTCCCCTGGTCCTTCTCTTCCCTAGACTAGCCATGCCCAGTTCCTACAACCATTCTTCATATGTTTTAGCCTCCAGTCCCCTCATCATCCTGGTTGCTCTTCTCTGCCCTTTTTCATAGAGTCTCAATGTCTTTTTTATAGTGTGGTGACCAGAGGTTTAGCAGGTTCTGACCAGTTCTGGAGAACCGGTAGCAGAAATTTTGAGTAGTTCTGAGAACCGGTTGTAAAAATTCTGACTGGCCCCGCCCCCATCTGTTCTCTGCCTCCCAAGTCTCAGCTGATTGGGAGGAAATGGGGATTTTGCAGGACTCTGAGGCACCCCGCATTGAAAAGACTCGGGGCTTCACTCAGGGGTGAAATGCTCCCGGTTCGGACCGGATCACCTGATCCAGTAGCAATGGTGGCTACTAGGTGATTTGGAGAACCAGTAGCAAAAATCCCTGCCCGGCCCCATGCCCAGCTGAGCCGCACAATCATCAGAGGCTTTTTTAAAATTATTTTTAAAAGCATCTTTTCTACAACCTCTTTGGCCCAAAAAATGCTTTTAAAAGTTAAAAAAAAAAAAGCCTCTGATGATCGCACGGCTCAGCTGGGATCGCCAGAGGCTTTTAAAAGCATTTTTTCTACAACCTCTTTGAAAAAAATGCTTTTAAAAGCCTCTGACGATCCCAGCTGAGTTGCTTGATTGTCAGAGGCTTTTAAAAGCATTTTTATTTACAACCTCTTCGAGGTTGTAGAAAAAAATGCTTTTAAAAGAAAAAAGTTGGCCACGCCCACCCAGTCACATTACCCCCACCACCACCAAGCCACGCCCACAGAACCAGTAGTAACAAATTTCACCACTGGCTTCACCTCTCCTGCGCCACCAACACTGACTGGAACTCGCCATGAAGTCCAGAGAAGTAGGGCAGGGCAGTGTCTCCCATTCACCACCACCCCCCATAAGCTGCTAGCATGACTTCTTACCTGTGACAGCATGTTAATCCGTCTTTGAGACAATTGCAACTCATACAATCATCTGTATTCCATTTGGACCCAATGGGATGCTTTTTGCCATCAAATGGATCCACACAATTGGTTGGCCACACCTCTTTCCCTAAATAAAAAAAGACTCCAGTTGAGCCGGAAGATGCATCCAAACTTACTATGGTGCAAAGGTGACTAATACACAAATTCTCTGCATTTTTTAAAAAAAAATTGATTTACATGCCGCCCTTCTCCGGAGACTCAGGGTGGCTTACAATGCGCTAAGCAATAGCCTTCATCCTTTTGTATATCTATACAAAGTCAGCTTATTGCCCCCACAATCTGAGTCCTCATTTCACCTACCTTAGAAAGGATGGAAGGCTGAGTCAACCTTGAGCCTGGCGAGATTCGAACCTGCAGTAATTGCAGGCAGCTGGTCTTAATAACAGGGTGCTTTAGACCACTGTACTACCAAGGCTCTGTAGCATTTGCTACAAAGCATTTTATTCTGCTTATTAAACTGATTTGTAAGAACCCCTGATGAGCTAACAACTTCTGCATTAATATGGTTGGGGGTTTAGGAGACCTTTGATGGAAATCTGGGTTAAACGAAATAACAGAGCTGGAAGGGACCTTTTAGGTCATCTAGTCCAAACCCCACCCCAACCCAAGTAGGAGACCCCTATGCCATTTCTGATAGATGGCAGTCCAGTTTCTTCTTGAAAGTTTCCAGGGATGAAGCTCCCACAACTTCCGAAGGCAACTTCTGTTCCATGGGTTGATCGTTCTCACTGTCAGGAAATTTCTCCTTATTTCCAGGTTGAATCTCTCCTTGATCAGTTTCCATCCATTATTCCTTGTCTGCCCTTCGGGTGCTTCAGAAAATAGCTTGACCCCCTTCCTCCTCTCTGTGGCAACCCTCAAATATTGGAAGATGCTATCCTGTCTCCCCTGGTCCTTCTCTTCACTAGACTAGCCATGCCCAGTTCCTGCAACCGTTCATCGTACATTTTAGCCTCCAGTCCCCAAATCCTCTTGGTTGCTCTTCTCACTTTACTTTACTTTACTTTACTTTTACAATTAAATGCCATTTTCAGTGTACATTATAACTATAAAAATAAAAAACAAACACACATCCTTCACATTATATACAGAGGTGGGTTTCAGCAGGTTCTGACCAGTTCTGGAGAACCGGTAGTGGAAATTTTGAGTAGTTTTGGAGAACCGGTAGTAAAAATTCTGACTGGCCCCGCCCCCATCTATTCTCTGCCTCCTGAGTCTCAGTTTGAGGAAATGGGGATTTTGCAGTAACCTTCCCCTGGAGTGGGAATGGAGCGGGTGGGAATGGAGCGGGTGGGAATGGAGATTTTACGGTATCCTTCCCCTGCCACCGCCTACCAAGCCATGCCACATCCACCAAGCCACACCCACAGAACCAGTAGTAAAAAAATTTTTGAAACCCACCGCTGTCTTCAGTGTACATTATAACTATAAAAATAAAACACAATTGAATTGAAACACATTCTATATACTTGAATTGAAAACCTCTGATGCTGCATTAATATTCTCTGCACTCTTTCTAGATATTTCTTTTTATAGTGTGGTGATTCTAGCAGTACGGTCATGATTTCTTCAGATCAATAAAGGGCTTGGTTACCATTTATAAACTGAGGTTTAAAGGGCTCCGACATGCATGCTCCGTGACATTTAGCCAGCATGAAAGAGAGGACGATCAGGCTGAAGAAGACTCTCTGAGAAAGGAAGAAAAGAAGAAGGTAAGTCACCAGAGAACTTGGTGGATGCTTCAGAAACCAGCTGTTCAAAATCTTTCTAATGTCCTCTTCAATACAAGTAATCCTCAACTTACAACAGTTAATTTAATCAACGTTCAAAGTGACAAGGGCACTTATGATCATTTTTCACAGTTGTGATCTTTGCAGCATCCCCATGGCCATGTCATCAAAATCCAGATGCTTGGCAACAACTTCATACTCATGAACCCTTCCAGAAGCAAAACGTCTGCATTGGTATTGATAGAATTGACCCCACTATAGATGGAAGGGGGGCATATCTTACCCCCACATCAGCGTCTGCCCCCTTTTCATGCCTTCTCCCACCTGGGAGACTTTGTGGAGTGGGAAAAGGGGACAACCCTGAATCTGTATTACTGAGTTGTTGTGTCCTCCATACCAGGGGTCTCCAACCTTGGCAACTTTAAGACTTGTGGACTTCGACTCCCAGAATTCCTCAGCCAGCTTTGCTTTGCTGGCTGAGGAATCCTGGGAGTCGAAGTCCACAAGTCTTAAAGTTGCCAAGGTTGGAGACCCCTGCCCCATACCAAACATTCATTTTTGCATGTGTGTATCAGAGGTGGGTTTCAGCAGGTTCTGACCAGTTCTGGAGAACCGGTGGCGGAAATTTTGAGTAGTTCGGAGAACCAGTAGTAAAAATTCTGACTGGCCCCGCCCCCATCTATTCTCTGCCACCCAAGTCCAAGCTGATCGGGAGGAAATGGGGATTTTGCAGTATCCTTCCCCTGCCACGCCCACCAAGCCATGCCACGCCCACCAAGCCATGCCACGCCCATCAAGCCACACCCACAGAACCGTTAGTAAAAAAAATTGAAACCCACCACTGGTGTGTATCTATCCTTAATGCTACTAAATGTCTATTTAAAAAACTCATTTTATTTTATTTTATTTTATTTTATTTTATTTTATTTTATTTTATTTTATTTTATTTTATTTTATTTTATTTTATTTTATTGGATTTCTATACCGCCCTTCTCCCGAAGGATTCAGGGCGGTGAACAGGCACAATAAAAAACATAAATACAAAAATTTAAAATAGAATAAAAACGGATTAAATAATTTGGCTGAAACAAATTTAAAATACCCGATAATTTAAAAACAAATTAAAATTTACAGTTAAAAGGGGAGAAGATTTAGGCCAGGGCAGCTTGATGAAATAAGAGAGTCTTGAGCGCGTGACGGAAGGTGCGCAGATCCGGGATCCTCCGTATCTCCGGGGGGAGCTCGCTCCAGATCGGAGGTGCCCCCATAGAGAAGGCTCTCCCCTTAGGGAAGATGTGCCAGTTTACCTATTCCAGTAAATAGAACTTTGAAAAATGCTCTCTTCAGAGTCTTTACTTGGAGTTGGGGTTTTTCTCGAATGCTGACACTCTACTTGAGTCCCTGCTCAAAAAATACCACCAGTTACATCTGGATTTTACACTCATCCCTCAATGCAATTCATTCATCCTTCTTTTTTGTCCTTTCTCTCTTCTAAAGAAAGCATTTGTGCTTCAATTCTTTCTGTATTTCTGTCTTTACTGTATCTAAACAATGCACAGAGTATTTCTCTCATTATTATAAGCGCAATTACAACTCTGGGTTTCAGAGAACCGCTGTCCCAAAAGGGGCCATTTCATTCCTCCAGCCATTCTCCTCTCACATCCGAGTTAAATCGAGCTCTGGGTTTGTGAATAAAGAAGAAAGAAGAAACCATTTTACTTACCATCTTGGCTTTGGAGAACATCTAGGAAACTCTTTTAGGAAGGAAGCCCGAAGTGCAGCACTTCTCTCTGAGGCCAACAAGGAATCTGCTCCTCCAATTTATACAAAAACTAAGACCGTCCCTTGTGCAATTAAAAAGAAAAAAAAAATTCTGAGTGAAAGTTGTGTCAGAAGAGCCATTGCCAGAAGGGAAATATTTATGACTAGTTTCTCTTTGTTTTGTAGATGTGATAAGGGGAAAGTATTTTGTCGTCTTTTACAACAACATGCTTTAAAAAATATAAAAAAATAAATGATGGCCAGCAGGATGTGTGAGTTTCAAACAGCCAGATGTCCAGCCTTTTCCTCAGCTGCCCCCAAGATGCCCTCTTCCCATGTCGGGTACAGGTCGTCCTCGGCTTACGACCACAATGGAGCCCAAATCAGGGGTGAAATGCTCCTGGTTCGGACCGGATCGCCCGATCCGGTAGAGATGGAGGTGGGTGGTTCAGAGAACCGGTAGCAAAAATCCCTGCCCCCCCCCCATTGCCCAGCTGAGCCGCGCAATCATCAGAAGCTTTTTTTTTTATTTTTAAAAGCATTTTTTCTACAACCTCTTTGGCTGAAAAAAATGCTTTTAAAACTAAAAAAAAAAAGCCTCTGATGATCGTGCGGCTCAGCTGGGATCGTCAGAGGCTTTTTTAAAAAATAAAGAAAGCCTCTGCCGATCAGGCAAGTCAGCTGGGATCATCAGAGGCTTTTAAAAGAAAAAATATGAGCCAATTGCTTACGATCGCGAGGATGCTGTAACGGTCATAAGGGTGAAAAACGGTCATAACTCACTTTTTTCATTGCCGTTCTCATTTTGAAGGCTCACTAAATGACAGTTGTGCTGTTGTTCTTGCCGTGTTACATGTATACATCCGAAGTAGACTGTGTTGCTTCTCTGTGTCATATAATATATGTGGGTATATGCCAGGGGTGAAATTTACTTACCTTCACTACTGGTTCGCAAATGTGAGCACGTGCGCCTCCTCCATGCATGTGCAGAGCAGTGGTGGGTTGCCCCCGGTTCAGACCGGTTCACAAGAACCGGTAGTAAAACCGGCCGGAAGTCCCAGCCACCACCCTGGATGTCGTCATCAGCTATTTGTGTATATGCAGAAGCTTCTGCACACACACAGCGGGATCCCGTTGCAAACCAGTAGTAAAGGTAAGTAGAACCCACCTCTGGTGCAAAGACTTCTGTGCATGCACAGAGGGTCAAAAACAGGACGTGATGACGTCCGGGCAGGTGAGCGGAGCCTCCCGCCACCAGCACTACCGGTTCACCCGAGCGGATAGAACCAGCTCAATTTCACCACTAGTATATGCATAATTTTGTATTTATTTATTCTATCATGTTCATGTAGAGTATATTGGAGGTGGTGACCCTTTGAGAGCTTTAATGCATGCCAATTAGTGTACATTCAAAGTGACAATTGGACTGCCTGTTGTAAATTGAGTTACTACCTGTAGTTGTAATTGCAACCCATCTGGTTATTGACTGACCTACTCTGGAGAGTGGGTCTTACTCTCACTCTTTCTCAGGGACTCCCAAGCCAAAATGGGGCATTTGAGAGCATTAGGAATGTCCTCTCTTTATATGGCTTTCCTTGCAGGGTCTTTGTGGGTTATAATCTCGGGTGTTTTTGTCCTGCATTAGTCTTGCTCACTTACTATCTGGCTGTGCTCAAGGGAAGCTGTTTCTCCCCTTAAGCACAGCCCCATGGACCTCTCCCATGGACCTCTTGTAGGAGATGTTCCTGGTGAAGGCATTTGACAGAGTAGACATACTTTCCTGCAAGCTCTTTCTCTCTTGGTTATCAGCTCACATGGTTTTGTTCTGTGTTAGTCCTACCCACTTGCTCTCTGGCTCTGCTCAAGGTGAGCTTCATATTCTCCCATGGACCTCTTGTAGGACATGTTTCTGGTGAAGGTGCACAGAGCTGCTTTACTCCAGCTCTTAGTCTTTGCTGAGACATGATTTTCACTTTCCTGGAATACCAAACGTCCAGAGCAGTAAGAAAACCCTATAATTATCTATTTCCTTCTTTTACGTCAAACCCAAGAGAATTGTACTGTAAAATAAGGCTTGGAGTCCTCCTCCGTTATTTTTATTACAGTTTATAGATATTGGAATGACTCATTCTCTCTGAAATGTTGTTCAGGCTAGTGTTTCAGGTTTATTCTCATTGAAATGTTGTCATATTAGTTTTCCTGGTTTTGTTTCCATAGGAAAATAGATTTGCCTTTGAGATGGAATTATGACTTCCCTTTCATTCGGTTTTGCAGACTGAGCCTGAAAGGGATGTTTGATTTTGTTTTCTTTTTGAGAGCTCAGCAAATTAAAAATCTTGCATATGATTTATGACAAAACAATGATCTGTTTTGTCCCTTATTTCCAGCGCATGAACTATGGTCAAAGAGTTTTTTTTAGCGGAGAGAGTAGGATCAAGGAAAATAACATGGGTTTGTCAAAAACAGATCATGCCAGACTAATTTTATTGCATTCTTTGACAAAGTGACAAAATTAATGGACCAGAGGAATGCTGTCGATATAATTTACTTGGACTTTAGTAAAGCATTTGATAAAGTAGACCATAACCTACTACTAGATAAAGTAGGAAAACGTGGGTTAGACAGCATCACCATCAGATGGATTCGTAACTGGCTGACCAACTGCACTCAACGGATAGTCCTCAATGGAACTGCATCTACATGGAGGGAAGTATGCAGTGGAGTACCCAAGGGCTCTGTTTTAAGCCTAGTGCTCTTCAACATCTTCATCAATGACTTGGACGAGGGGATAGATGGGGAACTCATCAAATTTGCAGATGACACCAAGCTGGCAGGAATAGCCAACACTCCAGAAGATAGACTCAAGATACAGAAGGATCTTGACAGACTTGAACATTGGGTGCTATCTACGATGTAAAAAAGATGTTGAGACTCTAGAAAGAGTGAAGAGAAGAGCAACCAAGATGATTAGGAGACTGGAGGCTAAAACATACAATGAACGATTGCAGGAACTGGGTATGTCTAGTTTAATGAAGAGAAGGACCAGGGGAGCCATGATAGCAGTGTCCCAATATCTCAAGGGCTGCCCCAAAGAAGAGGGAGTCAAGCTATTCTCCAAAGCACCTGAGGGTAGAACAAGAAGCAATGGGTAGAAACTAAGCCATATCATCTGCAAATGCCTGTGTCTTATACTCTTCTTTTTTAATTTTAACCCTTTTATTTCCTGATTATCCCTGACCTGAATTAATAAAACTTCTAGAGAAAGAATAAATAGGAGAGGGGATAATGGGCATCCTTGCCTAACCCTCTTATTTATGGTGACTTTATCTGTTAGATCTCCATTTACCATTATTTTCATGGTTTGATTTCAATATATTGTCTTGTTCGTTCTGATAAATTTTTCTCCAAATTTCATAGTGATTAATTGTGTGATTAAGAACTGCCAATTTAAGTTATCGAAAGCCTTTTGCGCATCCACCAGTATGTACTAACACTAATTATTTTTTGGGGTGAGCCTCATAGTACACTAATATGTTCATTATAATTCTTGTATTGTTTCTTATTTGTCATTTGGGTAAAAACCTGTTTTGGTCCGAATGTATAATATTATTTAATATCTTTTTATGTCTTTCCGCTATAATGGTTGCCCGAATTTTATAGTCAGCATTTAGAAGCGAGATTGGCCTGTAATTTACATAACAATAAATTACATCTCTTTACATCTTTATTGCACGTTTTCACACTCTCCGTGACTCACGCTGTGTCAATGTTATTTACTTTGCTGCTACACTCTGATAAAAAGCTATGGGATTATAGTTTGCTCATGGGAAATAAGACATATGACGGACCTCTGTTTTGTAATAAATCATTTACAAGACTTTAAAATTAACCAAAAGGAGAGAGAAGCTGTAACCCTATTCTAAAGGGCTGAGTCATTGCATGCTTTATTCTCCTAAGGAAACGAAACCTGAAACGCCAGTCTGAACAGCATTGCAGAGAGAACGAACCTGAAAGGCAAGTTTGAAGAACATTTAAGAGAGAATGAGCCATTCCAATATTGGGGGAAAGGAACTATAAAATAAAAAGGGGATAGACTCAAGATCAAGTGAGGTACTAATACCACTCTATAAAGCCTTGGTAAGACCACATCTAGAATCCTGCATCCAGTTTTGGTCACCATACTATAAAAAAGATGTGGAGACTCTAGAAAGAGTGCAGAGAAGAGCAACCAAGATGATTAGGGGACTGGAGGCTAAAACATACAATGAACGATTGCAGGAACTGGGTATGTCTAGTTTGATGAAGAGAAGGACTAGGGGAGACATGATAGCAGTGTCCCAATATCTCAGGGGCTGCCCCAAAGAAGAGGGAGTCAAGCTATTCTCCAAAGCACCTGAGGGTAGAACAAGAAGCAATGGGTAGAAACTAATCCAGGAGAGGAGCAACTTAAAACTAAGGAGAAATTTCCTGACAGTGAAAACAATTAATCAGTGGAACAACTTGCCTCCAGAAGTTGTGAAGTGCTATTGCTAGGGCTATTGCCATTGGTGTTTTGGTATTCCTGGAAATCATGTCTCATCAAACCCAAAGAGCTGGAGTAAAGCAGCTCTGTGTACCTTTACCAGAAACATCTCCTACAAGAGGTCCATGGGAGAGTATGAAACTCACCTCAAGCAGAGCCAGAGAACAAGTGGGTAGGACTAACGCAGGACAAAACCATGTGAGCTGGTAAGCAAGAGAGAAAGAGCCTGCAGGGAAAGCAAGTCTACTCTGTCAAATGCCTTACTGAAGATTTTAATAGACAAAAAGCATGCAGGAAACACCATATAAAGAGAGACTTCAGAGGACATTCTTAAACCTCTAAAATGCCAGATTTTAGCTTGGGAGTCTCTGGGAAAAGCGTGAGAGTAAGTCCCACTTCTTCGTGTAGGACAGCCGATTTCCAGGTGGTCTACAATCCTTAAAATGGGTAGGGGGCATCTTCGGGGAAAGTGGGGAGGAGGAGGATGCACATCTGGCTGTTTCCAGTCCTCTCATTCTGCTGGAGGCTTTTAATTTCTCCATAATTTGGTGGTTTTCTTACCATGTTGTTCTGAAGTTAATGAAATGGTTCCCCTTGATTGTATCTATAAAACAGAGACCAATGGAGTATGAAGCATGTCTTTTCCTTGTGGCAGTGCCTATTTCGGAACATCTTGCACCCGGAAAATGGTTAATAAATGCACAGGAGGTAATCTCCCCTCTTACACTGCTGCCTTCTCCTTCCATATAAATCAGAGGAGCAAGTTCCTTACTGGCCTCAGAGGGAGCTGTTACTCCTGGTCATTCCTGCTACTAAGAGTTTCCTCGATTGTTTCCCAAATCCAAGATGGTAAGCAAAATTTTTTGCTGTACTTTGCAGTGAGAGTTTGATCTGATTAGGATGTAAGGAGGAAATGTCTGTAGGAATGAGATGAATAATATGAGGCAGCTTTCTGGATATTATTGCGATGAAATAAAGCGGAAAATAAAAAATACATGGATAAATATTAATGGAGAATCAAATGCAACCAGATGCTCCTTTAGAACATCAAAAGAAAGATAGTAGAAAAAGAACGACTTGCTAAACTAATTAATTGCACTTTGTGGTATATGGGATGAGTGTAAAATCCAGGCATTGCTGATGTAATTTTTGGGCAAGGACTCAGACAGGATTAACAGTAGATACACAAATGAACAAACACCGTTTTTTGCATGGGGGAATATATCAACTCAGTCATATAGATTCAAGATTGCCCTTTTTAGGAAGGAAGGAAGGAAGGAAGGAAGGAAGGAAGGAAGGAAGGAAGGAAGGAAGGAAGGAAGGAGGAGCATTAAAATTATATTATTTTATGCCTTCATAAATCTCTCACTAGAACATTCAGGAGAAAAGACATTGCTGAATACCAAAAAATAAAGATAAATTTCAACTGCTTTAATGATTTCCATTTTGTTGTTTGAACTTTGGCTTCCCACTTTGAATTGTGACAATTTAGAAATTAAAGAAATGGGGTAAAAGAAAGAGAAAAAGGAGAAAGGAGGAGAAATAGCCTTTGAGTCCATGAGTTTTGTGACCGGACATGACTTTTCTGGTCACTGATTGTATTTTTCTTCTTCTTCTACTTTCTTAGAGAATTTTCTTCATCCTGATTGCCTTCTTTGTCATGCTGGCTACGTGTCAAGGAGCCCTTCCATATAAACCCAATAACAAAAGTAATTGTTCCTTCTTTATCTGAGCAAATATTCTACTTCTTGCAGAAAGCTTGTAAAGGAGTTTCTGAAGCCTCAGGATACCAAAAATACTTATCTGTAGCAGAGGTGGTACTCAGCAGGTTCTGACCAGTTCTGGAGAACCAGTAGCGGAAATTTTGGGTAGTTTGGAGAACCGGTAAATACCACCTCTGACTGGCCCCATCTATTCTCTGCCTCCTGAGTCCCAGCTGATTGGGAGGAAATGGGGATTTTGCAGTATCCTTTCCCTGCTACGCCCACCAAGACATGCCCAAAGAACCAGTACTAAAATTTTTGAATCCCACCTCTGATCTGTAGCCTTCCTTTCCTCCTTATCCCATCAATTAATTGCTGGAAATACACTCTGGAGTGTTTTCCACCCTTGCCACATTTGTCCAACAGTGGATTCATCACAGCAGCCCCCAAGTGTTCCAGTTAGTTTCCTGGTACAATTTGGCGATTTGGCTGTTGAGAATGACAGGATCATAGAGTTGGGTGGGACCTTGGAGGTCTTCTAGTCCAACCCCCTGCTCAGGCAGCAGGCCCTATATCCGTGATGGCGAACCTATGGCACGGGTGCCACAGGTGGCACGTGGAGTCTTATCGGTGGGCACGCGAGCTCAGCTTCGGCATGCATGCATGCACCGGCCAGCTGATTTTTGGGCCTTCTGGGCCCACCAGAAGTCAGGAAACACACTGTTTCTGGCCTCCAGAGGGCCTCTGGGGGAGTGGGGAAGGCTGTTTTCACCCTCCCCAGGCTCCTACAAAGGCTCTGGAGCCTGGGGAGAGCGGAAAACAGGCCTACCGAGCCCACTGTGCCATCGCTTGCCAAAAGTGGGGGAAGCATGGGGGGAGCGTGGCGCATAGAATTATGGATGTGGGCATGCATGCGTGTTCCCCTCGCTTTTGGCACGCGATGGCAAAAAAGGTTAGCCGTCACAGCCCTATATCATTTCAGACCAATGTTTGTCCAAGATGCAGGTTTAATTGGAGTCTTTTTCCTTACTTTGAAGACAACAGTGTTCCATGCTTTCGTAAACCTGAAAAAAACAGCGAAGCATTGGGTTAACTGCCACAGATGCGTGTGCCATATTTATGGGATGCATTGCTACTAGAGGTAGGAAGTTCTCCCCGGCGGCTATTGGATACATGACTTTCCTCATGATTTCTCTTAAATTAAGCCAAAAATGTTCAGTGAGTTTCTTTCTTTCTTTCTTTCTTTCTTTCTTTCTTCCTTTCTTTCTTTCTTCTTTCTTTCTTTCTCATGGAGCGACTTTAGACGGTTTGAGATAGCAGACTCCATGCACACCCATAAAGATTAAAATAAAGGTTTCCCATGTTCAGTCATGTGCATTTCTTAGCCAGGGGTGCCCGTGTTACCCAAATACACTCCCATGGTCATGTGGCCATCATGACTATATGCACGGACACTGTTAACTTCATACTGAAGTGATACCTATTTATCTACTCACATTCGCTTGCCTTTGAAATGCTAGGTGGCCAAGAGCTGGGGCAAGTAACATGAGCTCACCCCATCCTGCAGCACTCGGATCTCGAACCTCTTCTGTCAGCTTTCCAGCTGGTAAACTCAGGAGTCTTTCACTGCTGAGCCATCACACCCCTAATGCACACATATACATATGCAGAAACATTCTGCCTAATCGTTTTAGTGAATGATAACTGTAATTCATGATAGTCCTCCATAGCTAATCTTGGTGACTATATCATCTGTTCCTCTCTGGCTAATGATATTAAATTTCGAGGCCATTGAGACATTCAGCCCCTTGTTTTTCTCTCTAATGTTGAGCAAAGAGTATTAGGTGAAGTCCCAGGATTGTTGGGTGCAGAAGAGAGCGGAGAAACTGAGGATGGCAAGGGGAAGGATTTCTCCCTGTCTTCCTTCCTTTCTCCTGGACTCTCAGGGCTGGGAGACAGCTGTCTTGTCATTTCGTTTAACCTGCTGGGCCTGGTTGCAGGTCTCCAAGAAAGTCATAATCCTGGCTGTAATCAAACACAGGGAGACTCAAAATGTATTTTCAATCTCCATGCCAAGAAGTGATCCTAACTTTTTCTTCTTCTTTTGTATTTCTTTGATTTAAGGTTTGGTAGTGCTTCAGATGCGCCTCTAAGATGCAAGAGAATAGTACACCTACCATCGTCCATGCGCTCTTATTCTGATTAAATCTCTTAACATGTGAATGAATCTGAATAAACCTTTCACATAACCATCTTAGTCTTTTTTTCTTGCCTTTCCTGCATATTAATTAACATCTTGATATTGGTTTATAATGTCATGGAAATGGTGGAACGGGAGATGACACAACGACATTCTTGAATCCATTATTATTCACACGGAGCAACCTAAAAATGCACGTGGAGATTGGAACAAGAGATATACTTGGGGACTAGAGAGTTTGGTTCATTAATTGGTTCAAATTACGGAACAAATCCTCGCATGAATAATCAAGGGGGTCATAAAGAACCTTCAAACTTCATTTCCTGTACAGAAGAGAAGACCGTTCAACTGTGCTGAAAACAACCCCACAGTCACCGACTGTGATCAACCAAATACAACACAATTGTACAGTACAATCCAGACCTGAAGACTATGATAAAAGAGCCAGCATTTTGAACAGGCATCCCCACTTTGACATGTACATTATGGGTCGATGACGATGACCCAAGTGGTGGGTGCAAGGTTACAATTGCCATCCTGCAGGTTTTGACTCACATGGACACACACAGACACACAAACACTCATGATGCAGAGGTTCTTACTGCACCTGTGCATAGTTTGCTAATTGCAAAGTGACCAATAGGACAGCACTCCTATTGAGGGTCAACGTCATTGCCCAGAGGATCATGGGATGCCCCCTCCCCTTCTTGGAAGAGCTTTAGAGCGCCCGCTGCCTTAAGAATGTTCAAAATATCCTAAAAGATCCATCTCATCCTGGGCACCTGTTTTTTATTAACTATTACCATCCGGCAGACGGTACAGGACAATAAAAACAAGGACAGATAGGCTGAAGAATAGCTTCTATCCCAGAGCAGTAACTATATTGAATTTGACTCTATATTGCAATATTAATGCAACATCAGGGGGTTTTAATTCAATTGTATAGAATGTGAAGGATGTGTGTTTGTGTTTTAATTTTATAAATTTCCTTACGTATATGTACCTTGAAGGTGGCATTTAATTTTGTTGTTCGAGGTGCAACGACCATAAAGGAAAGTTAAAGTTCTAGGAACAGAAGGAGGGAACACAACGTGCACCGATCTTGACATACACATATCTGCCTACATGGCTGCATTTGCACCATTTTGGGACATATCTCTGGTGGTTTACAACATTAAAAAATAAAACTACGAACATGCATGACAATAAAGTAAAGTTCAAGTTAAAGTTCTAGGAACAGAAGGAGGGAACACAACATGCACCGATCTTGACGTACACTTATCTGCCTACATGGCTGCATTTGCACCATTTTGGGACGTGTCTCTGGTGGCTTAGAACATTAAAAACTAAAACCATGATCATGCATATAAACATATAATGTGACCTTAAAAATCGCAATAGAAATAGAGAGATAGAAATAGGCCTGTAGTAGACACGTACATGTTGATGGGGACACATTGAGTTCAATTACGTGGTGCTTTTATTTTTATTGTTGGAAATGGTCCAAGCTTCAGCTGGAACACTTTAAAATATATATACTTTTATGGGGTTGAACTTTTTTGGTCTAGGATAGAAAATGAAATATTTGAAATAATTAAGAAGAGGGTCAAATTGAAATTGGAAACCATATTATTATTAATATTGAATGAAACAACATTAACAACTGGAGAAAGAGAATTGGTGAGGATTTTGGTTATAATGGGGAGAATTATAATTGCTAGATATTGGAAATTAAATGTTGACTTAAAATTAGAAGAATGGTACAATGAAACATGGAAATTTGCATTAAATGATAAATTGACTTGTGATATTAAAATTAGAAGTGGTATATATAAAGAAAATGTTTTTTGGAACACTTGGCAACCATTTGTGGACTTTGCACTTGGGAGATTGGATGAATCGGCACCAGTACCTTATCAAAGAGATTTCTGGAAGAATTGAAGACTTCAAGTTCCTAAAACTTCCTTTCCGTTTGTATAGCACGTTGGGGGAAAAAAATTTTTTTTTTCTTTCCTTACTATTGATTTTTTGTATTGATTTTTTTTCCTTTTTGTTATTCCTTAAGAATAAAAATATAATAAAAAACTTTTTTAAAAATGGGTAGGGCGCATCTTGGGGGAAGGCGGGGAGGGGGCTGCACCTACGGCTGTTTCCAGTCCTCTCATTCTGCTGGAGGCTTTTAATTTCTCCATAATTTGGTGGTTTTCTTACCATGTTGTTCTGAAGTTAGTGAAATGGTTCCCCTTGATTGTATCTATAAAACAGAGACCAATGGAGTATGAAGCATGTCTTTTCCTTGTGGCAGTGCCTATTTCAGCACAACTTGCACCCGGAAAATGGTTAATAATTTTACAGGAGGCAGTCTCCCCTTTTACACTGCTGCCTTCTCCTTCCATATAAATCGGAGGAGCAAGTTCCTTACTGGCCTCAGAGAGAGCTGCTACTCCTGGTCCTTCCTCCTACGAAGAGTTTCCTCGATTGTTTCCCAAATCCAAGATGGTAAGGAAAATTGTTTGCTGTCCTTTGCAGCGAGAGTTTGATCTGACTTGGATGTAAGAAGGGGATGTCTGTAGGAATGAGATGGATAATATGAGGCAGCTTTCTGGATATTATTGGGATGAAACAAAGCTGAAAATAAAAATACATGGATAAATATTAGGTAAAGGTAAAGGTTCCCCTCGCACATATGTGCTAGTCGTTCCTGACTCTAGGGGGCGGTGCTCGTCTCCGTTTCAAAGCCGAAGAGCCAGCGCTGTCCGAAGACGTCTCCGTGGTCATTTGGCCAGCATGACTCAATGCCAAAGGCGCACAGAACGCTGTTCCCTTCCCACCAAAGGTGGTCCTTATTTTTCTACTTGCATTTTTTTACCTGCTTTTGAACTGCTAGGTTGGCAGAACCTGGGACAAGTAACGGAAGCTCATCCCGTTAGGCGGCACCAGGGATTCGAACCGCTGAACTGCCGACCTTTCGATCGACAAGCTCACCCTCTTAGCCACCGCGTCCCATAAATAAATATTAATGGAGCCTTAAATGCACTCAGATGCTGCTTTAGAACATCAAAAGAGAGATAGTAGAAAAAGAGCATTTGGAAAAACTAATTAATTGCACTTTGAGTGTAAAATCCAGGCATTGCTGATGTAATTTGTGGGCAAGGATTCAGACAGATTTTATTTTCTAGCTATTTAGCAGGATTAACAGTAGATACACAAATGAACAAACACCGTTTTTTGTATGGGGGATATATCAACTCAGTCATATAGATTTTAGGAAGGAAGGAAGGAAGGAAGGAAGGAAGGAAGGAAGGAAGGAAGGAAGGAAGGAAGGAAGGAGGGAAGGAGCATTAAAATTATATTATTTTTTTATGGCTTCACAAATTTCCCACTAGAGCTTTCAGGAGAAAATACATTGCTGAATACTAAAAAATAAAGATAAATTTCAACTGCTTTAATGATTTCCATTTTGTTGTTTGCACTTTGGCTTCCCACTTTGTATTGTGGCAATTTAGAAAATAAAGAAATGGGGTAAAAGAGAGAAAAAAAGAAGAAGGCAGGAGAAATAGCGTTTGAGTCCATGAATTTTGTGACTGGACATAACTTCTCTGGTCACTGATTGTATTTTTTTTTCTTTTTCTACTTTCTTAGAAAGTTTTCTTCATCCTGATTGCCTTCTTTTTCATGCTGGCTATGTGTCCAGGAGCACTTCCAAAGAAAACCTTTAATGACTTCAATTACAAAAGTAATTGTTCTTTCTTTTATCTGAGCAAATGTTCTACTTCTTGCAGAAAGCTTGTAAAGGAGTTTCTGAAGCCTCAGGATACCAAAAATATTCATCTGTAGCAGAGGTGGTACTCAGCAGGTTCTGACCAGTTCTGGAGAACCGGTAGCGGAAATTTTGGGTAGTTTGGAGAACCGGTAAATACCACCTCTGACTAGCCCCGCCCCCATCTATTCTCTGCCTCCTGAGTCCCAGCTGATTGGGAGGAAATGGGGATTTTGCAGTATCCTTCCCCTGCCATGCCCATCAAGACACACCCACCAAGCCATGCCACGCCCACCAGGACATGCCCAAAGAACCATGTACTAAAATTTTTTGAATCCCACCTCTGATCTCTAGCCTTCCTTTCCTCCTTATCCCATCAATTAATTGCTGGAAATACACTCGGGAGTGTTTTCCACCCTTGCCACATTTGTCCAACAGTGGATTTGTCACAGCAGCCCCCAAGTGTTCCAGTTAGTTTCCTGGTACAATTTGGCGATTTGGCTGTGCAGAATGACAGAATCATAGAGTTGGGTGGGAGCTTGGAGGTCTTCTAGTCCAACCCCCTGCTCAGGCAGCAGGCCCGATATAATTTCAGACCAATGTTTGTCCAAGATGCAGGTTTAATTGGAGTCTTTTTTCCTTACGTTGAAGGGGATGACCTTCCGTGCCTTCGTATAGCTCAAAACTTAGCCAAATCTAAGTTGAGTTAATTGCCACAGATGCGTGTGCCATATTTATGGGATGTACTGCTACCAGAGGTAGGAAGATCTCCCCGGCGGCTATTGGATACATGACTTTCCTCATGATTTCTCTTAAATTAAGCCAGAAATGTTCAGCTTTTTTCCTTCCTTCCTTCCTTCCTTCCTTCCTTCCTTCCTTCCTTCCTTCCTTCCTTCCTTCCTTCCTTCCTTCCTTCCTTCCTTTCTTTCTTTCTTTCTTTCTTTCTTTATCATGGAATGACTTTAGGCGTTTGAGATAGCAGACTCCATGCACACCCATAAAGATTAAAATAAAGGTTTCCCATGTTCAGTCATGTGCATTTCTTAGCCAGGGGTGCCTGCATTACCCAAATACACTCCCATGGTCATGTGGCCATCAGGACTATATGCGCGGACACTGTTAACTTCATACTGAAGTGATACCTATTTATCTACTCACATTCGCTTGCCTTTGAAATGTTGGTGGCCAGGAGCTGGGGCAAGTAACATGAGCTCATCCCATCCTGCAGCACTCGGATCTCGAACATTTTATGTCAGCTTTCCAGCTGGTAAACTCAGGGGTCTTTAACTGCTGAGCCATCACACCCCTAATGCACACATATACATATGCAGAAACTTTCTGCTTAGGCGTTTTAGTGAAGGGTAACTGTAGTTCATGATAGTCCTCCATAGCTAATCTTGGTGAATATATCATCTGTTCCTCTCTGGCTAATGATATTAAATTTCGAGGCCATTGAGACGTTCAGACCCTGGTTTATCTCTCTAATGTTGAACAAAGAGTATTAGATGAAATCCCAGGATTGTTGGGTGCAGAAGGGAGTGGAGAAACTGAGGATGGCAAGGGGAAGGATTGTCTTCCTTCCTTCCTCCTGGCCTCTCAGGGCTGGGAGACAGCTGGCTTGTCATTTCATTTATCCTGCTGGGCCTGGTTGCAGGTCTCCAAGAAACTCATAATCCTGGCTGTAATCAAACACAAGGAGACCCAAAATGTATTTTCAATCTTGAGATTTCTCCATGCCAAGAACTGACCCTAACTTTTTCTTCTCCTTTTGTATTTCTTTGATTTAAGGTTCGGTAGTGCTTCAGATGCGCCTCCAAGATGCAAGAGAATGGTACACCTACCGTCATCCATGCACTGTTATTCTGATTAAATCTCTTAACATGTGAATGAACCTGAATAAACCTTTCACATAACCATCTTAGTGATTTTTCTTGTCTTTCCTTGATATTAATTAATATCTTGATATTGGTTTATAATGTCATGGAAATGGTGGAATGGGAGATGACACAACAACATTCTTGAATCCATTATTATTCACACAGAACAAACTAAAAATGCATGTGGAGATTGGAACAATAGATATATTTGGGGACTAGAGAGGTTGGTTCATTAATTGGTTCAAATTACGGAACAAATCCTCGTGTCAGACTGCAGTACTGTCTCAAAATTAAATGAATTTCCAAACTGCCAATCTTTAAGGAAATCTTTCTTTAATTGAGCTCAGCCACCGGATCATGACTCCGCGCGGACAAGACTGACCTTTTGCCCCCCAATCCCTCCCTTTCCGACCCCCAAGACTCTGCTTCTCATTGGCTGTCTTCCAAGTCATTCTTCAGACTTCTTTTCCCCGTCATTTCTCAGGAATGTGCCCCCTCCCCTGATCTCCACAACAACCGAGCTTCAAAGGGATTTTGCAGGCAAAAGTTTCAGAGTTTATCTTTTGCTGTCCTCTGCTCTCTATGTCAGCATTGCAACGCTGACACCTCGCATGAAAAACCAAGGGGGTCATAAGGCCCCTTCAATCTTCATTTCCTGTATGGAAGAGAAGACCATTCAACTGTGCTGAAAACAACCCTACAATCACTGACTGTGATGAACCAAATACAACACAATTGTACAGTACAATCCGGAGCTGAAGACTAATAAAACAGCCAGCATTTTAAACAGGCATCCCCATTTTGACATGTACATTACGATGAACAAAGTGGTGGGTGCAAGGTTACAATTGCCATCCTGCAGGTTTTGACACACAGACACACAGAGACACACACACCTGTAAACACTCATGATGCAGAGGTTCTTACTGCACCTGTGCATTGTTTGCTAATTGCAAAGTGACGAATAGGACAGCACTCCTATTGAGGGTCAACGTCATTGCCCAGAGGATCATGGGATGCCCTCTCTCCTCCTTGGAAGAGCTTGATAGCTCCCGCTGCCTTACGAAAGTTCAAAACATTCTTCAAGATCCATCTCATCTCGGGCACCCTTTTTTTTTTTAAAACTATTACCATCTGGCAGACGGTACAGGACAATAAAAACAAGGACAGATAGGCTGAAAAATAACTTCTATCCCAGAGCAGTAACTATATTGAATTCAACTCTATATTGCAATATTAATGCAATATCAGGGGTAGATAGGAATGAGTATTTCTAGATCTAGAAATACTTATTCCTGAGAAGCATCAGAACAATATTAAACGTCCAACCAAAGAACTATTTTCATGCTGAAAATATGAATAAAATATGTGAACATTGTGAAAATACGAAGCCTCCTGCAGTTGTACCATAAACTTCCTTCAATTTTCCCTCTTGTCTTTCTGCTAAGCTCTACGGCTCTGTCCCATAAATCTTCTAATATTAGAACACCTCAAACGAGGGCTATCTTATTGTTTTGTTTTAATGCCACTGTACCTTTTGAACATCAGTCCGGGAACACGATGGAACTGTGTCTTATGGGCATTTCTTACTTCCTAAATGTTAATGGAGTATGAAAGCAATAAAGAAACATTAAAAAGAAAAATAAATTTGATGCTCAGTTCCTTAGACTGGAAACGAAGACAAATAGTCCCTATTGTTGAACCAGTAACACTTACGAAGACTATATATTTTCCACTTTGGCGGTCAACTTTTTTCCACTTTAAAATATATTATCTCTGGGACTGAAGAGTTAAAACATGTTGCTTTAAATTCTTAGTGGGGGAATCCCCCCCACCTATTTGTTTGTCTGACTTCACAAGCCTCAGTGCCATGTTTCCGCCTAAGCAGGCTTTGTTAGAAGAAGAAAAAAAAAAACAAGACAAAAGACTTCCAGCCAGCAACACTCAAGCCTCCAGGGAAAAAAGAGAAAAACAAAAACAGGAGCGGAGTTTTGTCTACAAATGTAGCCAGTGGTATTTATTCCGCTACATTGTGATAATAAAAAACGGAAGAACTTTCCCTCTCAAACTCTTCTCCAGCCGCGGCAGACGCCATTTTAAAAAGAAACTTTTTTCCTCTTTCTCTTCCTCTATTCTCTTAAGTAATTTTTAAAAGATAAGTAAAATACTTGCGCTTCAGTATTACAGGTCCAGCTCACATTTTCTTTGAGTAATCTGTCAAATTCGCAAGCTTGCTTTTGACGCCTGGCTCTGCATTAGCAGAGGTCTCCCAAAGCCCGGAGCAACGGCTGGGGATATGGGGCATCTCATCCGCTCCATCCCAAAAGTAAAAGAAAAACTTTTGGGACTCTGCAGAGAGTTCTACCCACCCTGCCGGCTCTATCTCCGTTTCCTCATGGGAACGGAGTTTTTTTCGAGCCGCCGTTCCGTTGTGAAGGCGGCTCTGACAGGCAGTGGAAGCTGACGATCCCAAAGGAACGTCTGGCGGCGGCCAGCAGCAAACAGGAAGTCCAGATTTCAGATAAAGAAATTAGGAATAAAATTGTGCAAAATTCCTTCAATTCTAATTTGCAATTGTATGGAAGAAAGATTTGGATTTACAAGGAACTCCCACCTAAGATACTAATGGAAAGGAAGAAATTTGGCTTTCTGGTGTCTGAGTTAAAAAGGAGAAATATTCAATTCCGGTGGGACGTCCCAGTTGGTATTATATTGAGATATCAAGGAGAAAGATACCAGTTAAATACTGTTGAAAGGGCGGAAGAATTTTATCAAAATAGGTTGAAAATGAATTTAACGTCTTCAGATATAATACAGGATAAGCAGAAGGAGCTGGAACTAAAGACAGAGACTGTACCAGATAAATTGCCTTTGGATTTATCGGATACCCCAGCTGGATTATCTACAAATTTGAGAGAAGTGCCATCTGATTTTAATGTGATGACTTATCAAGGCAAGGACAAGCATGGAAACCAATTAGAGGATATACAAGGGATAAAAAAGAAATGCGAGACACAAAAAATTAGGATGGAGGTCAAACCCACAAAAAGAAAACAAAAAAAGAAATAGGTTGTACAAAAATAGAAATTTCTAACCCAAGCAACAGTGAAGCCAGTGATTTTAAAATATGAATGATTATGTGAAAACATAGAGGAGGCGACATATTGGTCAATATCATCCTGAGGATAGTGGCAGATCTCTGCATTGCCGTAATTTTGGGACATGGAAAGAGCCTCAAATTGATGGTTTTGAATTATCTATTTTGAAACTTCTTTTTGTGTTGATAAATATATTATAATTATCTTGAATTATAAGGCAAGAGAATCACATTGGGACATGCAGAAGATCGGGTTGTTACCCAATACGATGATGGAAATTAATAATCCTGATGAAACCCACAATTATTATTATATGGAATACAATTATAATGTCACTCGGGTGGTTGTTTTTACTTTTATATATATAAGAAGATGTTTACTACTGATGGGGGCAGATATGATTGGAGATCTTGAATAAACTGTTGCATCCGCAAGCTATGTCACCCTATTATGGATGTTGGTTTTAACAATCCAGTGGAAAGACTTCAAGAAGATATTATATGGACTATAAATTTAAAGTTATTGTCTTTTCTTTTTTTATTTAGATATAATGGAATATATATATATATATATTTTTAAGTAGTGTGGGCAGTGAATTAAAGATATCAAGAATTGTTTGTGTATGGTAAATTTGTAAGACAGTGGGTGAATAAGCTAGCTACAGACTGATTAATTTAAGAAAAGGGATTTTTAAGTGATACATTTAGGGGAGTGGAGGAAATGGATAGAGTGGAATAATGTTAAATTAGATTTTATGGGAGCCCGCTTTGAAATGTTATTAAAGTAGGACTTATTGTATAGTTTTAAAGTGGAAGGTGGTTTTGAATTGTTGCAATAATGCATAGATATAAAACACTATTATGCTAAATTAGAGTTATTTTATAATAGTTATAGTATAATGTGTTTGTTTTTTTTTGTTTTGTTTTTTTTTCTCTTCTTCTTTTCTGAAATGTATGGATAAAGGGGGATTTATAATACTTTTAGTAAGTAAAGGTCAGTATTTTGAGGAGGGAGTAAGTAATCTGTTATGAATTAGGGTTTTTTTTTGTTACGAAGAAGTCACAGGGGGGGAAGGGTGGGGAGGGGGGTTAGGTAGGGGGGGGAGGGGGGGGGAAAAAGGGGGAAAAAATTTGTATTTGAAAACCTTTTCAATAAAAAAAAAAAAATATATATATTATCTCGTTTATAATCCGCATACAGACGGGAGGTTGAACAGTTAGCCTCGTGATGCGACCGGAACAATCTGGAACTGAACACACTCAAAACTGTAGAAATGGTGGTAGACTTTAGGATAAACCCTCCCATACTACCACCTCTCACAAATTAATCAGTGGAACAACTTGCCTCCAGAAGTTGTGAATGCTCCAACACTCGAAGTTTTCGAGAAGATGTTTGTCTGAAGTGGTGTGGGATTTCCTGCCTAAGCAGGGGGTTGGACTAGAACATCTCCAAGGTCCTTTCCAACTCTGTTATTCTATTCTATTCTATTCTATTCTATTCTATTCTATTCTATTCTATTCTATTCTATTCTATTCTAAAGAATGGACAGAGAGATAGAGATAGAGATAGAGATAGAGATAGATAGATAGATAGCGATGGAGAGAGAGAGACAGAGAGAGATGGAGACAGAGATAGATATAGAGATATATGGAGATTCTCTCTCTTCCTCTCACTCTCTCTCCATTCATCTTATTTCTATGGCTGCCCATCTCTCAGCAATGACTCTCGACAGTGTATAATGTAAAACCAAAAACTGGAACAGAAATCCAAAGAATGAAACCTATGATTGCAAAAAGAAAATCCCACTTACCCTCCAACTAAATTCCCAATGTAGACAGAATGCAGACAGTAGAATAACCGGCAAATGACAAAGAAAGAAGATGCTCAAAGCTTGCGGTGATTTCACCCCCTCTGCAAAGTCAGATCCTAAGTCTAAAAGCCACACAACGTCCCTCTCTTGGGCCCATGTGGATGGAAGGCCATCTAGCAAGGCTTTGGATATTGCCAACATCCAAAGATCTGTAGCACATAGGGATGGCCCTTTGAAACAAACTCATGTTTTCCTGTGATGGTCCTGAAATGTAGGGCAGCATCACAATCACCAAACCATCAAGGAGTTTGGGTCTGAGGATTCAACCCCCTAAGTCCCTCAGGATAGCTGAAGGCATAAAGAAGTCATCTACTGGCCAAATGAAAGCTATTTCCCACATCTTTGAAAGTGACGATGGGCTACCAGGGAAGGTGAGTGGTCAGGAGAAGGACTGAATGTCTTCCTTCCTCCCAGTCTTAGCTCGATAGCCATCACTGATGCGCTCCTTGCCTTCCGCAGTGACATCACGTTTCATCATCAGATTCTACTCTGAGAATTCTCTTTGCATCTCAGAACATCCAGGGTTACCGTAGGGACAGGAGTAAACACTTTTAAATGATTCCACTTGTACTGACCTCTCTTTACCGGATGCTGGCAGGTTAGAGGCAACATCCTTCTCTACCATCACTCAAAATATAATCTTTTCCCCCTGATGGCAGGTAGGAATTGGGCCATCTCACTCTTGGAAGGGATCCCTTGTTCCTCCGGAAATCTCATTGAGAGGCAAATATGGCATTACACACACACAGCACAGCTGGGAAAAAGAGAAGGTTTGGGGATGGGCTACCCAAGGGAAGGAAATAGAAATAGAAAGTAAGTCGGAAGAAGATCAGTGGGTGAGCCATCTCTCAATCCAATTTTGGGAAGTTCTTGACTTCTTTTTCTTGGATTGTGGTCATATATTTGGCCCTCTATTCAGTGGAGTTTCACATCCACTTCCAACAAATATTTCCCAATGTAGTTTTTGATAGAAACATTTTTTTTAATTCTATTTCCTCATCACATCAAACGTTTAGCAGGGGGACTCAGGGAACAGAGGGAGGAAAAGAAACAGGCATCACAAAACAGGAAACGAAATATTTGGCAAGGAACTGCCTTGGGTGATTTCTCTGTGGATTTTCAAGGTTAGCAGCAATATCTATTCCTTGGAGGGTCCCCTATTTTTGAGTCCCCATGTATTTTTCTTTGGAAGGACCCAAAGGTCAGCACAGTGTAGGCAGGGCTACATCTCTCAAACCTCTCAGGATGGGACTGAGGGCTAAACCACACGATGCCCTCAGCCTCCCCGTCTGCTTCCACGGACGTTGTAAAAGGAAGGAAAATGCTCCTTTCTTACCCACTAGGGTCCCTTTCATTCTGGGTCAGGTGTGTGGAGGGAATGGCTTTGTGCCTGGGGGAGGAATGGGTGTTTAGCCCCTCCCGGGAGACTATGAGCACCTAGATCCAATTCAGGACTCCAGATGTTCTCTGGTCGAAACAGGGTTTCTGACTTCTGTTCTTCTTTTGATGTGTGTTTTACAGATCAGGTGTGTAACACAGAGACTCCAGAAAACCTGAGCCTTCCAACTCCAGGTTGCCCAATACTAATAGCCATACCTGCTCTAGGAAACAACCTTCCTAATCTTTCTGGAATGGCCGCACCGGTTCTGAGCAACCTTTGGATCCAGCCTCCTTTCCCCCATCTGCCTGCTCACTTGCTCGCAGGCAACGCCAGCCTGCAAAGTTTTGTGCCTCCGGGAGTGTCGCATCTCCAAACCATCCATGGGGAGCAACTGCAGCTAGCTAACCTGACACCCTGTAACCCTCCCGTCTCTACCTTTCCTCAGCCTTTCTACACGCCTCTGCCACCTCAATATCAAACTCTTCCTGGCCCTGGAACCATACAGAAGATCCCCAGACCCTCCTATCCCCAACATCGGCTTTCAGGTCATTCAGAGGCACAGGCCACCTCCGACGTGGGCCTTCAACTCGGACAGAGGTGGCCGCTCGAACTTCCTACCAGCCAACCAGCCTCTTTGCAAGGTGAGAGCTACTTGTGCAACTCTGGAATTTTGGCTCTCATTCCCACAGCGCCATACTTTAGACCCAGCCACAGATGTTGGAAGCCTGTGCCACCAATGCTGGAGGTCTTCAAGGAAGGTTAGAGCTAGAATAAGAGATGTTTCTTGAAGACCTAGATGTTTGAATATATGTTTCTTGAGTTAATTTATGAAACAGGACCAGCTGCTTGGTAGGCACAGGCCTAGGTCAAGAGCTGTCTCCATCCTCTTCTGCCTCTTCATCCACTTCCGTAGAGCTGTGAAGGAAAACTTGGTAGGAGTCACAGGCAGATTGAGCCACCAAGGCAGGATCAGCTCGGATAGTACAGTGCCCACCTCTCTTGCTCAGTTTCTCTTCTTGACTCTTTCAGAGATCAGAGCCCCTGAAGAGGAACCACAGAAGGCCCAGTCTTACCATCTTCCGGGATCTCTTGATCAGCCAAGAAGTAGCCTCCATCAGTTTGTGGGCTCACCTTTGGCTCCTTCTTCATCGTTACACTACGATTTGGAGGACATTCCTCACCTCCTTCCAGTGTTGGAAGGTGAGTGCTAAATAAACTTGGTACCAGGTATTACCTGCAGGTTTGTTAGCCTTTGTACGACATTCTGAACTACAAGGCTTATGAAGGGAATCCATAGCTGTGAGATAGTATGGTAGAGCATCCTTGCTTGAAGAATCACCTCTTGACATCTTTCTTTCAGTGGACCAAGATCTGGGAGGACACCCGTCAGGTGCCAGTCTGAAGACTGAGGTCCCACAGGCCTCTCGAGACCAAGAAGCATCCGAGCCAGACCCTAGCAAAAATTTTGGGCTGAATGGTGAGTGCCAAAGCATTGCAGATGGGAGGACAGTCCACCAACTGAAGGTAGGTTCTTTGGAAGATGCCTGAAGCTGTAGAGTCTCATCATGCTCTTCCAAGATGTATGGAATCTTGCTGTGGGCTTTAGAGAAGACAACCCAATGAAAATTAGTCCCCACCAATAATGGACAGCAATCTAGACCTTTGCTGGCCTTGTGTTCATCAGCCTGAACCAATTTTGCTGAAAATACCCAAGTTTGTAGATTGTAGATTACATATTCTAATATTGTGAACCACGAATGAAGTTGCTACTTGGAAAATGCTCTGCAGAGATTGGAGAAAGTCCTTTCTCCTTTCCCCATAACAGAGCAGGGGCAAATGGGGAGGTGGGATAAGTATGGCTACATAGGGCTGCCCTTGAAGATCATCTGGAAGCTCCGGTTGGTGCAAAATGCAGCGGCCCACACAGTTTTGTGCAGACCCCGGTGTCTCCTGCGCGAGATGCATTGGCTGTCAATTTCCTTCCAGGTGCAATTCAAGGTGCTGGTTGTCACCTTTAAAGCTCTTCATGGCTTGGGACCAAGTTATCTGAGGGAACCATCTCTTGCCGGTCACAACTACCCGACCCATCAGAGCAGGGAGGCAGGGAATGCTGCAGGTCCCATCCCCGAGGGAGATACACCTGGTGGGACCCAGAAGAAGGGCCTTCCCTCTCTCTGGAACATCATTCCCCCAGAGATTAGAATGGTCTCTGTCTCTGTCTCTGTCTCTCTCTCTGTCTCTGTCTCTCTGTCTCTGTCTCTGTCTCTCTGTCTCTGTCTCTGTCTCTGTCTCTGTCTCTGTCTCTGTCTCTCTGTCTCTGTCTCTCTGTCTCTGTCTCTGTCTCTGTCTCTGTCTCTGTCTCTCTGTCTCTGTCTCTGTCTCTGTCTCTGTCTCTCTGTCTCTGTCTCTGTCTCTGTCTCTGTCTCTGTCTCTGTCTCTCTGTCTCTGTCTCTCTGTCTCTGTCTCTGTCTCTGTCTCTGTCTCTCTGTCTCTGTCTCTGTCTCTGTCTCTGTCTCTGTCTCTGTCTCTCTGTCTCTGTCTCTGTCTCTCTGTCTCTGTCTCTGTCTCTGTCTCTCTGTCTCTGTCTCTCTGTCTCTGTCTCTGTCTCTGTCTCTGTCTCTCTGTCTCTGTCTCTGTCTCTGTCTCTGTCTCTGTCTCTCTGTCTCTGTCTCTGTCTCTGTCTCTGTCTCTCTGTCTCTCTCTCTGTCTCTGTCTCTCTGTCTCTCTGTCTCTGTCTCTGTCTTTCTGCCTCTGTCTCTGTCTCTGTCTCTGTCTCTCTGTCTCTGTCTCTGTTTCTGTCTCTGTCTCTGTCTCTGTCTCTGTCTCTGTCTCTCTCTCTCTCTCTCTCTCTCTCTCTCTCTCTCTCTCTCCCCCTCTCTCCCTCCCTTCTTTTCTACTTTCAGAGAGGTGGGTTCAGATTGGGCAGGAGTAGAGACACGCATCTCCTCCTTCTGGAAGAACATGAAGGACCTCACTTGGCAGGCTTAAACTCCTACTGAGTTTCCTGACACCGAACAGTCTTTTTCTTCCCTCCCTTCCAGATGGTGGTCCGTTCCAGCCCTCATCAAAAGGGAAAGGGAAAAGGAAGATCCCTTGGATTGAAGAAGAGCCTCCAGCAAAAAAATCAAAGAGGAGGAGAAAACTCAGCATCAGATGCCATCTAAGGCCAGGGCAAAAGGACCACAGAGAAACAAACCTTGCAAACATATCTCTGCAAAGGGGGCAGCAGATGCCTCGAAATCCAAAATCGCCCCTTGTGTTCTGGAGGCTCAAGATGTCACCCAGGCTAAGATGCCTCCTGAACTTCTGACTGGGCCTGAAGAGCCAAAGGTCCTGCTTCCTGAACTCCTTCCAGAGCAGCCAGCTGAAGAAGGCGACTCTTCTTCTTCCAGAGACTCCAAGACGGGCCATGCCTCTTGCGCCGTGGAGAAGAGCCAGCCTAGGAGCCAAGACAAGCAGGAAGCAAGGAAAAACGTGAGCCTGTGTGGCACCAAAAGCAAGAAGTGCTGCCCCAAAAGAGAAGCGGAAGGAGCCCCAAAGCCAACCCCAAAGACCAACCTGGCTTTCAAACTGATGGAGTCCGTACAAGTCTTTCACCCACTGGGCAAGCAGACCGTTCCAACTCTGCCGAGCAAGAAAGGCCATTCCGTTCCACCGGTTCC